GTAACCTAATAGGGGTTTTTACATGTAAACCAGTATAAAGCAACTTAATAGGGATTTGTACATGTAAACCAGTATAATGCAACCTAATAGGGATTTTTCCATGTAAACCAGTATAATGCAACTTAATAGAGATTTTTCCATGTAAACCAGTATAATGCAACTTAATAGGGATTTTTCCATGTAAACCAGTATAATGCAACCTAATAGGGATTTTTCCATGTAAACCAGTATAATGCAACCTAATAGGGATTTTTCCATGTAAACCAGTATAATGCAACCTAATAGGTTGCATTATACCACCAGACCAAGACCCAAACGAAGACTCAGACCACCACCAGATAATGACCACAGACCAGGTTTCCTTAGTTACAGGAACCAAATTGTTTCAGCGGTGAGGGGATTTTTCAGTTTCAAGGACACTTTCAATACATTCAGTAGTTTCAAGGATTTCAACTGTTTAAGAATTTAACCAGTTTCAAGGATATCAGGAGGTTCAAGGATTTCAGGAGTTTCCACACTTTCAACAGTTTCCAGGTTTAAAAAAAGTTTCAAGGATTTCAGGAGTTTCAATGTTTCAACAGTTTCAAGGATTTCAGGAGTTTAAAGGTTTCAACAATTTCAAGGACTTCAGGAGTTTCAAATATCTATCAAGTATTTTAACAGTTTCAAGGCCTTTTAAAGGATTTCAAGGATTTTTTTTAGCAGATTTCCACATTAGATCTGTTCCGCAGTCAATCGCAATGGCTTCAGCCATTGCAAGTTTCTAGTTGTTAGCTGCAAATATTAAATATCCATTCATCTGCTGGTAGCAAGCTAACTAGCGCTTGCAACTCTATTCAATTTCTTACTTTTTCTTATAAACTTTAAAACCAGCCATATGTTAATTAAAATACATTTACCTTTGCTAATGCAGTCAATTATTGTGAAATCCATAGAGTATAATTTCATGATTGTTGCAATAACTAATGTTCTATGTGTATTCCTAATGTGTCATGTGTGTTTGAGTCTTACAGGTGTCAGACTGTGTTGAAGGTGTTCAAAGGTAAGAATCACACTCTCACACATTGATTGTTCTTCTGTATTATTATGTTGTTTTTAGAATGAACCATTATTTGGTGTATTCTCTTTGAAAACATCTATCTTTTTCTCAGATTGTTCAGCAACTCACTCAAGATGAGGGAAAAGAGCAACAAGGGGAAAATGCCCCCTCGGAAATGCAACATGTGTAGAGTAATACAGGGTAAGTAGCTTTCAGGGCTCATTTGTGTCCATGTGCAAAACAAATGCACATTTGCAATTGTTTTTTCATGGAATTACTCCAATGACCAAAGCCTTATCCCAAGTTTCTCAGACGGAGTGTCTTCCAGTGTCTCGAGCTAGTCCAGTGCCAAGGTTTGTATCACATGGTGATGGATCGAGTGGTTTGAGGCATTAATAGAAAGTTATGTGTTGTTATATCACTTTGCCACATTATGTTGAAACTAAACATGTTCCACATTTTCAGGTGCTGTGCTTGGACCTTGTGATGAGAGACTGAAGACCAAGAGAGGACACATGTTGGAACCTCAACATTCAATAAATGCATTCTTCTGCCTTTCAGATTGTGTTTTTACATCTGGGGAACCTAGAGTGTAGCTTGTGCCTGTTTTAATACTGATCCAAACATAGGTGCTACAATCATGTTTTTTTACTTTGGCATGAACTGTTCAGTACAGTAGTGTTCATAACACTGTGCCCTGTGATGTTTAACTTGTACTTTGATGTAGAGAAACATGATTTTTAATGCAGCTCCAGTTGCAATAATGACTGATATCCTTCTACTACAGTTGTAATGATTTTTGAATGCTGTGTTTATCGTTTATTGCCCAGAGTCAGAACTAAACATGATAAAGCTGCATTTCAGATTCACAAGGCTAAAATCTGGAACGGTCTTCCTGGAAATGTGAGACGGGCTTCTTTGACAATGTTAAAATCCAGGTTTAAAACACTTCTGTTTCTGCTTCAACTGAGAGATTTTATGAGAGATTTTATTTGTATCTTTTTAATTTACTGTCAATATTTATAATTCTAATGCCTTGTTTGATTGTTTCTATCTTTTGTTCAGTGCTTTGAGTTTCCTTTTGTTTTGACTGTGCTATACAAATAAACTTGCCTTGCCTATTGCAAAAAGTATGTCTCGACCAGTGAGTGATTCTGCAGAGGTTAAGTAGGTCAATAGGACTGTAAATGGACGTCATATAAACGTCAATATTTTGGTCATATAAGACGTCGAGAGGACGTCGGACCCGACCGGTTCTGTACCACATTGCAACCTTGAATGAACGTCCAGATGACGTTGAAATTACGTTGTATTGACATCTGCTTGCTTAGTGGGAACGACTGAAAACGAACGTCATATAAACGTGAATATTTTGGTCATATGAGACGTTGATAGGACGTCAGACCCGACCGGTTCCGTACCACATTCAAACCTTGAATTGACGTGCCATCAACGTAACATTTGGAGGTTGAGGTGACGTCGGGAAACGACGTCGAGAAAACTTTCATTCTGCACCCACCAGTGACCTATATTCTACGTCGGACAATGACGTTCAAATTACGTTGATTCAACGTCGGCTTGCTTAGTGGGATATTGCATGTTTAACTTCAACATTATTGAGGCAAAACTGGGGAAAAAAGACTAAGCTTTCATACCGGGTCTATGATAAAAAATAAAACATCTTATCAGCAAGGCATTAGGAAGATAGGTCAAATGCACAGGACACATTTCCATAAGAGTAACTTCTATAACTGTTCTGGCAAAGTCTGATACCTACTTCTTGCCAAGGAGACGTTATTTCTTTGCTTGTATCACGCTTAAATTATTGAAATAATACATGAATATTATGTATTCCCTCCTGTGGACTCACCACCTGCAGAGGGTCAGTGAGGGGCTGGTGCTATGAGACTTGGGTGGCATCTCTGATTGCCACCCCCCTGACCCAGAAATGGATTAAAGGGTGGAAAATGGATGGATGGATGGATGGATACATGAATATATACAGTGGGGCAAAAAAGTATTTGGTCAGCCACCAATTGTGCAAGTTCTCCCACTTAAAACAATGACAGAGGTCTGTAATTCTCATCATAGGTACACTTCAACTGTGAGAGACAGAATGTGAAAAAAAAATCCAGGAATTCACATTGTAGGATTTTTAAAGAATTTCTTTGTAAATTATGGTGGAAATTTGGTCAATAACAGAAATTTAACTCAATGGAAGGAGGTTTTGGCTCAAAATCTCACGATACATGGCCCCATTCATTCTTTCCTTAACACGGATCAGTCGTCCTGTCCCCTTAGCAGAAAAACAGCCCCAAAGCATGATGTTTCCACCCCCATGCTTCACCAGTATGGTGTTCTTGGGATGCAACTCTTTCTCCAAACACGACGAGTTGACTTTATACCAAAAAGTTCTACTTTGGTTTCATCTGACCACATGACATTCTCCCAATCCTCTGCTGTATCATCCATGTGCTCTCTGGCAAACTTCAGACGGGCCTGGACATGCACTGGCTTCAGCAGGGGGACACGTCTGGCACTGCAAGATTTGATTCCCTGTCGTCGTAGTGTGTTACTGATGGTAACCTTTGTTACTTTGGTCCCAGCTCTCTGCAGGTCATTCACCAGGTCCCCCCTGTGTGGTTCTGGGATTCTTGATCACCGTTCTCATGATCATTTTGACCCCACGGGATGAGATCTTGCGTGGAGCCCCAGATCGAGGGAGATTATCAGTGGTTGAAATATCGTTTTGGGCTACATTTCGGCTATCTTTTATACAGATAATGAGTTCAAACAGGTGTCTTTTATACAGGTAACGAGTGGAGGACCGAAGAGCTTCGGTAAGTTACAGGTCTGTGAGAGCCAGAGATCTTCCTTGTTTGAAGTGACCAAATACTTATTTTCCACCATAATTTTCAAATAAATTCTTTAAAAATCCTACAATGTGAATTCCTGGATTTTTTTTTCACATTCTGTCTCTCACAGTTGAAGTGTACCTATGATGAAAATTATAGACCTCTGTCATTATTTTAAGTGGGAGAACTTGCACAATTGGTGGCTGACTAATACTTTTTGGCCCCACTGTATGTAAAAAATGGCAATTTTTAAAAAAAGATCTCACGACTTTTCTGTTTAAAATTACGCCTTATTATTATTTTCTGGCTGCATTCATGTATTTTTTTCATTGTTCATTTGCGCTGATTATTTTTTACTCCCCATTAATGTTGCTCTGACTGATTTATGATATTGGCTTTTTTTATTTTTGCAGTCTGAATTATTCTTTACAGCCTGCATTGTTCTTTTCTAGATTTCTTTGACCAAACACAAATGATAGGGGCTACTACAGATAGTTAGACCACAGCAATCGTGTCATCAGTGATCGGCTGCGCTCCCTGGTTATGACCAGTGGGTCAACCTGTGTCTCCTATATACCTTCCTCCTTTCCACCATTCTCTACAGTAAATGTGTGAGGGAGTTTAACCTACAGAGATGGAGAGGAGAGAGCAAACTCATTTCTGACAGGACCTGGTTATCTTTCTGTTACGGCCCTAGGCCTGTAGATTGCTAACCCCCTCCTTCTTTGAGATCCCTGGCCTGTGATTGGTGAACAACTGGCCCTCCCACCTCCCAGACGTCTGTGACTCAGGTGCTGATTGGAGGAGCAGCGCTGCACCTGGCCAATCCAGCTTCCCCACCGGGAGTCACTCTCCACTTAAGGCCACACTCTGTGTGGCTGGTATGCGAATTTGTCTCTTTTCTGTCGTAACTTTGAGGTTTTGTTTTTGTGACACTTTATTTGAGACAACTCCCTTTATTTGAGACAACAATCATTTTAGTGTTTAGTTATATGTGTAAGCGTAAAGAGTTTAATGTAACTCTTGACTTGACTGGGTCTAGCTTGAACACTGGCACAGCGGTTAGCACTTGTACTTCACTGCAAGATGGTCCTGGGTTTGATTACCTGCACACGTTAGTAATATCTGCTCCAGAGAAACCAGCAGTCTTTTCAGCAATCATGTTCAGATCCACATCATCTGCTATATCCACTTCTTTCAAGTTGATTTTCAGTAGTTCTACTCTACCAACAGCTATAAATACACATAAACACTAGTAAATCAATCAGACATACAGTTTTTACTTTTGAATTGTATTATATAATATAAACACAAAGCGCTTTACAATTGTATTACTACAGTTATCACTGTACAGTAATCGAAAGCAGACAAACCTGTGGGTAGGGGGATGTAGATACGTTTCTCCAAGCGTCGTCGTAATGCTTCATCTATGTCCCAGGGGAAATTTGTGGCAGCAAGGACCATAACCATCTTTGAAGCGTCATCATTCTCACTTGCCCCCCCAACACCTTGTCAACAAACAAAGTATGCATTATAAGAATAAGTTATCTTAATTGTATTAGTATTGGTCGATAATCCATATTTTAGGAATGCCATTACCATCCATTTGAACTAACAGCTCTGATTTGACCCTACGACTCGCTTCATGTTCATCAGATGTCCCTCTTCTCCCACATATTGAATCAATTTCATCTATGAAGATTGTGGTTGGTGCATAAAACCGAGCCTGGGTAGCACAAAGGAGATGGTTACAAGTACTGCTATCTTTTTAATGAACAGAACGATTTTTATAGAAACAGACCATTTCAAACAGCAGGCGAACAAGTTTTTCTGACTCGCCTCGATATTTGGAAGTGAGAGTGGAGGACGATACGTTGAAAAAAGTAGTTCCACATTCAGTTGCAACAGCTTTGGCCAACATGGTCTTTCCAGTCCCTGGAGGACCAACCATTAACACACCCTAAAGAAGGGATTTAAAAAAAGAGATACTATTAAATGTGGTCACTTATGCACCACCTGCATGTGAACGTCTGGTCTAGTGCAATCTCAGAGGATAAACAAGACAGAGCCTGATTAGTTCTGAGAAAAACAACTGCCACAGTGGGGCGGCTGTGGCTATCCCTTACCAAGTGCCAAAGTGTTGTTGTGTTCTTTGGAAAGACACAACCCACTTTCCATGAGTCTGTGTGTAGTTGAAAGACTGGTAGTGGTCAGAGAGGCAATTGGGTCAGATTTGTTGCCTTGCTTCGGTCAGTTTGCCCTAGGGCAGCTGTGGCTACAGATATAGTTTACCATTGCTGTGTATTGAGTGAATGAGCCACATGAAGTGGTTTTAAGCGTCCAAAAACCACTATATGTAATGGATTATTATTTATAACCAATGACATGAAAAATATTACCAAATACTTGACTAAATACCAAAATACTGGCTGTTAATCGTTACCAGTATATTAAGTTATAATAATCTGTTGTATATAACTTATAAAACAAAGTCTGTACACAATGCACACTATCTCAAGTATGTAAGCATACATCAGACGAATAAAGACACAGTGCCGTTTCATTTCCAATGAAGAATTATCTCTCACATGGTGAGCCTAGGGGCAGAAATGTCACATGAGTACAAGCCCCTAGCTTGGCAAGCCACACCCCCGACAAGGAGGGAGTTCTCTGGTTTGTCAGGCCCCAACTCATCGCTACATATTAATACATACAAATAAATGATCAAAACCTGTTCAATAAAGTTATTTGAAAGAAAGAATTATTCCTTTTGAATTTCTCAAACACTATGAGATATTTGGTTCTAAAAATAGACAAATGCATGCAAATGCACTATTAAGCTGATCTGTTACCTTCCAGGGGCGACGAATGCCCTTGAAGAAATCAGGCATCCACATTGGAAGGACCATTGCTTCTCTTAGGAGCTTCTTGGCATCTTCCAGGTCCGCAATATCTTCCCTTTATTAAGACAATCAAGACAGGCATTTTAAGTAATTCATACATTATGTCTGTATAAAACAAATACTCCACATACCAGTGAATGTTTGGATTTTGAGAAATGATATCTCTCTCCAGGGCATCAACAAGGTCACTGTCATATCCTGTGCCGTCAAATATTTTTGGTTCTCCAGAGGCCTTATGAAGTAAAGTTCAGTAGGTAGAATTGTACTCACATATGATCTTCTTTTACCGCTACTTACCAGCTCATCTTTGGATTTTGCTCTTGCATTTTTATTCCCTGGTCGTTCAGCTTTTGGTTTGTCTTGGCCACGGTTTACATGTCCGCCGCTGCGTTGTTGTAAACCAGGTGAGTCCTTTTTCTGTTGCTTTACACCACTGGAGGGCCGCTTTAGTGGAACAGGATTTCTGTACAAACAAGCAAAAAATTACGTATAGATCCCTAGATAGAATGATTGAGGTCTTATAGGCAGTTATGCAGTCCCTTGCAGTAGTTTGTTCAAACCACAAACATTTCCCTCGTGAATATTCATATAAAGTATCTCTCCTTGACCTTCCTTCATCTTATTATTAACCTTGATGGCATTACATTGAATTAATGAGGCATTTAAAGTCTTAAAAAATATCTTGACCAAGTATGGAGCTGCTCTGTCCCGTATAACGTAGAGTTAAGGAAGGCTAACTGAGTGAATTAATGTACAACATAAGCTGTTCATGATCTAAATATAGGAGTTATCCTACTTGTGCTCTGCTGGAGTGGGAGGAGGCCACACTGCTGGATCCTCAGGTCGCTCCTCTGAGGTGGGGATGTAAATTGGCCTGTCCGACTTAAAGCTCTCAAGAGTTCCCACGATGCTTTTGACTTGTTCATACTCCTCAGCTAGTTCTTGCCTCACCTACAAACAAGAGAACACACATATCACATGATGTACTTATCAAGATACAGAAACTACAGAAATAAAATATTAGAGATGATAAGACTTGTACCTGTTGCCATTTGACTTTGAGAGCAGGATCTTTGAGTGATTGACAATGCTTATGGATCTGCTGATAAACCCCTTGATAATACACCATGGAGGAGTCATAGTTACCCAGAAGTGCATATTCACGCGCCTTCTTGGCATTATCACAAATATCAGCAATGTTCATCCTGAATGAATTAAAACCTGGACTTAATAAATTAAACACATGGAACGTACAGTATGCAATGTTGGTGTAATAAATATGTTATAGCTAAGGTATGTAGAATCTATCAAATTCAAGATGATAACAAATCGTGGGTGTAGAATAAAAAATATATAATACTAATAATACTTATAGTACACATTTTGAATATGAGAAAACATTCATTAAAGCTGGAGTACCTAACCTTTTTGTTTCATAAATACATGTTTATTACAACAATATGAGTCTGGTTTAATTTTGAGAACACGTACTGAAAGCTGTTTCGCTGAGTGAGGGCTAGTACTGATTTTATCACTGAAAAAATGTATCAACAGATTTGACTGAGGCCAAAAATAAATGCATGTGGGACGAGTTACATATATTTTATTACATCATTTTATTTTTTTTTAAATTAAGTACTCCAGCTTTAAATGTAGCATACAAAAAGACGCCATTCATATTTCCGACGTAACGCGACCATAGACAGTAGTGTATTGTATACAATGTACTAGCGTTATATACAGTCGAAAACGACCTACATCCTGCTAGCTAGCTTAACTGTTAGCTGCAGGGCTGTAACTTAACAAGACAGAACAAAACAAGCAGCAAGATAAGAGGATAATAAATGAAGCATAGCTTAAACAGCAGGCGTTATACATACCCGGTCTGTGACACGCACACAACAGTAACATCTCAGATATCCTACCTTATTCCTGCACTTTAGCTCAGCGTCTTGTGCCTTAACAGCGCTTGGTCCTGAGGATAAAACCCGCAGTTTGGTCAAGTGTTTCCATGGCGGCAGAGACACGCCGTGAGCAGCGTACCAAACTGAAGAGCTAACGTGGTGCGTTCAAACACACTTGGGAAATGCAAATCCACCACGAAAGTACAATTCGCACAGGCACTAAGAGTTCACGTATTTAAATATTATACAGCATCATATTATATATGATTTGTAAATCAGTGGTAATTTATTCAAAAACATTGTATATACTGGAAGTATTATCGTCAGCGTTAGTGACAGAATTTGACCACTTGTCGGAGCCACTAGTCCAGTATAATTGACTGAGATCGTCAAAGTATGTTGTTCACTGTTTGAACGTTTTAATGTATTGATAGAAAACACATAATACTTTTAATTCGTTTAATAGCATGCTTAACAAAATTATATAAAATAACACACACACACGGGTACTATACTGTCACCTTTACCTTCCAGGCTGTACCTAATGTGCAGGTCCTTGTGAAATTCAGGAATTTTAGGTACCTCTTACGTTTTAAAAAATCCAAAATTTGCCCAAACTTATGTGTTTAACATTAAATTTTACCAATATGTGATCAGGAGTAGATTATAAATTACCTGTATTTCTTTTACAAATGCAGGACAATACATAATACATATTAAAATAAAAACCATACTGGATGGGGCTGCAAGCTGCAATTAGTAAATTTCAAAGAGTACTGATTTAATCCAGTATGAACCTCCACTATCCAGTATGAACCTTCTTATTCCCAAAAGATATCTACTCAACTGAAGTTTAGGCAAATACCAAATTATACTCAATTTAGAATTCAGAATGAACCTCACACCAGTCTCTCATTTTTTTTGCCAATTTCTTTGGTGAACTCCGGTTTAAAATTCTAGTTTAATCCTCAATCCTCAAGCAAATTATTAAATAGACTCTAAAAAGATGGTGCAACATTGTCACCTATCTACAGGGAACTGGCTACACAGAGGAAAACATGCAAACTCCACACAGAAAGGTCCAGGACCACCTCTCTAACACAAGTGCTAACCACTGCACCTCCGCTCTGTCAGATTTGAGATTCTAAAATTGAAGGTTATTGCTGTGACATTCACCCAGCCCTAAATTTGCCACGTTAGCATTAGTTTACTGCAGAGTAAAGAACATTTATTATGAAGCATAATCAACAAAAGGTTATTACAACATTTTTTCACAATTTTTCACACAATTCAGTTTGGTATCTTGATCAAAACAGTCAATGAGACGCATTATTTTTTACCATGTGGCTAAAGCAATGGCACAGCCAAAAGGTACATGTCTAAAGTCTCACAGGCAAAATTTGTTTTATACATTTAAGTTCCATAACATGAGAAAAGCAAAACAAAAGGGTATGGTAGTGCCTAACAACCGGTAGGAAGTGAAATAAGGAGAAAAGGGGCATGTATGGGACTCCTGTTCTATGGCACCTTTGATGAAGGCGAGGGCTGTTCATCGCAGCTTGCGACTATATTTCGAATTTCTGATTGTATAATCTAATTTTAAAATGTAGACATAATAATTTACTTCTCAGAATGTTTGGCTTGTAATGCAAAATCTAACTGTAGTGTTATTGGGTTTCTAACCAACAGAACCTTTGCCCAAATAGCATTAAAGGATATGTAAATGCGTGGAGACAATTTAGAGTACAATAAAAACTAAACACTGGCCATGCAGATTTTGCAAGTTTGAATTTTATTTGTGTTACTTTATGTATCCACAACATATTTATTTAACATAATACTCGTATTATGTTAAATAAATATCACTTGTCATAATAAATACTTGTCACTTGTCATAATAAGAACTTCTGTTGAGTTCTAGATCAGCACGTCCAGATTTGGTTCAAGGTTAAGTCTCAGATGAGTGGCTATTTTGATTTGTGGCTGTGAATATGTGATCACCCAAAAACATTTAAAAATCATCTTTCATAAATAGTAATCAGTCAAGTAATGCCCACTACCAGTTTTCATCTGAAAATGAGCTTGAGCTTCCTGAATCTGTGTCTGCGTCTGTCAGTCCATCAAAGTCCCAATCAGCGCTGGATCCACTGTCATCATCCTCCTCTACAGAGAACTTGCGAGCTGAACTGAGGCATGCTGGGTAAACACGCATTGAAACACACACAGGGCCCAAGGTGGACACATAAACCGCCATAATACCCTTCCAACTGTCCCGTGCTGGATCATATTCATGGATGAGCACCCTGTTTTTATTATGCTGCAGAAGAGTTTGTGTGAGGAGAAGCAGCTTGCAATTGTGCTGGATCACCTGGTAATTTAAAGCACGACTATCAATGGGAATGTCACGCAGTCTCCTCCACTCCCCTCTGGTCGGACTGTAGGCTTTCACAACAGGAATGTCACAAACACAAATAATTTGGTCTTGAAAAACACAAGCCTTGTGTAGCTTGTCTCGCCTCAGAGACCCACAGTGACGCCAGCGGTTCTTCTTGGGGTCGTAACAAAGCATTCGTCTTTTATTCACAACATACAAGTGATCATTCAATGCCACTACTTGCATTTTCCCTAGAGAGTGAGGCAGAGGAGCGACAAATGTCCACTGGTTCCTTTGAATGCTGTAACATTCAACTTCTTTTATTCTGGCATCCGTAACAGGGTTCCTTCCACCTAAAAGGTACACATGACCATTAAGGTATCCCATCCCTGAGTGGATTCTCCCAAGAGTTCTCTCTGCCAACTCCTGCCATGAGTTTTTCACTGGGTTGTATAGCCAGAAATGCTTTGATAGGTGCGAAGCGAGGTACAGGTTGTTTTCTGGGCTTGCACAAGCATTTAAAGACTCCACAGTAAAGCGTTTGTAATCCTGGCTGCTTAGGTCTTGAAGGGGAGGAGACATAAAGTAGAGGTCCTCTGAATAAGGATCACAGCACATAATGTTATCATTTGGCAAACCAAAGAAAATAATCATTTCTTTGGCACTCACACCAATTCTGTGTTTTGGCAAAGAAGCAGGAGGTCCACAGCTACTATCCGGAGCAGAGTTGAAAACTGACGCAATGTAAGCATCAAGGACAGGCCGTGTCATAAGACCTTCAAGGTAACACTTGTCTTTTTCGGTAAATAAGTCCCATCGCACACATTTAAGAACTTGAACTGCATCTTCCTGTGAAGAGTTTGCTTCAATCCATTGTAAAGCAACAGAGCATACTTTTCTTTCACAGTCAACATCTAAGGAATCCAACAAAAGCAGTTCTTTCAGTTGTTTTAAGTCCAAACTGCATAATTCTCCAGTGTTGCACAGAAAACTGAAGTTTCTAGCTATATAAGCTTGAGCATTATACTTAAGCTCTGGATTATCAAAAGTGTCAGCAAATTTCAAAACCATGACACAGTTGGTTCTATTTCATATGTTGCTTCGCCCTTTAGGCTTCGCTAATGCATATCTCTCGGAAGCATCGCTTCCCGCCCTGAGAAGATCAAACGATCCACCCTCCAATCACCTTCACGTCCTGGCGTAGGTCTGTCCCCTATAAAAAGGGTCATGCACCACAGCTCTTCTCCTTTCTCTCTCAGCTTGCCTAAGAGAAGCTTCGATCATTGGAATAGGATGTCATCAAGCAAGTTCGCCGCGCCTGAAGATCTGTCACCCTCCGGTGTCAGGCTGCGGGTCTGCGACTCGTGCCCAGCGGCACTTTCCCTGGCTGACCGCCACGAGTCCTGCGTCTTCTGCCTGGGCTGGCGTCATGCCGCGGAGGAAAGCCCCAGCTGTGTGGCTTGCCTCGCGCTCCCCAGGGAGGAGCGCGACAGGCGCAGCGGGCTACTCAACGCCGCCTGTAGTGATGCCCAGGGTGCCCTCGCTCATGGTGTGCCACCCTCCGCCCACACTGCTGCTTCGCCTGGATCAGCGGAGATGTCAGGCTCTGGATCTGGACCAGGGTCCGACGACGATGAGGGGGAGTTGGTGGAGCCCTGCGAGGAGGATGCCCAGTCCTCCTACTCCCAGGAGGTGGGGCAACGCGAGCGCTATCCCCTGGATCGTTTCTCGCATTTGACCGCATCGGCTGTGGTCAGGATGCGTATGGCGATGCCGGTCCAGCCCGCCTCGCCTCCGGTGGACTATTTACAGTCCCTCGCTCCCTCCCCCCGACGACGCAGACGCGAGGTGGTTGCTCCCAGGATGGAACCGCTGCTGCATTATGCCAGCCGTGAGTGGGATAGGCCCATGGCAGCCAAATCCCCGGCCTTGGCGTACGGAGTGTATGCAGGAGTGGACGCATGGCCTAGGCCGTCAGGCGTTCCTCCCATAGAAGACGGAGTGCGCCTGTCTCTGCTTCCAGCTTCATCTCCGTGGTCTGGACTGGCAGCTCCCTCCGAGCGGGACAAGCTGACCATCTCCATGCTCGACAGATGTTATGCCAATGCAACACAGGTCGTTGCTTTGGCAAATAACATGACTCTCCTCGCTGCTTCCCTCGACACTCTCATCCGGGGTCGGGAGGAGCTTTCCCGGACGGAGATCGAGGAGGCTGAGGATACTATGGCCACCTTCCTCCGCATGGCACAGGGCTTAGCGGTGGACGGTGGTAGGTCCATGTGTGCGGCCCAGGTCGCCTGCCGCCATCTCTGGTTGGGCCTGTCACCTCTCAGGGATGCTGATAAGCGGCGCCTTCTGGATCTGCCGCTCTCCTCCTCTTCCTTGTTTGGACCAGACATCCAGACCCTCGTGGAGCGGATGGAAACAGCGTCCAAGACCTCCGCTCAGTTGGCACAGCATCTCCGCCCTCCGCGGGCTCCTCGTCCCACGGCACGGCGTCCGGGTTATGCGGAGCGAAGAACCCGTGACCGCCCGGCCCCCCCGCATCGTTCAGAGCCTGGAGGCGCTCTGGGTCCTGTGCGCGGGAGACAGCGAGCTCGTGACCAACGGGGGAGCGGCAGCCACCCCGGCTCTCCAACTACAGGGAGGGGAGGGAAATACTTTAATAAAGGCCGCAAGCAGGCCCGTTACTCCCATAAAGAGCCAACTTCTTTCCCTTTTCCCTCTCACTCAGCAATTGGCCAACGCTGCTCCTCTACAGGGCGTCTGGAGCCTCTCTCAACGCGCTGCGAGGTGGCACGTTGGAGGCAGGCTCCAGGTTCGCAGTGCACTCCCCGTGGTTTCGCCTCCCGCGGGCAGGGAGTGCGTGACCGTGCGCTCCCCTCCTACGCTCCTTGTGCGCCAGCAGCACCAGCTCACAGCGCTCCGTGTGAGAGGCACAGGGCCGCAGCTATCCAGAAGAACAAGGGGGACTGCTCGGCCCCCCCTCAGTCTCCAGTGTTGGGGGGCGGGGGCCCGGCTCCGCGGAAGCAAAGCACGCCTGCCCTCTGGCTGCCACCCGGAAATAGGTCCAGGGCCGCAGCTAGTGCTCAACCCTCCTCCCAGGGGCCCCCCACTATCCAGAGCATTAAGGGGGACTGCTCGGCCCCCCCTCAGTCCTCAGTGCTGGGGAAAGGGGGCTCGGCTCCACGTAAGCGCAGCTCGCCTGCCCTTACGCTGCCACCCGGTGAAGGACCCAGGGCCGCAGTCAGGGCTCGGCCCTCTTCTCAGGGGCCCCCCACGGTCCAGAGCGATAAGTGGGCCTGCCCGGCCCCCCCTCAGTCCGCAGTGTTGGGGTGCGGGGGCTCTGCTCCACGGAAGCGCAGCGCGTCTGCCCTCACTCTGCCGCCCGGGAAAAGGCCCAGGGCCGCAGCTAGGGCTCAGCCCTTTTCCCAGGGGCCCCCCACTATCCGATGCCTCCCCAGGAGGGACGTCTGTGGGCGGGCCGGGCCTTACTCCCTCCTCCCATCCCGCCGTGCTTCCCTTGACTCATTTTGTCACCGTATGGGAACAGGCAGGGCTCCTGGGAACACCGTGGATACGCAGAGTGCTGCATCGGGGCTATGCTCTCCAGTTCTCCCGGCGGCCCCCTCCTTTCTGCGGCATTCTCCAGACAAGGCTATGCAGCCCGGAGGACGCCGTGGCGCTTCACAGGGAGGTCGACGCGCTTCTGCAGCGCGGCGCGGTAGCGGAGGTAGACCCGCTCAAGGCAGGGACAGGGTTTTACTCTCCATACTTCATTGTTCCCAAAAAGAGCGGGGGGGTGCGGGCCATTCTGGACCTGCGCGTCCTCAACGGCTGCATAGCCAAGCGACCGTTTCGCATGCTCACAGTCAAACAGCTGCTGCTGAGCATCAGGCCCGGGGACTGGATGTCCTCCGTGGACCTCAGAGACGCGTATTTCCACATACCCATTGCTCTGGGGCACAGGAAGTTCCTCCGGTTTTCTGTGGGAGGGGGGTGCTTCGAGTATTGCCGACTCCCGTTCGGCTACTCCCTAGCCCCCCGCACCTTCTCCAAGTGTGTGGAGGCGGCGCTAGAACCCCTTCGGCGTCAGGGCCTCAGGATACTGACGTATATAGACGACTGGCTGATCCTGGCCTCCTCTCGGGAGGAGGCGCAGGATCACACGTCCAGAGTGATGAACCACGTTGCCCGGCTAGGGTTTGTGATCAATATGGACAAAAGCTCCCTGTGCCCGGCCCAGGAGATTTCGTATCTGGGGCTGGTCTTGAATTCCAGGAGCATGACGGCTTCACTCTCGCCGGAGAGACAAGCGGCGGTTCAAAACCTGGGCCGGGTCGTTCTGGGCGAACCTCGGGTCCAACCGCGGCAGATCCGGTCACTCTTGGGCATGATGGCAGCAGCCCATCCAGTGGTGAGACTGGGGTTGCTGCACATGCGATATCTCCAGAGGTGGTTCTCACACCTCAGGGGTTTATCACGGAGGGAGCGACTGTCGGAGAGGGCTCGGAACGACGTCGCCTTCTGGCTGTCCCCAGGTCGACTCCAGGAGGGAGTTCGAATGGGTCTGGTGGACCACCACATCGAGGTCTTCACGGACGCCTCACTGAGCGGTTGGGGAGGCGTGCTCGGCCACCACTCGGCAGGAGGCGTTTGGTCCTCCCCCTTGGGGCACATCAACCTCCTGGAGTTGGAGGCGGTGCGGTTAGTGCTGGCCCATTTTGTGACCAGACTGGAGGGCCAACATGTGATTGTTCGGACGGACAACACCACTGTGGCAGCTTACCTGAACAGGCAGGGGGGGACCAGGTCCCCCGCCCTTCACAGGCTAGCAGTGGAGGTTCTTCTGTGGGCGAACGTTCACCTAGCCTCTCTGAGGGCCCGTCACATCCCAGGCGAGCGCAACGTGGCCGCCGACAGGATGTCCAGGGGCGGGGCCTTGCGGGACGAGTGGGGTCTCGCCCCAGCGGTCGTGGCGGAGGTCTGGCTCCGGTTCGGAACACCGGTGGCCGACCTTTTCGCAAATGCAGAGAACGCACAGTGCCCACTCTGGTTCTCGCTCAGGTCCAGCGACGAGCCCCCTCTCGGGGTGGACGCCATGGCGCACAGGTCGTGGCCCAACGGTCTCCTCTACGCCTTCCCGCCTCTCCGGCTCTTGGCAGCCCTACTTTACAGGGTAAGGAGGGAGGGGGTCTCCATCCTGGTGGTGGCGCCGGACAGCCCGGGAGCCAGGTGGTATCCGGACCTGGTGAGCATGGCGCTCGGTCCGCCTTGGCCCATTCCGGACCGTCCCGATGCTCTGAGACAGGCAGGGGGAGCCCTTTACTCACGCCCTGTCCTGGGACACAGGCTCATGGTCTGGAGGCTGAAAGGGGGAAACTGTTGAGCCTTGGTCTCCCTCCCTCAGTGGTCGCTACTATTCAGGGTGGGAGGGCTACATCCACCACCAAAGCGTATGAGGTTCGCTGGAAACTCTTCGCCTCTTGGTGCGTGGACAGAGGCCTGGACCCCACCTCGTGTTCCATCCAGGAGGTCTTGGCTTTTCTCCAGTTTTTGCTGGAGAAGGGAAGGGCGGCCGCCACTCTGGGTGTGTTCGCGGCGGCCATTACCACAGGGCACGTGGGGTTTGGTAGCCACTCTGCGCGTAGCCACCCCTTGGTGAAGCGCTTTCTCCGAGGGGCCCGCAGGATCAGACCTCCCCTCCGGCGGTCGGCTCCGTCTTGGGACCTTCAGGTGGTCTTAGCTGGTCTGTCGGGGCCTCCATTTGAACCCCTGGACAATGCGACCATTGCCTGTTTGTCCTACAAAACGGCATTGTTGTTGGCGTTGGCTTCGGCCAAGAGGTCTGGGGATCTGTGCGCCCTTTCCATGCAGCCGTCTTGTTTGTCCCTCCCCGATCGGGAGGGCATGATGGAGTTGTGGCCTAACCCGGCATTCCAGCCCAAGGTCGTCACGTCATCTTTCAGATCTAGGGTGATCAGGGTGAGACCGTTTTTCCCTCCTCCGCATGCTTCGGAGGAGGAAGAGCGGCGTCATAGTCTCTGCCCGATCAGGGCTGTGAGATGCTATTTGGACCGCACGTCTGACCTCAGACGGTCGAATCAGTTGTTTGTCGGGTTTGGCACCAGGAGTCAGGGTGCTGCTTTGTCTCCACAGCGCTTGGCCCACTGGCTTTGCCTTGCTATTCGTTTGGCGTATGAGGCTCAGGGCTTGCCGCCTCCGGCCCAGTTGAGGGCTCACTCCACTCGCGGGGTTGCCGCTTCGGTGGCTTTGTTCCGTGGCACTTCGGTGGAGGAGATCTGCAGAGCGGCGTCTTGGTCCTCCCCCTCGACCTTTGTGCAGTTTTACCTACTAGATGTGGCCTCTGACTCTGTGGCTCATTCGGTTTTGAGTGCAGGGCGGCCCTAGTTCCTCCTTCGTCTAGGGTTATGTGGAGAGGTGTTGGCGCTCTTGGGAGAGGCGGCCTGGACACCTCTGCAGTAGGGGTAGGCGCTCTTGGGAGAGGCGGCCTAGACCCTTCTGCAGTCTGCTCTACATTCCTGGGGTTCAGGTGCTCTTGGGAGAGGCTGCCTGCCCAGGTTTGTTCTGAATTCTTTCCTGCTTTGCAGGTTGGGGAATGCGCGGGCACTCTTGGGAGAGGTAGCCCTGCATCCCTTTCTCTATGGCTCGTAGGACCTCCGTTTCTACCGCTTGGTTGCGGTATGAGCAGGAGGGTCACGAGTTTGCTCCAATCACCAGAGTTCATGCCTGCTGGGAGTACATTGGTCTGGGCTTCGCTATGTTATGCATTAGCGAAGCCTAAAGGGCGAAGCAACATATGAAATAGAAACCCCAGTTACCTAATGTAACTAAGGTTCTATGAATATGTTGCGAAGCCCTTTAGCTTCGAGCCCAGCAGGCCTGCCCTCTCTTATTCGGCTGAGTTCGAAAGGAGAAGAGCTGTGGTGCATGACCCTTTTTATAGGGGACAGACCTACGCCAGGACGTGAAGGTGATTGGAGGGTGGATCGTTTGATCTTCTCAGGGCGGGAAGCGATGCTTCCGAGAGATATGCATTAGCGAAGCCTAAAGGGCTTCGCAACATATTCATAGAACCTTAGTTACATTAGGTAACTGGGGTATATGTCCAGCCGCCTTGTCATAAAACTAGAGCAAGATTCTCTAATGTATTCAAGCTGAAGCATGTTAGATGCAGCATACAGTCTTTGTACATTTCTCTCTGTGATAGCCACCCTGCCTGTATAACAATAGTCTATTATCACTGACATGGACTCTGCATCCACTCCTCGGATGACCACTCTCTGTGACAAAGTTTCATTCAAGCCTCCAGTAAACATACTTTTAAAGTAGGGACTGGCCGAAGCAAGAACAATACGGCTACACAGGAAAAGTTGTGGTTTGTCTGCACAGGCAGTGTCGCTGCCATGCTCCTGTAACTCCCCTTCACTCTCAACTTCAATAGTCACATCGCCCAGCAGATGACAGTCGTACAAAAGTTTCATTTGCTTCAGAAGTGCTCGCGCGTGATCCGCGTCCTCGACCACCTCCGGACCCCCGAAGCAGGTCAAGGCTGAGGCCATCGCCGATTAGAAACACTCTGACGACGCCTGGCTCATTCACATCAAGGCGTTTAGCGTATTTCAGAAGACGTTATCTCGTGGCTGAAATACACCGCCGGCGTCCACGAAAACACAACGTCACAACGCGTTGGATTTATCGTACCCTTTTGATAGATCGTGAAGTCCTTGTTCTGCCCAGAGTCATTCTTAGCTTTGTAAATACAGACAACCACACGGATTTCATCTGAGCGCAGTCAGTCCCGTTGTAAAATAACAGATGGCTGGATTCAGTGCTTTTTTCCGCTGGATTCTAACAGAATAAAATTTCCACAAAATAAGTGGTCCGCCCAGCTTTTGTTATACTTACATATACCTAATTTTCACTGATTACAATATCATTAGTAATGCATAATTCAAACCTATAGCATTTCATGTCAAAACTATTACTTCAATTCATATTGTAATGTGGAAGAAATAATACTTTATTTTACTTTGAAAGGAATCCTTTGCATTAGACCTTAGATGATAGACTGAACTGTCTATCGCTTTAACTCATACTACTAACCTATTTAAAAAAAAATAATAATAAAGATAATAACACTCAATTGTAAAATAAAGAAACCATACGTTAAGCTTCCGAAAAAATACATAGCTAACTAATGTATTTTATGTATGGATTTTTAAATGTGTCTACACACACATTTATATTTGTATACATTTACTTGGAGTTCATGTATTTACGGTTGGGGTCGTTGATTCTTTTCATCCCCTCTTGGTCGTGGATGGTCTTGTGCACTGTGATAAGAAAAGGAAAAGCGGAGGGCAGCTCCACCTTGCGGCTCAGCTTCTGGTGGCCCCAGTGAATGCAACGTAATTTATCTGCGAGATCCCTTCTCCCTGCTCGCTCGAGTCCATCCTGGAGCAGTTTTGTTTTGTTGGACTTTTCAAACGATTTCTCTGACCTGAATTGGAAATAAATTACCAAAAGACGCAGACACATGTTTTCTAGATCAAAGTTTACAAAGCTCATAAGGAATATTGTAAAGGCGTATAATAAATATGCATTACCAGCTCTCCAACATGGCTCTTGCTTGGTTTCTTTTGTCGGAGTGTTTGGTGTGAAATCTAGCAATTTCAGATCTGTTAAAGCCAAGCTCGTATGCAAGGACAGGCCACTCAAAGCCAAGCTGGGAGGAGATGTCTTGCAATGTTTTTGAATTGATGACAGCATCCTATAATCATACAAGCATCATATTGATGAAAATAATAGAATTAGTCTAGTACTAAAAAACAAACATCACACTCACCTCCTGTGCTTTGTTGGGCATTGTCTCTTATATATATAGCTACTTTTCATTAGAGCCTTAAGTGTTACTAAGGAGATTCAAAATAAACAGGCAAGCCTGTTAATGATTTGTCACTGAAATCACTTATTAAAAAACATACAGCCTGAAACGCCTTCAGTCTTGTAGTTATCCAAGAAGATTTTGTGCAATGAAGAGAAAAAATAGTCTTCACATTTTGAATAGTTTTATATTTCAATTAAGAAAGCATGTGCAGGGCTCCTGCTGCATGTATGTAAATGAAACACTACAATAGTCCGCTGTACAGAAACCAAATCTCAAGTGGAAGATTCACAAGTTACTGAATCCCTTAAAATATAAGCTAAAATATAAATTACAATCAGGCAACCTTTCGAAGGAACATGATGTAGCGGAATATAAAACAATACAGTGTGGGAATGATAAATTATGATAACTAAAGTTACACAAGTACAGTCAATAACACAAAGACATTGACAGAAAAAGAATAGCCAACAGTTTCAGTCTTTTTATGAGTAATAATTCATAGATCCAGCCTGCTGGACCTTTACTTCAAATGAAGTGCTTTTTGATCTTATCAGTCCTAACTATTTGGCTCTTAGTCCAAAAATGACTGTTCTAAAAGTGTAGATCTCCAAACTCTAATCTCCATCAGTTCATACAGTATAACCCTGTGCACCATTAGCAAGTTACTTATTCGTTAACTTAATAGCAGCCATCTTTCCAGCTTCCATCTCTTAATGCACTTAAGGCAGCAATGCTCTTTGGGGGAGTAAGTAAGCTGAAAAGAGATAAAGTACACATTTTACTATAATGCATAGCTCATTTGATCAATAAGTAGATGCATGAACTTACCTCCTTGTGGGCTGTGAAATTTTGCTTGTGCGTAAATTTGCTCCTATAAAAGATGCAGGGCGGGGAAGAGAGCTTCGAGGGGGGTGATTTGAGCTGTTTTTTAAAGACAGGGGTACTAAGCTGCTGTTACTAGGTTTGAGGGGCTGTGGCAAGGCTGTACAGCTGGAGATAGAATTTAGACTTGTGGAGGTGCTCAGGCCTGTAGAGGAGGGACTGTTCTGGATGGTTGGGCTCACATAGGCAGTGGCTTTTACAGGGTTCCGTGGCATCGAAGGGAAGTTTCCCACACTCTGAACACGCTGACTAAGTTGACCAGGTGGAGGAACTGAAATGAAAATAAGTTAATTAGTTTAACATGTTTTAATAACTTTCAACTTTGCACAGGCCAATGAATCTATGTTAAAAGTCTTACTGGAGGACTGAAGTCGTGCAAGTCCACTGGATGAGTCAAAACTCTGGCTGTTCCGGAGGGTGGGCATTGAAGGTAAAGATGAAGGGCCATGTGCAGGGTTGGCAAGGGTTGACAGGCAAGGGATGCTAGGAACACTGGGCATGCTTGGAGCGCGGATCAGATTGGGCATGCTTCGTCGAAGTTTGTCTATGCAAGCATATTCAAATAAATGATTGGACTTCCAATGTATTACAATAATGGTTGCGCAATTAAGAGAAAATATACAATAATAGAACGTATAAATTAAAAGTAAGTTGTTCAGGAAGATTTGTTATACAATAGTTTATACAATCTATTCCTTCATGCTTACCTGTGCAGTTATTTGGCACTGTGGGTGCTTCTGTGATGAGGCTGGAGGGTCCAGAGAACTGTTGCAGTCCATTTAGTGAAAACTGAGAGGTGCTGCGTCTGCAGTCTCTTATGGAGGAAAAAGTGTGAGAGTGGGGCAGGCCAGCTCGCTGCATTGACCCAGTGCGGTAGAGTCGAGGCTGAGGAGGAGGAAGCTGGTCATAACCTTCGTCCTCTTCATCTTCTTCCTCCAGATCCATTTCACTTCTCCTCAGGGAGTGTATGGAAAAAGTGGAACTGCGACGGCTAGTGGTCGATGAGGTAGAGGCAAAGTCCTGTCGGAGACCTATAGGACAACAGATACATAATCTCAGGAACATGATCTCTTGGAGGTCAAGATTTTTCATCTGAATAATTTAAAAAAGGTTCAATACAGAAAAACTTTAAAGTTTCTCATGTATATCTCTTACTCACTCTCCTCCTGAAGTCGTGCCATGACCTCCACGTCTGTCATGTCCTGTAGCTTGTAACTCATTGAAACCGAGTCGTCTTCCAACTCTGAAACACCCACTTCACTGTCCAGGGAAGACTGAGGACTGATTGTTGCATGTCGTCGACTAAGATCTAAAAGTGCAGACTCACATGAGAATGACGTCTTATACACTGTTTTCCTCGTGTATGTGGATCTTACTGTGTAAAGTGGAGTTTGATAAGAAGGTGGGTGCTCTGTCACTTGATCTGAGAGGGGCAGCGGGCAGAAGAAAAGGTGGACTAGACGGCGCAGGAGCTGATAAAAGAGAAAGGGAAATTTGTTAAGCAGAGTCTGATCATTTCCATATCACTATCACTGGTTGTGCGAGGAGGAAACCCAGTAGGCCACATGATTATTTACCACTAGTGCAACATTGATGACCAATAAAACCACCTACTCCCCTCCTCTACACTTGAAATTGAAAAAATATGAATTGGTGATTTTAAAAAAATAAACTAAAATGAATGCAACAATGTTTACCTTTGATTTCTGATAGTGACTTGGAGAAAGGCAGGACTGGGTAGTTATAAGAAGAAAACCCATCTATACAGCTGTATGGACGGACTGGAGATACTCCTTTCCAGCGTTTAGCTGTGAGAAAATTTCCATGTTAGTTTCCTGATTGTGACATGATTATCTGCTTATGACATTTTCCATGTATGTTTTACATGATTTGGTTCAAGCTCGGATTGAAGCGGATGATGAAGCAAGATAAATGTAGCTTTGCGCAGTGATTATTAAGGATAAAAAGCTATTTCCAAAGAATCTTATCATAAGTAGGGATTGCACGTGTTTATCTAGCCCACATTTTCAAAGTCAGTTGAAGTCTGCATTATATTATGTTAAATGGCTCAACGAGAAACTGGTATTATTCAAAACATTGGTTTACATGAACATGAAAACAATAATTGTTATAGACTAGTTCGTAGTTACCAAACCTTTCACATCAAGACCTCCATAGAAAGTTTTTCAACACCAGGCCTAAGGTAGAACTAAAATATTTCATTGATTGCATTGATCAACAGAAAAAGCGTTTTGCATCTGTGTTTGTTAAGAATGAAAACGTTTTACAATGTTTGCACCACTTACAGACACCTTTTATGAAAAAATAAGTATAACATGACAAGGTAGCTCAGTTGAACCCCTTATTACCAATAATTGTAAGATAATGATAATAACATCATTACATTATTATAGCACGTTTGATACCGATTTTCTCCAAGGTTTCTATGACCTCAGCATAGCATATTGACTTTATGTTAAAAACATTATCTTGGGCAAATTGTCAGTGATGATGTTGAAATTGGTTTGTACTTATCTAACTTGAATAGTTCAGTTTAACTGACCACCTATCCTTATCCATTATTCACAGTATGTGTGATTCTATTTGGCTCCATTTCATATGCTGAATAATAGAAAAAAATGGGACGTAAAGTTTGAACATTTAAAACCAAATCCACTGATAAATGTGGATGAAATACAGCTATGAGGAAGTGGGCAATTACTTTTGGTGTTTTGGAAGTCTATTACTTTTGCAATGGTAACACAATGCAGAATAATCATCTATGAATGTTATTATTGAATACTAAATATAACCTAAGTAATCTTTATTTATGTTGCACCTTACCTAACTGTTTTGCCACCATGACACAACATTTCTCATAAAAAGACACCAGAGATTGACAGAAATTAGTTTGACCACAGGGTAATCCTCTCACAAAAATCCTTCTGCACGTGCTGCTTATAGTTTGATGTCATGACAAGCCAACTGTTAATCCAGATGTTACCTTGATCCAGTCTGTGGCAGAGTGTCATCCGGGCAAGCTGGATCTCTGGCCCTGGGTGGTCCAGGACCTGCCTGCACCACCGGAGAGGACTGAGGCCAATGTCACCATTTAGGCTCACCTTGGGACTCGTATACAACCTGCCGAAAGATATTTAATATGATGGTTCACAATTATGAGCAGTCCTGTTCGGTGGAATTGTGTTGGAGGAAAATTAAGACTTTTTTGTTGCATTTCAAAGGGCATAATATTATTTGTATTAGTATTGTTTTAAACTAAATCATTTCTTATATTAATAGGGGTGGGAATTTATAAGAATTTTTCTTCCTCCCACTCTTTTTCGTTTCAATGACGTGCAATATTGTAATAAGTAATTGTAAATGGAGGATTTGCTGGAAAGTTCTATGACGTCTGTTTGGTATACATTTAACTCGAAATAAATAAACACTCAACTCAACTTGTTAAACGAGAAAAAAACAGTAAGTAAGTAAGTAATGTCACAACTTCCAGGCCATTTATGGAAACAATTGGACCATAGTTGATATGAACGGATAAGTTATGTCAAATTCTCTATTCATATACTGTAAGTCAGGACCTGGAAACTATGACTAGAGGTCTGACTTTTATCAGTTACCATAGTTACCATGAAAGGTTTATCAGCTACACAACAATTACAAGTTACAACTACAGGCTCTTTGGAATGTTGTGATGTCACATAAATACTACCTAATAAACGATTAATAAGAATCAGTAAATACTTGAAATGGAATGCATTTCTAAATTACGTTTTACAATTGGAATAATTAATTGTGATTCCATTTACAGGTAACTTAAAGTCCCTTTTCCTTTCTCTTCTTGGAAAAGAGGGCATCACTGACAGGACTTAAATGGGTCATTTCCTGCTAGTTATTCTGAATGCAATGGAGGGGTTGAATAGTGGAGCTGTGCTCTATTTTCCACATCCCTACACATCATACTATATCTTTAGTAGTCGCTTCACAAGTCAGCGGAGTTACCAGTTGAGTAGTCTATTTCAACTTGGCTGCAGGGGATAGAAACCTCAGTTTAAAGTCTGATCAGTGGCTGAAGAGATCATGTTAGTGAATTCCTATACATTCACAATAGAAACCTGCACAATGCATTCTCTGAATCAGAAACCTGCACAATGCATTCTCTGAATCAGAAACCTGCACAATGCATTCTCTGAATCAGCTTTGTTTTTCATAATGAATTTGAATACTCCCTAAAGTGAGGATTCGGTAAACAGGACAAGAATAACCTGCAAGCTGGACCGTAAACCTGATAGCTCCACAGGCACGTCAGACAGAGGAAAACACTATATTTAGTAATATAGTTATATTACCATCTATCAGGTTCGTCCCGAGGCAGCACACAGCCCAAGTCTAAAATCTCCACCTCATCCAACGCACTCGGTTCGGGGGCAGCATTGTCATCTTCGGCCTCATCAGGAGACTTGGAGCTTGGCTGAAAATAGGCAAAGGGTTCGTCCAATGATCCATTGGAACACCGCAGTGCCTTTGTCGGACTCGGGGTGTCAACATCTTGAAGCAAAGTCTCTCCCGGACACAGTGTACTGTTCTGGATCTGTGGTGGGCCCGCGGTGCAATGGTTCACAGCGTTAGCTCGAGTCCGTAATTGTTCGTTTTGCTTCTCCAATTTTCGAACCAATTCTTGAAGCTTTAACACCTCGAGCTCAGCGTTGGTCATTTTATTGTTACCGTTAACGTCGGCCATTGTCTGGGGGATCACCACCTCCGCTTCCATTTGGTACAAAGCACATTGGGATGCAGACGAAAACCAGGGCTGTCGCACAGAGGGCACTCCGCAGTTGTTTGGATGAGATGTCCAGGTTTCTTCGTTTATGACATGCATGCACTGCCACTGATGCTGCTGCTGTTACTGCTCCTGCTGCTGCTGCTGGGATGACGGCAAAGCTCTGCTCCTATTGGTCAGCGCAACTCCCATCACACCACCGCCGCGTAAAGAACACACAGGCATGATACACCCCCAGTGGTGATAAAAAGAACATAATTATACATAAGTATTCTTGCACAATATTAATATATATTTCAGTCCTTTATTTCACCCTATACATGTTTGCTAAAGACACACACAAAAACAGGAACAGTTAGTTACAGATGGGGATTATGAAGAACTCAAACTCAAACTTTGCAGTGATGTGCTATGGCTACAAGCTGTTACGTGGTTTACTCCCAAAGGCTCTCCAGTCCTTTTGTCCCATTATTAAACGAACTCCTATTCAAACACGGAATAAAACACTCGTCCACCCGGGCATAGAATTCCCCACGAGTCGAGCATTGGACCGATCTCCATTCCTATTTTTAACAAAGCTATTAAACAAATCTCCCGAGCTGTGGGACTGTCCCACCTTGGACAATTTTAAAAACAAATTATGGGACATCAAGCATAGGCTGATTTTTGATACTATGTTTTAATATTTAAGAAACCAGCCGTCAATGCCTTCGGGCACGACGTTTCTACATAAAAGTTGTATTAAAAAAAACAAACAAAAAAAACACGCAAATCAGATTGTGCTGCATCAACTTTTTATAGCATGATGCACTCTCCCATTATTTTATTGATTAATAGGTATGCAACTATACTGTCATAAGCAAGCCTAATTTCCAGCTAACATAATATTGCTTTATTGCACACATCAAAAGCCCCCGGCCCAAGATAATATTTTTAATTCAACAAACATGAGATTAGCATTTAAAGATCTGCAACCATAGAAATATGCGTAACATTAACATCCAAGTGAATGTCTTCTTCGTGCAAAACCTCCAACACAGGTCAACGCCTCCATTTGTCTGTGGAAACAAGAAATTAACTTTTCAAATAAAGCATTGATATAAATGTTGCCAATATAATTATGGACTGTTTTACCTCTGGTGACTTCAAAACATCTCTCGCAGTGCACCATGTGTTTGTAAATCCACATGCTGTCCCCAGCTTTCAGATGGCCCAGAGAGCTGTTACACACTTCACACTATCAAACAGACAATGTTGATGTTAAATTACTACTCAAACAAAAATATAAAAGGTGAGGCATATAGACTCACTTTAAAGCAGGTAGCATGGCAGTTGATCTTCACGTCATCCAGGATTATCTTTGCATTTCCAATGAAGGGCTTGTGGCAGTAGCTGCACATGTCTTTCTCAAGTACTGTCCTGAAAAGTAGTTTCATAACATGCTAAACTATGAAATAATTGATTTTATTAGACACTTGAAAGCCCAAATTTTCATCACTGGTATTTATAAGTAGTGTACTTCTGTTGAAAATACCAAACAAAAATAATAATTTCCAGTACCTGGTTGTTTTATATGTTGAAGAACTGTAGCTGCTGGGGCTAGTGATGCTGGAGTACTCATAACTGTAATAACATGCAACAACAATTAAGCACAGATTGATAGGTTACTTGGCAACATAACATACTGTACCTCTCTGGTTTTGTGTATGTGTAGGTCTTGGTGTCAGCCCTGATATCCTCACTGCAGGGAAACACATTTAAGTGGTCTATGCAGCCCTGATTGATTTGCAGATATTGTTAAATGACCTAATTATCAGTCTCCTAAAACCCCACCTAGTGTTCGTGTTGATAGTGTAGGTCGAAGTACGACTTGAGGGATACTCATCAGTGTAAGTGCTGCTCCTGTAAAAGAAAATGACATGTTCTGCCTTTACTGGTATACATACAGTATACAGTTCTGGTTTACATTTCTTTAGAATTAAACTTATTCTAGTACAACCCGTTTCTCCAAGCCATTCATATTTTTTAATACCTGCTGGTACGGGTCACAGATGAAGTTGGGCTGCTGCTTCTAAAAAACAAATATTTTAGTCTTAGGAAAGCATGTAAAGAAGACACAGGCTGAATATAAGACTGACCCGCTGCTGCTCACGGTATAGAGGTCTCTCTTTGTAATCGAGCTGTAAAAAACACAAAAATTGTAATCAATGATAATTAAACACCAATAGGTACATTTTTTTTGCACAAAATACTAATCTGAGGAGAAAATGGTTTCTGAAAATAAGGATAAAGGCAGTAAACTATACTTGGGATGAGAAATGTTAACCGTTCAGTGCATTAGTCTGCTTGTCACTTTATCTGACTTTACTGTAGCAGTTTTTGTATATATTTTCACATTTTGGCAGACCAGCAGCGCTTTCAAGAATGGAAAATTATGCTGTAGCTCACCTGGTTGGTGTGGATAGGTCAGATATTGCCTTTGGTATCAGAGTATCATACAAGTCATCCTCAGTTCTGCAAAAACAGTATTATTAAATTAATGAGAAAAAAAAAACAGGCAATAAAGTTATTTCTTTTTTGAACAGTGGTATTAAATCTTACGTCGAGGACGTGGAAGTTCTTGTTGTGGTTGAAGTCTTCTCTCTGAGGGAGACAAAATGTTGAGTGACTCTTTACTGACATCTCAATATGTTTTTCACGTACGGTTCATAGCTGCTCTTGACAGTCACTGACTCTGTGGTGATTACTTTACTGAAAAAACAAAAAAGCACATTCACTTAGCACACGTCTAATGCATGGATTTGTTCACAAAGTAACCATGGTAATTGACAATTGACTACCTTTCGTCCTTAATTGGTGACGGAATGTCATAAAGCTTGTCCTCAGCACTAAAAGTAAAACATATTGGTAAAACATTATTACAAGTATTATAATTGTACTATGTTGAATAAAGAGATGACTAAGAAGTACTAAGTAAGATTTTAGTACTAAGTAAGAATTACTTACATGTCACTGGAGCTTTTCACAGTCACATATTCAGTTCTGGAGACAGTAGTTTTGCTACAATAATGATGATAAAAGAATTACTGTATATACAGTATATACCTGGTGTACCCTTCCACAAGCACTCACACACTATTCATAGTAGGTACTGTATGTTAGGTGTCTTGCTTAAGGACACAACAAGCTCTAAACCAAGGCCTTGTCTGGATAGGCATGCGCTGATGTACATTACATTGAATTTACGGCTGCGCGATTAATAAAAATCATTTTTAGTGACTGCAATTATAAAAACGACTGCATGTAACCACCCATGATCTTGAAACTGCTAATGTTTTTATTTATTCTAATTGACTAATATTAGTAAATATTAGTTATTGAGTAATATTTCAACTAACATTATTGAATATGTTTATATTTCATATTATAATGTTGCAGTGTTTTTACCGGAATTTAAACCTTGCCGAGGGACGACGGTTGAAAACTACCTAAATATTTCATACTGGCACATTTACAGAAATGTTGATTAATATGTACTATTCCTATTAAATAAACAAATATAATACTTATTATTCAGAATTTATAAAAACAACAAATTGGTGCATATTATACAAATGTGGCTATCCTTGTGTTTACAACTCTAAAACAGGCTAAGATAGAAGGCATATGTCAAAAATAGGCTGATAATCAGCAATAAATTATCCTATTTTGTGTCCCTTTGGTCCTTTATATCCAACAGTGGACATATAGTCAAATAAAGAAGTGCTCTATGAACATTATCCTTGTTTCATGAGCTGATCTGAAAAGTTGATCTAGAAAATTGCAATTATATATATATTTTTTAAATTGTGTAGCCCTAATTCCTAAGTCCTAACCTTAACCTTAGTTAGTACTGGGAAAAAACTACACTTATAAAACCATTTCTGAGCTCCCATGTTGTTGATTGGTGGGCACATAAATGTACACAAAGAGAAAAAAGGAACCATTCTATGCCACCTGTCTGAGGTGATGGAGTCAGGGAGGAGTGTGCCATAGAGTTTGTCCTCAGTACTGCAGACATTCATAAAATATATGAGCTTCCAAGAAATATTTTGATTTTAAATGAAATAATGTAAACATCATACTCGTTGGAGCTGCCCTTGGTGGTCGACTCAGTTATTGTTGTTTTTCTGGTTGGGGAATAGCTTGAGTAAAGTGACCTGTGTGGGGAAAACATTCATTTTTCCATATTGGTGACACAAAATATATTGTCTTACAGAGCTTTTTAACTGTGGTACCCTTTGGTTTTGTCAGAAAACACTCTATCCGTGAAGGAATCCGTTTTTGTAGATGTCCTGCCGAAAATGTATAAGTTAGTTGCATATAGAATGTCTTTATTTAATAAAATAAAATGTATGTGAATTTTTTATACTTTTCAGTGGTCGTTGTAATTGTTGTCTCGGTAGTTTTCCCATTATCTGAGAACGTAGTTGTTGTCGTACTGAATTAAATAAATAAACAAATGTATCAATTAAATTAGAATTGAAATGAATAAAATATGACGATTATAATCATTATTATCATAACATAATTAAACCTTGTTTTCGGTTCCTCTGTAACTGAAGTTCTGCAAGGGGAGACAAATCATAAGATCATAACAGTAATAATGACATTGATAAAACAACATGTGTGTGAAAGCATTGAGAATAAAGTCACCTTTGGGGAGATGTTGATGAGTAACTGCTGTAAGTACTGTAAAATAAAGTCATATTTTAATCATAATAACACATTAATTCTGTTTTATTATAGGAGACATACTTTCTGGTGAAAGAGCTTCTGGTTGGGCTGTTACTGTGCAAAGAGGCTATTGTCAGTACAAACTTTATCAAATATGAGCAAAAATATACTTGTTCTACTAACCTGGCATTCAGCTCATCCTGGCTCGTGCTAAACCTGATTCACATCACAACAACAACAACAAAAGTATTTCAAACATACTGTATCTTAAACCATGAAATGATCAGTATTATCATTTAAACTTCATCAAACCTCTTTGTCAGGGCTTCAACAGAGCTGGTTGAAGTCTTTCTACTGGATGATAATGGCTCAGAACTATGAAAATAAACATTAATAAAGAAAAGGCCTGTAAAGTCACACCATACACACCATATATGTAATGTCACCTCACAACAGTTGTTTCAGTCACTTTGTACCGCCCTAAAACACTGCGCCCAAAGTTTGGGTCCCGACTGTGGACAATAGTGAAACAATTGTAAGTGGCAGATTCATTAGTGGGAAAACTTTTTTTTTTAAACATTAAAAAAAATCCTTACTCCACATCTTCATCCTCTTCCTCAGCTTTTTTGATCCAACTGGAGTCTTTCAAGAGAGATGACCTCTTTTTGTTTTCTTCTATTGCCTGACTGGGGCTAGTGTAGGTGTCTGTTGGTGCAATTATGAGTTAATGGAAATATGATTATTCAGTAATGTGATGCAACTGCTATACTTACTGTAATTGCTCATCGTAAATCTTGTTCACCTATGGGAAAAAAAGCCTTGATAATTCAGCTACTATTTGTAGACCACTAGATGGTACTGTAAATTTACAATACAACTTTGTTGTGAGAATAAAAAGTAGACTAGAGATAGATACATGGATTGGAATGCTTACTAAAGACAAACTGGTTTGTCTCGATCTATGCCAACTACGAGGAAACACCCTCCTTTACCACACCTTTTTCAAACAAGCCATTGACAGCAAATCAGTGAAACATGTCATTAACCATTGATGATAAAGACAGTGCCCTTTGGACTAAATGTTAAGTCTCACTCAAGAGAAACACAGCCTTTGTTAAACTTATGATTTGTTTGCATGAGAAATGGTACTTAACAAATTTAGGAGGCATAATGGCTATAAGAAATTGCAATAGAAATTAATCAATATGCTCCACAGCCCTGGAACATCTTCCCAACAGAGCTGAGGGAAATTCAAAGCTTGGGTGTTTTGAAAACACAATTAAATAAAATTGTATTTAGACAGCTATTAACACACACACACACACACACATACACACACACACACACACACACACACACACACACACACACACACACACACACACACACACACACACACACACACACACACACACACACACACACACACACACACACACACACACACACACACACACACACACACACACACACCCTATATGTAAAAAAGAAAAAAAGCCTTTGCAGGCAGTTATCCCTCTCTCTAACTCAGGTCCTCTCGTCTACCAGAGGCCTGGGAGCTTGTGGGTTCTGCACAGTATCTTTGCTGTTCATTTCTGAACTGAGATTTCCGAGGTTGTTCCAGGGATCTGCTGTCACCACTTCTCCAGAATAGTACATATACAGACCCTCAAGCTCCCAGGCCCAGGTTGAGGACCCAAGCTTAGAGAGGGATGACCGCTCAAGGACGGTGAACGTAGAAAATGTATTTTTTTTTTCTTACACACAGTGTTAAAATACTGTAATTATACAGAATAATATAACAAAGACAACAAAGAGTTAATAAAAATACACTTCCATAGACAGTATGATGATTTGTATTGATGACTAAACTGTAAAAACAATGAAAACCAAGCTCTACATACCTTGACTGCAGGTCGCAGGTAATCACTTGATGAAGGCACCTTCTGTCACCTGCGTAATCTCCAGTCTGAAATCTCTGTTTTTGCTTTTCGCTTGTTTTAACCTTAAGGGAGGTGATTCCAAGGCCAAAGGTGTGGCCTCAGATAACAATAAAAGAATTCTGCCTTTCAACATGCATCTCCAGTCAATGTGTACATGTGCACTTGATTTACCATTTGCACTATTTTTGAAGTATTTTCTGTTTTGGGAAGTAATTTAGAATTCTTAATGACCACATCAGTCGGCCACCTTTCTGGAAGCCATTCACATATGAAAATCATACTAATATGAATAGTATGATTTTTTTGTTTCATTTTATATGCTTTTATATGCAGTATATGCTAATAATAATGATGATGCATTGGTTTTATATAGTGCTTTTTTACATACTTTTAAATAATCTTACTGAAACAAACAGCTTGATTTGGCATCAAAATCAGATCCAGAATAATATAAAAGGTTATTATATGAATTATATCCAAATTAGAAGGCCTGTGAATAGATTTACTATAAAATACATTATTTCAACACACGCACTATCCTAAACAGGGCTAGTGTATTTTGGGAGTGTCCGAGACTGATCAGAAGTATGAAAGGTGCATAGCAAGCAGGGGTGTGACTGACAGGCAAACCCCATCATGGCATGACAGATGGAATGCTGCTTAATTCTTCTAACAAGAATGATGAATATATATTTTTACTGGTCCACTATGCCTGTTCTTTATGTATCTTTAAGTTATACTTTATTGTCCCTGTGTAGGAAAATCTGCATTAGACCCATCCTTTTTATGCCAGGGGAGTGGTCGCCGTAATACAACCCTTGGTAACCCATTCTCAGATGTTGTTCCTCGGTTTGGTCAGGACTACTGGAGATAGAGGTTTTTACCCATTGTACATGTTTTTTTTAGTGGTAGGGGAAATTGGAGCACCCAGAGGAAACCTACGCAGACATGAGGAGAACATGCAAACTCCACATATGTAGGCCCTGTGGGATGTAACTGCAGGACCTTTTTGCTGTGAAACACAATCACTAATGGGTGGTACGGTGACTTGGTGACTCTAAAAAAACATGAACTAAAAACATTTACAATATTTTAGGATGAATGTGTGTTGTTGAGTGTAACTGTGAGACAAGGAATTCAAATTCACCCAAGGTTACAATCCGGACTAAACAATAAATGCCGCCAGTTCTGTAATCCTCAACACAATCATCTTTTGTCACAGCTGCTGTTTCTTGATGGACTTCCATAGTATTGACAATTGAAGAAAAAATATGTTATATTTTTTCAATATGTTGCATTAAACATATAGGCTGGGCGCTCACTTATAGGGCAAGGAGCTTGGTATTTATAGCTACTAAGATAAGATAAGATAGATAGAATCACTCAAGGTGTACTATAGAACACTTTTTGAGTAACTGTCACACCTCATTTTGTAAATACTTGTAAGATTAGGTTATTTTCTTAATATAAAGCCAATATATTATATGTATCTGTTACATACAGAACTCTCAGACATTAAACAAGCAAATGCAGCTTTATTGTAGAAAATATGGAATGTAGAACAACCCACAGACAGTGATGCTATCCAAACAAATGTTTATTTTATTGGTGCAAAGTCATTTGAGCCACTTTAATAATAATAATGCATCGTTTAAACAATTAATTTGTAGAAAATATAAAGTCCAGTTCACCATGTCTCGAGATTGGGTAAATGATAAAGATTCAGGGTCCTGCCTTAAAATGTTGTTCAAGACTATTGCAAAAGAGAAATATATCAATTTGATACCAACTGATTTCCTTTGTGGATATGAAAATAGCATGCGGACACATTTCGGTTATCATCCATGTACTCCCGTTCATTTGTAATGTTTCCATTATACAAAAAGGTTAAATTAGCAACAACCAGTTTTGTCATACGAAAATATCCGGGCATGCAAACGACGCAAGACTCAGCTTGGGAGGGGAGGGATGATGGAGCTAAGATGGCAGCCCGACTGAGGGTGCTGCCCCTCTCCAGGCTCAAGAAATATACAATCTATCTGGCCAACGATGAGAGACTTCATGTGGATTTATGTTTTCAGCATTTTTACTAGCAAGGGTGTTTTGACCTGGATAGGATTTTGAATGAAGATTGGTGCGCTCGGACGGATCGTTGGACTGTAGCTTCACTGCTAGATTGGCAGCGATTTGCGATTACAATAACAGCACGATCCAGGCATTTTTATTATTTGGAATGACCAAATGATGTGACACTGCTGGATTTAGGGACCATTGGCCTCCATGTGACGGCTAGATCCTGTCTGGCTGACATTGTGTGATATATGCAGTGTTCTCCTTAACGATGATGTGTGCTGCTGCTGCGGCAGCGGCCGCCGCCGCCGCCGGTGGTGGTGGAGGTGGAGGTGTCCTCCCTTCATCCTCGCCCTCGATGGCGCTGGGTGTCCGGGTTATAACTTCTTCTGGAGCCGACTTCACACCCTCCATCGGTTCTGGAATGGGGTCTTGTCCAGTTCAGGGACCCCAGTCAGACTGTCGGACTCGGTACCAGCTTTTACTCTCAGGGCGAGCTTTAGCTGAACGATATAGGAGGATTTATACCACTGCTATCAGCGATAAAGAGCAAGGGATAAGTCAAGGAAGGTAGGTGGTTTGCGTTCTTCTCATTCTTACATTTATAAACAGTAGCTTTGCTATTTTGATTAGCTAGCAAAGCTAATGCCTGCTAACTGCAATAACCCCTCGTTCAGCTAACGTTAGCTACGATTCTCAGATGCACGCACAGTGCACAAATGCTTTACACTTTTTGTCATGTTATACAGTTCATGAAGTTGGGGTGATGTTATAACTAAAATAACTTGCACAGCTTCAGCCCTTGTGTAAGGAGCAGTCTGCTGTGTAGCATTTTGCCTGCCTGACTTCCTTAGCTCTTGTCAGTCATGCTAATGTCGTGGCATACAAATAAATGAGCTGTCATTGCATGTGTTTTGTAAAAAGATATACACACATTCAATTTCTCAAGACTGACGTGGCTACTTCATTTGCATAATTTGAGTGATTGTTTTTCCTTCAGCTAGCATGTATCATTAGTACAGACTTAAGCTAGCAATTAGGCTAACTTAGCTATTCAGACGTAGTTAAACGTAACGCCAGCCTACATGTCTCTGGGATGGTCTAGAATAAACATTATTTATTAAACTATTATTAACAAAAACATTTAACGTATATGAAATCACAATTGCTTTTATCGATATGAAAATGGGCAGACGCACTCTCATACTTTACTGTTAAATTTACATTTATGCTCGCCAAGTGGTTTGTTAATGTGTATATTTACATGTTAGTTTCAAGACTAGTGTTGTTAATGTAATCCCAAATACAAGTATACCCTATTAAATCGGATAAGTAGTTGTTGTTGTTTCGCTAGTCTGTTTCATGGACTGTTTGGGTGAGGATCATGTTGGATCGTCCTTCGCACGATCGAGAGCACTAACTTAGTTTACGTCATCCTCACTACAGCTCTAAAACTTTCTCTCTGTTGTTAAGTGTGCGTGTGTGCCCTAGCATCTGATCCCAGCCTCATAAATGTCTAATTTCAGTTTAAACCATGGTCGTCATTAAGGCACAGCTATAATATATCATAGCCAGCATCTTCATCAAACTTAAACAATACATTTGTTTTGCCTGTTTTTATTCAGGGGAAAGAAAGCTCTAAATAAGAAGAAACTTAAAAGGCGTCAGAAGGTCAAATCAAAAGTAAAATCCAGAACAAAGGTAAGCAGTGTAACTTTTGTAATATGTACCTTGAGTTTGGGACCACTGTGTGGACTTGCTGGCTTATCCTTTTACTGTGTAAAATGAGAATATTTTGGTGTTGTTGGACACAGAATGTCAAAGACGCCGGACGGTTTGCCAGAACCTCTTCGAGGCCGACCGATAGTCATGCTCCATGGACTCTCCGAACTCCTCCCAGTCCCGGGTTTTTGCCTCTGCAACAGCCCGGGCCGCGGCACGTTTGGCCTGCCGGTACTGGACAGCTGCCTCTCTCAGGAGTCCCACGAACCAAAAAAAAAAAAAAATAACAATTGTAAACCGCTTTGTGACTCTGGTCTGTGAAAGGCGGTATATAAATAAATAAAAATTACTTACTTACTTACTTACTTACATCATTGCTCGATAGGACTCCTTCTTCAGCCTGACGGCATCCCTTACTGCCGGTGTCCACCACCGGGTTCGGGGATTGCCGCCGGGACCAGCACCAGAGACCTTGCGACCACAGCTACGAGCCGCCGCATTGGCGATAGAGGAAGAGAACATGGTCCACTCGGACTCGATGTCCCCCTCCTCTGCCGGGACCTGGGAGAAGCTCTCCCGGAGGTGTGAGTTGAAAGTCCGTCTGACAGGGGGCTCAGCAAGACGTTCCCAGCAAATAATTGTCAAACTGTTTAACTAGACAATAACTGTGAGAGGAGCAGAGTGCAGATAAACATAGTACGAGATTGTGTATTAATCATGAGGCTATTTCACATTCACAATCATTTACAGTGGTTAAATAGACAACATTCAAAAGACTTTTTCATATATGGACTTTGAGACATATAATAAACAAGATTCCAATACAACACTTTTATAATTTCTGTATTGACCAAAAAAAAATCCATCCATTAATTTTCTTCTGCTTCATCCGTTGCCGGGTTGCGAGCAAAAAAATCATTGCATAAATCATTTGGAATAAAATGCTATTGTAATGAAACAAAACAACGCAGTGCAACCATGCATTTTGTAGAGTGCATTCAAAATGGAACACAGCGGTTTTGTTAGCAATGTGGGTTTTTCGCTACCATTTCAAAAGAATAGATTAGAGGCAAAAAAAGTGGCTGTAATGATTCTGAATGAGACCACATTGTCATCACAGCCTGCAAAGAAAGCAATACTTTATCTGAAAAAGCTCCACTACTGAACGTGAAGCTGTCAGTCCTGTCTTTTGTTTGTGGTCCATTCAAAGTCATTATCTCGCTCACAGTGCTGTAATTACTGTATGGTGAATTGCCTTTCAGAACCCATCATTTCCTGCACTGTAAGCTCCTTGTTTTGTTCACACTACAACAGAGAAGCAGGGCTATTGTCAATATATTGATATGAAACATTTCTGGTGACGTGGACATTGTGCAGCTTTTGCGAAGACACGAATGAACACAGAGACATGGAGGCTTGAAGAATCAACCTGTCCTGCTGAAATTGTGGTGAAGAAATATACACAAAATATTGGGAAAATGTACACTTGGAGGTATCTTTACTGTATGTCATGGTGTGGATTTATGTGTTTTTTTACATGAGCCCTAATATGTTTCACCTGTATCTGTGCTCCTCTCCCTTTGTTCCTGGGTCTGCGCTAGATCATATACGGAAACAGGACGGAGGCGGAAGTAATAATCCTACTTTCAAATTTGCTTTAGACTAATGAGTCCTTAAGTGGTGACTGGTTAAGTTTTAGTGTCTGAGTAAGATGTTAAGGTTAGGGTTAAGGGTGGGTTGGGGTTATTTTATGGGAATGGCTAGCCATGGATCTATTAGTTTAGTTACTTCCGTTCCCGTCCCGACTCGGTATATGATCCAGAGCCGACCCTTGTTCCTGGTCCATTGTCTTAGTTCCTGGTTCTGTTTAATTATGTTCCTGCCCTTGACTTTTATGTTTATTAAATATTTTTTTTGCATTCCTGCATTTTGGGTCCTTCCATCACTTGACCACCACATGACACTGTAGCTTGTGTTGGTCTCAGCGATAGTTCAAAACACTTTTTGGTTTAAGAGAGGTGCGGTATGGAAGTCCTAAGACGTTGCTTTACCTGCCTGGAAAGATTCATGATCGACACTTACTCATTGAGCAACAAGACACTACACTGGAATAGTTTAATGCAACACTGTAGATAAAGCAATACCGTCTCCATGGAGAAATACCTAAAGAAAAGACCTTAATATTGATACAAATAAAAAAGTCTAAAAAAAGGTTATTTTGTTATTTACATTTCATGATATCCGTAAAAAAAATATACAATGCATCATCTTCAGTTGAGCAAAGTGACCAAGCATAAAAGAAAGAAGTGGATTGACTTTAGTAATGGTCTTGTGCATGTTCTTCTCCACTACATGTTTGAGCAGGAAAAGCTAATTGTTTTTTATCTGTTCCGTTCGGCTAAAATCTTCAAGCCCCAGAGTAAATTCAATGAACACATTCATCATCATTATTTATAAATGTTATCAATCTCAAACTCTGTGTAAATTATTAATATTATTTTTTAGTCTTGTGCATTTTTGAATGTGTACTTTAATACTTGTACTTAAGTATAACATTTAATTTGCTGCTTTTACTTGCGTGTATAGTTTTGCGTTATATTTTCTTACCACTGCATCTTTTATGTTGATTTAATGCAATCACTAAACTAATGGTGTATTTCCATGCTTTAATGGACAAACTAAAACAAGCACATATTTAAAGTTTTATGTCCAGGGATTAAAGGAGACTTGGAGGCTGCAGAATGGATGAGATGAGGTTGTCGACGTGCCTGCCCTGCAGTCCCAGGTTAATATCCAGCTGCTATCTGCTTCATACTTCACTGCCAGCCCAGGAGGACGGAGCCGGGACAGGGCGCCCTCAGGGACTCCACTCCTCAATCACACTGCCAATATTTATGCAAACATAAAGTCAAGAAAGCTTCCTTGCTCATCTCCTCTTTCATCTGAACAGCATTTTGAATTTGATGCAATAGTGACTTGCTTGGTTGTGCGTATCATAAATGTAAGATGTCCTCCATCTCTGGGCCATACTGCTCTAACAAATCCTCTTTGCTCTAATCTAAATGAAAGCCTTGGGACATATGTAAACGATGCTGATAAATGCTTCACCCTGTGGTTTGCCCTTTTTATTATTAAATACACTGCTGCATCAATTATAGTTCAAACCGTTCGAGTGAATCTCCAAACACAGCTTTTTAATGAACAGAAACAGCTGCAGGACCCGGCGCCCCCCTCAAGGCCTGAACTGCATGTCGTTCGTTACCGTCAGTCTATACACTCAGGCCATTACCTTAGTTCATCATTAAACTGCGAGACGTGCACATAGCAAAGAAGCGAGGCTCAAGCAGGCCTTTCAGTATTTGGCTTGTTAACCACCTAATAGCCTCCATGTTGGCTCACGGTTATCGTCAAAGCATTGTTATGTCCATTTGTCTCCAAACTCAATTTCATGCTTTCCTGAGCCCATACTTTGTGTCCTCAGGAGGAGTGGCACTGGGGCGACCAACTGGAACATACATAAAGCCAACAAGTGCTTTTTAAACTGAACATGCGCTCAATCTGAAGGCTGTTTAAAAAGATTGTACACAGTAATTATTGAAAATGGCAACATTATAGACCTCTAAATCAAAAATAACCCCTTTAGTATCCATGCTGTTGTCATGGCTACCAACAATGCTATATAAAGGCTTTTAGGGTTTTTCCTTCTTGAAGAAATGATTTACTAGTTTGTTAATTAACAAACCACTTTGAGCCTAACTGAATAATTTTCACTATGTTTGTGCTGGAGTAATTGTGTGTCACTGTTTGGATTATTGTGGAGTATTTAATCCCCGTTTTAATTCACAACACAGTGCGGCGCTTTTGGGATAAGCAGCCGTTTCTCATTGTAATGTGAGCCACTTGAGTCTGTCAGACTAAACCCACACATTGATTTCTCTAAGCTTCAGCTCCATATATTTGTAAATGAGTCGCTGAGACTTGCACTATAACTCCGGGCTGTTGGTCTGTAGAACGTCCTAAATTTTAGACCAATGGGGAGAGGGCTTGTCTGGGGGGGAGGGGGTGGCATTCAGAAATGTGTCTCTCTGATCTTCTCTCTGACTTTCTCTTTATGTGTGAATTACTATTTCAGTGGACAAGCTCATGAAGAGTTTGTTTATGGTCTGGTTTGGGCTCCTGCATGTATCTATTTCTCATATTTTTCTTTTCATTCATTCATGATTAATGCTATTCATTTTATTCAACACTGTAACTGTGTGATAATAATATTACTTTACTCTCTGTGGCTCTGGTAGCAGTGCTGATGGCATTCAAGAAAGCCATTAATAGTAGTTACAGTAGTTCTTTACATCTATAATTCATGTTCATACTTTAACAACAACAGTACAAATAATTGACTGCTATTTTGAAAGTGCTCTGGCCTCCCTCATCTGTGCCCTTTCATAATCTCTGTGAGCCCATCTGATTTCCTCTTGACTGAGGTGTAGCAGCTGTTGACCTCTGCTGCTGAGTTATACAGTGTTTGAGTCTTTAAGGAGACACAAATACAGCTGTGGCGTCTCCTTTCTCCCCTGAACCATCAAACTGTCTGCCTGTAATCAATAGTAGGATGTAGTGTGGTTCTGGAGAAAACCGTGGGCTTAGAGCTGCAGAGGATGAGGATGCTGAGGATGCTGAGGATGCTCCCCGCTGAGGAAGAGGCTGCCGCAGTGCTGATGGGAGACCTGCTGTTTTGTGTTTTTCCCCCTCACAGCTGGACCAATCACTTCTGGTTCACACATGCGGCCAGTTTTAATAACTTAGTACACTGTTTACATAGCGCAGTATGACTTGCGATAGCATAACAACATTAATTTTAGTGCTTGAACTGTGGTTTTACGAGTTGTTATTGATATAAAAGTTGATTCATTTCATTTTAGGTTGTAAGTTAATTTTATTATTCACAATCAATAGATTTATACTTCATCTATTTTTCCATACTAGTTTTGTGTTATTTTGACCCAGGATTAGCAAATTACAAATTACAAAAGTATATTTGATGTCTCAAACACATCACTAACTAGTGTTTGAACTATTTGCAAATAAAGTAAAGATCATACAATAATATGTTTCCTTTATACGACATCAGAGATACTGTGTGCTTTGTCCTACACCGTTCTTTATACTCCCGTTTAATTTGTCTTGAATATTACATTTACAGCTCAGAGAAAAGGTTGTCTCCTGTTGAGTACATTTCTCATCTTTCTGCATTTAGATTTGACAGTGTTGCCTTGAAGCTAAATGCTTGCAAGTAGGTCTTCAAAGATGTAAAAAGATCAAGTGAAATAGAAGATAAAGAACTATTAAATACTAAATAGACATCCCCTTTAATTACAATTGATCCCATTGCCAATTTGATCAGACATCAATTGCACTGGTCATTCTAATCAGGAACAGGCAGTTGCCAATTAACATTAGTTACTTTTTTCTAAATGAAAACATGTCTCCCTTGAAACTTGTGTTCAGCATTTATTCACAGCTAGAATTCAAGTGCTGCATGTGCTCAGCTCAGTTCCCTTCAGGAGCTTTGAGTACGCACTAGAAAAAGAGGGTCATTCAAAGACACTCCAGTGTGAGCAGCACAACATCTCTCTGAACCAAGCTTCACTACTTCACTGTGCAACTCATGCTCTGTTGACTTGGTTCAAAAGTATATGACCTGTGTAGAGCCTCAGCATAAGCTTTATGTATTAATAGATGTACTCGGACTGATTATATTATATTAACATTACATACTTCTGTCATTAATTTTTTGGTAATTATGCAAATTCTGCAATGGAAAATAAGCCGACTCTAGAAGTACTTTTTTTATATATACAGTACCTTGCGAAAGTATTCGGCCCCCTTGAACCTTTCAACTTTTCGCCACATTTCAGGCTTCAAAAATAAAGATATAAAATTTCAATTTTTCGTCATGAATCAACAACAAGTGGGACACAATCGTGAAGTGGAACGAAATTTATTGGATAATTTAAACTTTTTTAACAAATAAAAAACTGAAAAGGGGGGCGTGCAATATTAATCGGCCCCTTTACTTTCAGTGCAGCAAACTCACTCCAGAAGTTCAGTGAGGATCTTTGAATGATCCAATGTTGTCCTAAATGACTGATGATGATAAATAGAATGCACCTGTGTGTAATCACGTCTCCGTATAAATGCACCTGCTCTTTGATAGTCTTAGGGTTCTGTTTAAAGCGCAGAGAGAACCATGAAGACAAAGGAACACACCAGGCAGGTCCGAGATACTGTTGTGGAGAAGTTTAAAGCCGGATTTGGATACAAAAAGATTTCCCAAGCTTTAAACATCTCAAGGAGCACTGTGCAAGCAATTATATTGAAATGGAAGGAGTATCAGACCACTGCAAATCCACCAAGACCCGGCCGTCCCTACAAACTTTCATCTCAAACAAGGAGAAGACTGATCAGAGATGCAGCCAAGAGGCCCATGATCACTCTGGATGAACTGCAGATAACTAGAGCTGAGGTGCGAGAGTCTGTCCATGGGACAACAATCAGTTGTGCACTGCACAAATCTGGCCTTTATGGAAGAGTGGCAAGAAGAAAGCCATTTCTCAAAGATATCCATAAAAAGTCTCATTTAAAGTTTGCCACAAGCCACCTGGGAGACACACCAAACATGTGGAAGAAGGTGCTCTGGTCAGATGAAACCAAAATCAAACTTTTTGGCCACAATGCAAAACGATATGTTTGGCGTAAAAGCAACACAGCTCATCACCCTGAACACACCATCCCCACTGTCAAACATGGTGGTGGCAGCATCATGCTTTGGACCAGCTTTTCTTCAGCAGGGACAGGGAAGATGGCTAAAATTGATGGGAGGATGGATGGAGCCAAATACAGGACCATTCTGGAAGAAAACCTGTTGGAGTCTGCAAAAGACCTGAGACTGGGACGGAGATTTATCTTCCAACAGGACAATGATCCAAAACATAAAGCCAAATCTACAATGGAATGGTTCACAAATAGACGTATCCAGGTGTTAGAATGGCCGAGTCAAAGTCCAGACCTGAATCCAATCGAGAATCTGTGGAAAGAGCTGAAGACTGCTGTTCACAAACGCTCTCCATCCAACCTCACTGAGCTCGAGCTGTTTTGCAAGGAAGAATGGGCAAGAATTCCAGTCTCTCGATGTGCAAAACTGATAGAGACATACCCCAAGCGACTTGCAGCTGTAATTGCAGCAAAATGTGGCGCTACAAAGTATTAGCGCAAGGGGGCCGAATAATATTGCACGCCCCACTTTTCAGTTTTTTATTTGTTAAAAAAGTTTAAATTATCCAATAAATTTCGTTCCACTTCACAATTGTGTCCCACTTGTTGTTGATTCATGACAAAAAATTAAAATGTTATATCTTTATGTTTGAAGCCTGAAATGTGGCGAAATGTTGAATACTTTCGCAAGGCACTGTAATATATATATATATATATATATATATATATATATATATATATATATATATATATATATATATATATATATATATATTAAAAAATTGAAGAATGGCCATAGAGGTTAGTCCTCAAATGGGTCATTTGTTACGGGGCAATCCACTCGCAATAACGTCGGAAAAGTGGTTATGGCAGATGCCTCCATTCCCCACCGAATGAAGGCATCTGATTGGTCAATCAATATGGCTCATATCAGCTGTAATTGTATTGAGAGTAGATTACACAAAAGGTGGGCTTTATTCAATTGTCAGGGAAACGTGTGAACATTCAGCGTCATTGGGAATGGCAATATAATGCACTTGAGCACGTCCCACTTTTCTACTTTTTAAAATATTAATATCATGTATCATTTTGCTTCACTTTCCAGTTGTCTGTTACAAGGAGTCAATTGTCCATGACTTCAGGATTTATTGTCACTTCGTTCATAAAGGTAACAGCAGAACAAACCTGGCATGAATATCTGTCAAATAAAGTTTGATATCTCAAAGATGTCGTGTGCCTGTATTTATTGCCTTCTTTCATTCTCATGACCTTTTCCTTTTCATAGAAATCCTCCTGAATGTTTAAATGTCACTTGTCTCTGCACGATCAAAGCATCTTAGTGAATGAGGAATGTACTGAGAGGAGGTCTTCTGACCACCTGCTGCTCTGTAACCTCACTGTAACCACATCAACACTGAATGTCCAAGTCATTTAACTGGAATGTCTTAATGCGCAATTATCCCAGACTCTCTTCATTTAGCTGTGTGCATAAGAAACCTTGGTAACAAGCTCACCTCATTCATAGTGTTTAAAATTGTATACATGAAAACAGATCATTTGGCCCTGACCTGTAGAGGACCACAGGGGTCAATCATGGGGCCTCTTCTGTTCCATATCTACATGCAGCTGTGGGTAAAATCTGGGACAGTCCTCCTGAAAATATGAGACAGGCTTCTTCTTTGACAATGCTCAAATCAAGGTTAGAGTTATTTGCGTTGTGTGACTGTTTTTTTTAGCACTTTAGAGTTGCTATACTGTGCTATATAAATAAATTCACCTTGCAAATTTTAAAATCTGGAGCTTTAAAAAGCAGAAAAAACTTGTGTTTTGACAGATTGACTTTGAGTACTGTCAGCTATATGTACACTATTGTACTCCTTGTATTTATCGCATTTGTTATTCTTGTGTAAATATGTATTATACTGTATATTTGAAAATGAACCTATTGTTATGGTCTGACACTGGTATATGATAGGAAATAGGCCTGGTGTGCATCACACCAGTTTTTGGGTGATATTTCCAGCCCCATAATAATAGATCCATGGCCCCACCTCATTTAAGATGCTCATGATGGAAAACAACATTTGCCTGACGAAGGCCGACTGCAGCTCACCTGTAAAACACTGGAGTAGGCAAGTACAGTGTGCAGTTTTTTTCCCCTTTAAAATATCTGAAGGGAACATTTTTATACACTTCTCGTGCCTGCATTTTTGTCCATAGAGAAGTTGATGTTGTGGCATTGGTTTGATTTTACGATGCCTCCTCTGCTGTTGGCTGGACACAGTTTCTGGTGGCAAGGATGACGCACCATCAAAATAACTTATTTGAAGTTTGACAGAACATTCAGAAGGGATCGCAATGGAGCAGAATGGGATTCTCTGGTCTTTGGGCTCTTTTAACATACCATCATATTAAAAAATCACTCCTACATGTGCATTTGTAGAACCTGATTGAATGCATTTATGTGGACATTAAATGTAATTTATCCAAACTAAAAGCTACTTTTGATGGCCTAATTATCTAATGAGGCCTTGACCTGAACGTATGTCATAAGAGGAGGACATCTGTCAGCCAAGAGTCCTGCACATGTTCGATGTTGTGCACTTGTAAAACTCCTCAGAGTCACTCTGCAGCATGGCCCTGCATTTACAGAGCTCACTGCTGCAGACAGCTCGAAGAAACATGCTGCATCTGGAGTAGATCCTAGTCAACTCATATTGATTTTAACTGTGTTGCATAACAGATTTCTTAGTCTCCAAACAGAAAATTGTAGACGTTCTAAGGAGCAATGCTGAAAAGGTAACTAGATAAAGCCCCTGTGAATTCTGTGTACTGAATGGGGCTTTAAATCTTAACTGACAGATAAACATTTATTTGATTCTTTCTCTGTGTCTGTGGAACAATCAGCTTCTGAGAGATCCGCCGTCATTCATCATTTGAAAAGACAAGACTAATAAACCAGTGTTTAGTGGTTTTCTTATTCAGGAAAAGAAAAAAATTTGAATGTCACCACATTCTTATTTCAAAGTTTGAGTGGTTGTTCTCACGTAGTATGTCTGTACATTACAGCTGAGTTTACATTTCATAAGTTCAATAATTGTTCTCCCCTATAGAGCAGGTCACAGCAGAGCTCTGAAAGGTTTAATGGCAAAAGCCTGAACATAGATGTTGCAGTGCAGATATATAATTAAGTTACATCCAGCCTCGTATATATACACTAGTACATACTCTCAATAGGTCCTAAAGCACTGTTCATATACACTGGAGTGCGGCAAGTAAAGTCATTATGGCTCAGAGTCGAAATGTGCTAATAGAAGGGAAAAACCAAGGAAATGTCCAGTCCTTGGTTAGAATACAAATCAACAACAGTTCACTCGGGAAAACTCCTGGCACAGTTTGTGATGCATCATCATTTATTAGGCCCGAATTACAGTTGCAACACAAGTGTGAGTCGAGCGATTAGATTTCTTATTAAACTAGATTAACAAGCCTCTGAAACTGGACTTTATCACATTAATATCTGACTAAAGTGTGCAAACTTACATTCTTTAAACTAAACAATGGATGATTAAGAAAAGCCTTCTGTCAAAATATAACTAATACTTTGCTGAACAAAGCAGCATATAACCATTCATAGACCTTTCTCATACAGCCCTATTGTCACAATGTTCTCCTCTGACACCGCCTCTCCATTTCTGTGCTGTAGCTGGCACTACCCTCCTATTGGAGTGCAGCTGGCCCTTTCATTATTACACTTCATATGATAATGACATCATGGGTACACAGCTGCACTATTTAGATGCATACTTTAAATTACAATGACAAAATGATCTGGCAAAAACACCTATGCAATATTTACATGTCACAGAGAGTATGGAGCAGTCAGCTATGTTCAGAACAACATTGTTCACATTGGAAGATGTTGAACTTATAACAGGAGCAAATTGAAATGTAATTAAGTTATACAGATTGAGAATAGCAATATAAGTATTTTATCTGAATAGGTTGGACATATACTATGATACATTATTTACATATTTGCCATCAACCTGCTAAAACAAAGTGTACCCAACGTAATCCAGAATTCGATGACTAGATAAGCGTTGGTTTCATTGACTAATTCGTCATTAGTTTGACATGCAGACCTAAAGGCGATGTTCCTGATTTAAGACATCAATAATTCTATTTTTATAATCAGACATTTTCTTCTCATCATCATAGCCATTATAGATCCTTCAGCCAAGACGGTCTCTAATTTTTATTTTTTATTCTATTAGTATTATTATTAGTTACAACTGGGCATAAATGAATAAGCTTATTCCCGGCAGAAAACGTATTCAGTATAACTGGTCCAAATTTTGTCCTCGTTGGGGTCATTGCTGGTGTAGGCGCAGGTGCCAGTGGAGCTGCAGGCCACCATGTGGAAGCCCACCTCTGTCAGCTTGTCAAACGCCTGTTCAAGAAAATTGTATTTTAGGTAGTAGCGGGACGTGTATCTTTCCGGTGGTCTGTCAGGGTCCCTGCTCTCGTTAAGCGTTTCCCCAAACACTTCTTTGGCGAGCGAGGTCTTGCCGCAAACAGTAATGCGGGCTACTCGCCTGAATTTGGCATCGGTTTGAATGTCTCTCCCGATGGTATAAGAGCCACGGTATCCTACTGTGATGTAGCCAGATCTTCTGGAGTCTATAGACGGGGAGCGCATGGCCCCACTTGAGGACATGGTGCGTAAAGTCTCCATGGCACCTGAGGGGCCGCACTGCTGCACAACCTCCTCCGTGTCGCTCTGACTGATCTCTTCACTGATGGAGTTGTCCTTACTCATGCGGGGGCTTAAGCGTTTCGCGAGGTCCTGCAGTTGATAAAAGTCCGCCTCCCTCTGCAGTCGACTTTTCTCTGGGAAATATTCTGGCAGCACCAAGTTCAGATCTCGCAGATAGTCGAGGATGTAACGGAACAAGAAGCCGTCTCTGTCCAAAAAGAAGCGCCCCTTGTTGTCGCGTGCCAAATCCTTAGGCGACTTTTTGCTGAACATGTTCCACAAGAGTGAATCTGGCACCGCGATCAGAGTTTTGTGTCTGGTCACATACACCTGCCCACCAACATTTAGCTCAACAATCTCAGGGAAAGGAGGGCTGGAGTCTCCGCAAGTGGACAGTCCACGCTCCGTGTCTGCTAGAGCCATGTTCCGACGCGTGTTGCTCAGAGCGCACGGCACTGGAGCTGGGTCAGGGATGGATCAGGGCTGGATCTGAGCGGGATCAGAGCGGAGTGAGGCGCAGAGAGGCAGCAGCTTGTTTATGAAGCTCTTTCTCACCGTGTGTGCCTGTGCGCGTGCGCTCTAGGGGCCTGGAGCGCTCAGAATAACTATTCATACAGCCGTTTTTAAACCGTCTATAAAACATAAGGCATTGGCAACCCGTTCATCTTTTATCTACTATAGTGCATGTAGCAGAGGATGAAATGAAGAGCCATAGAAAAGAAATGTGTTTTATATTTCAGCAAGTGATTCACGCATCCCCCAAAGATGAATGAGAACCATTTCCTAAAACCTGATATGGAAAAGTGCGTTATGTGCAGATAGCAATTTCCAGCACTTATTTGGAATACATTTAAAGAATGATTCTAAGAACACTAAGCCTATTCATTTTTAAATGTGAAACAAATTCAATGTGGCTCAGATGTGATTCCACTGACCCACATGCCAATGAAAGACGTGAAAAGTTCAGTTTTACATAATCCTGGCAGTGTTGCAAAAATCCTAAATGCTCTAACTCAATATATTTCTGGGAATTCGCACTTCCCTTATGGGTCTATCAAGTTTACATCTGTCATCGTGATTGCGCAAGACTGGAGTTGTCCTTTATGTCCTTGGTGTCTGTCTGAAAAGCGTTAAAGTGGCCCTTTACCATCTCTTCTTAGGCTTAAGGGGTGTCAAACTCATTTTGGTCTGGAGCCGGGAAAAAAATAGGAACTGATCAGAGGCCAGTTTTAATATAAATCTTTTTTTTTTATTTTATTTTATTTTTATTATGAAGGCATTTTAACATGACTTTTATGTGACATTGTTTTCACTATTATTTTCGGGTAGATTTTTCTGAAAACAAAATGTGTACCAAATATAAAGTTAAACCAAAAAAGTTGTATATTTATCTCGTTAAATTTTAATGTGTTGGGTTGAATGTTAGAATACATTAAATATGGATGTTCTCTGGAGATTATAGATTATGTATATATTAAATGCCTTGGTAGCCCATAAAAATAATGCAAGATAAAAATTGAAAAGGATTTGCGGGGGCCGGAATTGGCCCACGAGCACGAGGTTGACGTGCCTGCCTTAAAGCATGCTCTCACGAAACTTAATTATAGAATGTAACTGAACAGGGAAGCAAATGAAAACAACATTCTAAATCTGTGTAAAATATGTATTCCTCAAAACTAAAACCATCAAGTCATGAGTTATTATGAAAGTACCAACTTCTCACTTTGGTGTTTATGGGGGAATTTTGTGGAGCGTCTCCCAGACTCTATAAAAGCTCTGAATATGTCACATCATCTCAATCTCCAACAATGCTGAGGAAGGTAGGACCATTGTTGTTGTTGTTGATTTAGGTAATTGACCTTTCTCTTAAAATTTGGGCCTGACTCTCCTTAATTCACCTTTACAGGGTATTACAGAGAGCTTTGGTGTGGCCATCCGGGCTCTTAACAGCACTGGGCTGACAGATGGAGTGATTAGCAGGAGCAAAAGGATGATGTTGGACACTCTGGGTGTAGGGCTCATTGGAACTCGGACAGCTGTCTTCAACAAAGCTCTTACATACAGCCAGGTACAATTCACTTTACTTGATGGATATTATTATGTATGCAATTATGTGAATCTTCTTTTAATTACATCTTTATTCTTCGTGTAAACATTACTGCAACCAGACCTGGAATAGTTCACAACTAATTTCAAGCTTTGATGTGCTCTTAAATCACAGTTATTCGATTCTAAAAAGAAGAGCTGCATTTGGGGGAAATCCAAAACACGTCTCCCAGCTAATTATGCAGCCTTTGTCAATGGGATTGCAGTAGGTGTTATGTCCTGTGTGAATGTATCTCTGAAACACGCTCTAATTGGCTCCACTGCTTGGGTAATAGGTTCACTCCATGGACTTTGATGACACTTGGCATCCTGCCACTCACCCCTCTGGAGCAGTGCTACCTGCTCTACTGGCGCTGGCCGAGGTCCTGCCACGACAGCCCTCTGGACTGGAGCTATTGCTGGCCTTTAATGTGGGCATTGAAGTGCAGGGCAGGCTGCTGGGCTTTTCCACAGAGGCTTACAACATCCCTGAAAGGTAAAACATTCTTACATCCTATTTCTTTTCTGTATGTGCTTTTGCCAGAGCTTAAATATCAAAATGGTTGAGGCCCTATTGTTTACAGATAGTTAGGAAACATCATTCAAAGCTTATTATTGATACATGCATACACAAACTGCATAATTAAGCTGCATAGAGACATCCCTTAAAGTAGTAGCTTCCAATCTTGTACTTAAGACAGATCTATGAGAGCATTTCCAAAAACAAAAAGAGATATAGTCCCCTACAAGTATATTTATATCAAAGATCTTTGTATAACTATGATATTTAAAATATAATTGCTTGTTGTATCCAATGTTTCAAAAGTAACGCAATGTTTTCTCTTACTACAATCATGTAGATTTCACCCTCCCAGCGTAGTCGGGGTGATGGGCAGTGCTGCAGCATCAGCTAAGCTCCTGGGTCTGTCTGCTTCTCAGTGCAGTCACTCTTTGGCTGTGGCTGCATCCTCTGCAGGTGCCCCCTTGGCCAACGCTGCCACCCAAACCAAACCTCTCCACATAGGCAACGCAACACAGAGAGGCTTAGAGGCGGCATATCTGGCCCAGTTAGGACTGAAAGGAAATCCAGATATTCTAGACATGGACTATGGATTTGGGATCTACTACAGAGACTATAATCCAAGTGCGATGCCCGAAAGTGCTGACGGAAAGTTTGACTGGGCTCTCGAAAAGCAGGACGTTGCCTTCAAGAGGATTCCTGCTCACCTGGGAATGCACTGGGTTGCCGATGCAGCAATAGCAGCAAGAGCAAATATGGAGGCTGTCAGAAGCTTTGAAGCAAGTGAAATTGGTAGCATAACATTAAGAGTGCCTCCATCTAAGTACATCAACTGCCCTTTACCCACGTCACAGCATCAAGCCAGACACTCATTTCAGTTCAACGCCTGCTCAGCTCTGTTGGACAACAAAGTCACAGTCGACTCTTTTAATAAGACGCAGATCAATCGAAACGCTTTAAAGGAATTGCTGTCTAAAGTTCAAATGGAGACACCGACAAGCAACAAACCAAGCTTTGAAAACATGTATAGTGAAGTTGAATTGGTAACAAACGATGGCCAGCGGTATTCTGCAACGTGCAATACCTTTTACGGCCACTGGAGGATGCCGTTGAGTGAGCAGGACTTGGTACAGAAATTCAAGTCAAACGCATCCACAGTGCTTACCCCAGAGGGAGTTGAAGGCATTATTGATTGGATAAAAAACATGGAGAATGAAAAGGACTGTGCTTCACTATTTTCATATTTAACAATGGCATCTCATACCCATGACAAAGTCTAAATTGTTCCATCTCAATTTGTAAATACATAAAATGCTGTATATTGTTCACAAATGTTTCACAGTTGGGTATAAGTTATTACCATTTATCTACATATTTGTCATACCATTCTTACATATTCACATTTGCTCTCCTAATTGTAGCAGTAGGGAAATTGCAATGTCCTCCGAAAATAAACTATTTCTTATCTAACACAAAATCTGCCTAACGATGTGAATTCTCAGGCGTTAAGTTTCTCAATCTAACATCCCCATTAAGCCAGTTTTAGCACATCCTTCACCATGGCACCGATGCCATCAAAGACCTCGTGGATGGGTGCGTCACACATGAAGGCGCAGGTGGTGACCAGTTTGTTCTTGTCGTCCACGTGGCTCTCGCTGACACTCTTACTCACATGTGTGCATCCCAGCTGAGCAATCGCTGCTGCTGTGTCCGTGGTGTTTGGATACCTAGACAAGAGTTGAAAAAAAAAAAAACGTATTAGAGCGATGTGGTGTAAATAAGTAGATTTTTGCAGAATAATGCATTTTATATTATTGTTAAAAAAATCATAATAATATATGAATACAAAACTACAAGGGGAAAAGTATTAGTATGTATTTGTAGGGACATTTTAAAATTACTAATATCAGAATGTAAATACCAGGATCATAGATTGTGTCACACTCGCCATCAAACAAACGGTTACTCAGTTAGGTGTTTACTTTGCAATGTAAGTCAATTGGAGTAAAACGTGTCCATGAGCACGTTCGCTAGCTTGAGCTAGCGGGTTAGCATTGTTTGTATAATACAGCCTATGCTTCAGTCCAACCATTATTCACAACCACAATGTCCGTGGTCTGAACACTCTGCAAATGAGCCTCTAAACCAGGCATCTCCAAACTAAGGCCCGTGGGCCAAATGCAGCCCTCTGTAAGACGGAGGATCACAAAAAATGCCACAAAGTAGTCTGAGATCATAAAAAATACAGCTAACTTCAGCTCCACCAATATAGACATGCTCTTACCTCGTAAAGCTGTATTTGTATATATCCTACTTTTTGATTGTGTCACATAACTCAATATATTTGGGGACATAGTAAACTAGTGCACTTCAGTTGAAGCAAATGTGAATCAATGTGGAAATGTCATAAACCATTTTAAAGCTCAGCGCAGCAGTTTTTGCCATCTGGGTTATCGGCCCCTGGACAGGTCTGCGGAACTAAAAAAGCCCTTGTAACTGTCTGTCTTTCTAAGCAAACACAGTGCTCTCAATTAACCTTGAAAATACTGAACTTCTAAAAAAGGTAAACATTTCTGTTATTCAAATACAGAAAATAAACACATATCTGCCAATCTGGGTGAAATGGGTCACATATGTAATGTACTTCATTACATTTTAAAGAAATTTTCAACATCAGTTAAGAAATATTCAGGGTCTTACTGCCATTCCAAACATAAATCATTGAACAGCAGTTTGATTTAAAAAAACTAAATTTCACATACAATTTTGGCAACTAAACTTGAGACAAATACCAAGGTAGGATCAGTTGAGTTCCAAATTGGCATAAAAAACCTTTTTGATTTACCATAATAACAGGATTATTAAAGACTTAAGGATTGAGACACTGTAGACAAGTACTTCTCAAAGTGGGGGGTGCAGCCATTTGGGGAAAACAGATAAAAAAAGACAGCTTTTTGCAGAATGTAGGTTTTTGCATTGAAGATGGCAAAACACTGCAGACAGTGGTGGGGATTTAGATTATCTTAAAAGGACACTTTTGAAAAGCACTGTAGACTATTCCTTTCTGATCCTGGTATTAAGAAAGATGATTATACCAATTGAAAATGTGGATATAACACATACTTTTCAGCCTTCTCCATGCCGACAGTGACCTGACATCCAGGGAACACTTTGGCGGCGATCACAGGTGAGATGCAGCAGAGGCCGATGGGTTTTCCCTCAGTGTGAAAGGCCTGCAGCACGGCCTGCACCTCTGGATTCACAGAGCAGTCTTTCCCCTGCACGGCCCATGTGCACAGGTTCTTGGCTGCTCCAAAACCCCCTGAGCAGACACATTCCAGTTACGCCCGCAGCACAAACTCTCCACCAACGGTTTGTATATTAGCCATGTTAGATATACTTTACCTGGGATTATGACAGCATCGTGATCTTTGGCGCTCAGCTTAGAAAGGTCCTGGATATTTCCACGGGCCAACCTGGCACTCTCCACCAACACATTCCTCGTCTCCTGTGATGGCTCCCCTTTGAGATGATTTATTACATGCATCTGATCAATGTTGGGGGCAAACATATTCACCTGCAAAGCACAGCAACATAAATCTATCATTATTCTTGCAACAATTATCTACTTCAGAGTGGACATAAACACAAACATTACAAAACAGACAGAAAAATAATAATAGTAGTGACAATAAGAAAATGGTGGAACGTAAAATAAATGTATTATTAAAGGGGGGATAAGAGTAAAGGGGGGATAAGAGTAAAGGGGGGATAAGAGTAAGGGAGGGGGGGGGCATATTCATAAACACATACATACAGTGCCTCGCTTAAGAGTGATAGAAATCTTGCACATTTTGTTATTTTACAGCAACAAATAATATCATTCTACATTTTTCACGTTTTTTTTCATCAAAAAAAGGAAAAATCATCAGTGACCGGACGGAATTATCACACCTTTTTTCAGCTCCCTCCGCCACAATGTTACACCAAAATGCTACCTATCCATGTACACGCAGTTGTAATATCGTTTAGTATAGTTTTAGGTATAATAGGCTTTAAGCATTCTTTAACAGCAAAACCATCCCATTGAGTTCCCCACATCCATTCATTTGCACATCTGACTGATCTAAAGTTCACATTGACGCAAACTCACACTTGCGCCTCCTCGGCTCAGATGCACCAGAACAGCCGAAGCCTCATGTATTTCACTTCCATCATAAACGCCACAGCCCGCCAGCACCACAGCCACACGCTTTGACATTTCTGTGGAGTAAAAACTGGAATTCACTGCTCTGATCACAGTCCCGACTGTCTGCAACTTACGACCGCAGCTCAGGAGGGTGAGCATGGCGGAGGGCCCAGGGGCAGCTGACAGGGGCGCCAGATACTTAGACAGCATGAGCCTTCAAAACACTGTCCAGAAGCCTATCTAGCCTACAACGTGTGAATCAGATCAGTCTATGATTATATTACTGGCCTTCTAACATATTTTTATTGCATGCAGCGAACACAGCGATTAATTATAAATACGCATTAGTTACTCAAAAATCAAAAATAACTAAAAAAATCTCTAGTTTAAGGTTCCGACATAGTTTAAAAAGGAATCCGAAAGAATAAAGACATTAAAAAAAGATTCCTGTTTCTGTATTTTATTTTAGTATCAATTCATATCTGAGTTTCGATACTTTTGACACTATGTAACTTTGGGTTTACATTTACATCTAAGATAACAGACAATATCTAAATGTGTTCCCTGGTTTATTCTTATTTTTAGTTTGTCTTAATATATGTATCTGTTGAACTTGATTTCAAACCTCTTTTGTTTGTATCATGTTTGAATGAATAAAAAAAATAAGAAAATAAAATAAAAACAAATTCCGCTCGCTCTAAAGAATCAGCCATGGCAACCCTACTGAGGTTTAGAAGACTCGCGCCCCCTTGTGGACAGATGGATGTATTGGGACATATTTACGGTCTATGGGACAGACGCATGAGGAAGTGTGCGCTAATGGACGAACTCTAGTCATTGGTTTTCTCCCACGGCACTTTTCAAGACTTTTAGAATGAAGCATTATCTAGTTTTGTTTCTGAACTTGCTTCTGGGTTTTTGTTTTTGCAGAAGTAGTGAACAGCGACAGCAGACGTGGCCTGTTCCGTACAAGTAAGTAGGTTTCCAATCGAAACAGTAAACAAACAAAATCACGTCACATTGAAACTATTCCAGCCTGGATCTATTATAATGCGGTACAGTCGGTATGTTTTGACCTGCTATTCAGTTGATTTATTTTTCTTCTGATAAAATAAAGTGACACGAGAAGGACCTTGTGCTTGCACGTGATTGAGTTCCTTTATTGCAGCACAGGATAGAATAGACCAGGCTGTTTGTAGATGTATGTATTCTAAGTATATACCAACATTTATATATTATGTCTCAAACTGTTGGTATGTATTTCTTCAGCGTAAAATGATTTTCTCCCACCAGGCTTATTTATAATATCTCTTCATGATGTCACCCGCAGGAGGTTTGATTCTCGGCCTGATGTGGACTCCTACTGCCAGGCCTTGTACCCCTTCTGCCCGACAGGGGATCCGGATGGAAGGATACCCTACATGAGAGAGAGTGATGTCATCTCAGTTTATAGACTACAGACTCCTGTTTGGGAATTCAAATATGGGGATCTTTTGGGGAAAGTGGTAAGAAGAACATAACTACACCCAAACACCCTCAGGAGTTCACAACTGTGTGTTTTTGCAGCACATCATGCATGATGCCATTGGCTTCAGTAGCGCAGAGATGGGAAGTAACTTCACCATGGAGTGGTATGAACTGTTTCAGCTGGGAAACTGCACCTTTCCTCACCTCAGACCTAAAGTCAGTGCTCCATTCTGGTGCAACCAGGGAGCTGCCTGCTTCTTCCAAGGCATAGAGGACCTACACTGGTCTCAAAATGGCACTCTGGAGAAAATCGGTGAAATCTCAGGTGAGGTTTATCTATTAAAAAAAAAACACATTTTATGGCATATAAAAAATTACTTCATGGTCTTTCTCTAGGCAACCAGTTCAATGAGCTGGCCCAGTGGGTGCAGGAGGACAACAGGACAGGGATTTACTATGAGACGTGGACCGTGTGCTCGGACCCCAGCTCCAACGCCACCGTTTGGTTTGAGTCCTATGACTGTTCGCAGTTTGTGCATCGCACATACAGGAAACTGGCCGAGCTGGGAGCCAAACTGTCCAGTCGAACACAGACAAACTACACAAAGATCTACTTGTACAGCGGCGAGCCAAGATACTTGGGAAATGACAGCGCAATCTTTGGCCAGCCGGCATTGGAAAATCTAGCCATGGACATTAGAAAATTTTACTACACATTTAGGCCTCATCAGTCATTTGTGGACATCCTTTTGAGTCTGTTTGAGGCTTATGAAAAAGTTATGCTGAATAATAGTTTTTACCTTTACTACAACTTTGAATATTGGTTTTTGCCAATGAAATTTCCATATATAGACATTACTTATGAGGAAATTCCATTACCGTGAGAATTGAACCTTTTACCACAGCAACGTCTAAGGCTCTTTGTGGGTGTAAAATAATGAAAAGCAACTTTCATTTTATCAATTAAATATTAATTTTAACGTTTCAAATACATATTGAGTGTACGTTATGCAATGGAATGATGGACACAATCGTTTTTTTTTTTTATTACCAGTTGAACATGTTAAACTGTCACTCTGTCATGTGTCTGGAAAAGCATCAAATGAGTGAATTTAAATGTCTACAAATAATACTATAAATTCTACTCTCTTTGTTAGTAATGCTTTTACGACGTGTACAATTGAAAATGTGACACTATTCTGCCGCTTGAGCCGCTTTCCAATTCCATTTGGGTGCACCACCATTAATTGAAAATGAATAAAAATGAACAAATACGGACGTTAAAAAGCTTAAAGGATATTTATCAAATTAAAAACATGAGACAAAACCAACTAAGTTGAATGAAATTAGAACCGTCTCCACTTCTCATGAAAGCCTTTGTTGCGTTCATAAACTGCAATACTATGATTTCTAGAGGAAGCAGTTTTGAAAAACCTGACAACAGGAAAAGGTTGAAGCTTCAAACCCTTTTATTAAAAGTATTATTGAAAGTATTTTCCTACTTATAATAATTAAACACACAGCATTTAAAAACATTATCAACTTCCTTCTTAAAGGAATAAAAAGCTTTCATCATTCATCTGATTTGCCAAAACCTGTAACAGAATTGAGTATTAGATTATACTTTCTCAGGTTCTTGTGATCAGATAAGAGCAGATCACAGATGAGACGTTTAGAGTTTGAACAGGCAAAGAGCAGAAGATACAAATTAAACCAAAACGTGGCACTCCCAGCGTGCACATTCAAAATAATAATCCTTTTTTAAAGAAATATTGAGAGTATCAACAGAATTGATCAAGAGTTGAGATGCTTTTAGGACTAAGGACTTATCCAGAATCATAAGGTGCATCTACAAATGAACGCCTGCTGCAGCAACAGAATGTAACTGTACAAGTTACTACAACCCATTAACACAAACAGAGCGTTTGATTTATTATAATACAGCACTAATAAGGGGAGCGGTAGAAGAAGAGGAGAAAAGCTTTCCACACGCTCTATTCATTTGGTTATGCATATCCCTCACTACATTTGCCTACTATAAAAATATATAGTCATATAGACCCAAAAACAGTGTCCAAAGCATTTATAGGCATAATTATTCATGTGTACAGTATGCACACATTGGGCGGCACGGTGGCTGAGTGGATAGCACTCTCGCCTCTCAGCAAGAAGGTCCTTGGTTCGAATCCCGGCCGGACAAGGGCCTTTCTGAGTGGAGTTTGCATGTTCTCCCCGTGTCTGCGTAGGTTTCCTCCGGGGTACTCCGGTTTCCCCTACCACTAAAAATATGTACAATAGTTCTGGCATGCGCCTCCTGTTCGGCAACCCCGCTCCCATCTCTGTGTGGAGTGAGAGACAAATGCCCAAAAATAACAATTGTAAACCGCTTTGTGACTCTGGTCTGTGAAAGGCGGTATATAAATAAAGCTTACTTACTTACTTACTGAATATTTGAGACAAATTAACTCATTTTGTATCAACATCACCATTTGGGAGCCAGTTCTACATCCAAAATGACGTCCTTCTCACCAAGTTGGCATCATGTCTGGAAACCAGACTCGGCCGAGATGCTTGGAGACCTCCCAGTGGATCTCATCTAGTGTGTATTTGTGATCTGGGATCAGCACCTCCTCCATGATGGACAGCTGTGAGAGCCGCCGGCCGCACATCTTCACAAACTCCACAAAGGCGCTGCAGGACACCTCGCACTCCCCCAGGCCGATCGCAGACAGCTGAGTGCAGCGCTTGGCGATGCGGATGAGCTCTTCATCCAGCGGACGCAGACCATTGGCACAGACCACCAGCTCCACCAGACGGGGGCAGTGAAGACCCACACGGCCCAACACCTCCTTACTAACAGAGCGACCGAAGTACAGATGTGTGACAGGAATCTCCTCATTGAAGAACGGACTAAACTCCTCTTCATACAGGAAGAAGTACATAACCAGGTTAACCTTAGGCGAGTGCCGCACCATGGCATCCCAGCTGCTCTTCTTGATGCTGTGGAAATGCTGTCCAGGGTTATCGCTCACAACATCGATGCGGAGATGCTCCAGGTGAACGTGTTTCTATGAGGACAATGCCAACAGGAGCTCGTCGCTCAGAAGGTGGTAGTTCAGCGCCAGCTCTCTTAATCCATGGCAATGATCTGCCACACACAGAATCCCTGCCAAAGGGCACAACATTAACAGATATAAAGTCTGACCCTTTTCCACATTTCAGGTGAGAGCTTCTCTTTTACTAAATATGGTAATTATTAAATACCTGCCGGTGAGACATGAGGACAGCTGCTCATTTTTAGAAGTTTCAGAGTATCACTGTTGTTTGCCACCAGCACTTTTAGAGACGGGTCATCAACTGGTGTATCATCAATCTTGAGTGAAGATAATGATTTGGAGTTTACAAATACCACAGTAAGAGCCGAGATAAAGTGAGACTGAAAAAAGGGAAAATGCAATTACTACAAATAAAAAAGGGAAATTTTATGTAGTGGTGTCTCAAAGTGAAATGTTTTTGACAGTGTAACCAAGGTCTTGCAACATTTATATGTTTCAATACCATCGTAAATCATACATTTTTAGTGAAAGGCTTATGTTCACTATTAATACAAGAACACTTCTCAGGCCTTTAGTGATGTTGTCACCTCTTGCCAAACTGTCCGTTTCTCAGTCGATGGGTGACAGAGACGGCAAGGGCTGTGATTGGTCCAGGGAAAAGCAGCCGAGGAAGGCAGTGGGAGAGACCCACCCTCCACGCTTACATTTTTCGAAGTTACAGCGGATAAAAGTTTGATCTTGATTTTAAATAAGGCTGTGGTGACTTTATATTGTTCAAATTACTTCCATCAGGTGATTATGCTTTATCACTGTCGCAATGATATTCAAGCTCATTGTGCTGTTGACTCCGCTCACATCCCAGTCAAACGAGGAAAGCAGTTTATGCACCAACAACTGGCATAAACCACACACTTAATTTTGGAGAAAAAAAAGGTGTGCCCTCCTCAAAAACAGGCTATAAGCACAGTGTATGTGTATCCATAAACACTCGCAAAAGGTAGTTTCTCACACATGCCCATCAGCTGATTCCGCTTGAGTAAGGCAGTCCCCTTAAAGTGGTTCTCACCCCCGCTCCTCGGAGCTTACGTCACTCACATTTCCTGTTCAAATCTTCCTCTAAATGGGCGTAGCCTGGAGGACTGAAGGGGGCGTGAACGAGACTGGGCCGTTTATATTGCTCTGGGCGGGGGGCTGCTGACGTCAGGTCCGACTTGCAGACGTCAGGTCCAACTTCTGTGCCAGTGTTGGCGCCAGATTCAAAATTCAAATGTAGTAATACAGGTCGCCAGCAGATGGCGCCTCACAGACGGTTTTAGGCAGAAAGTTTAACTTTCAACTAATTTGCACCAAAGTGAAAAAACTATGACCAGGATATGTAGACAACACTATTGGACACTCATTTAAATCGTTTATCAGCAAAAAAAAGTGGATTTGAGGGTGAGTTGTCCTTTAAAGAACAGTGGGGTCTTCTTTCCTTACAGGTCCCATCTACCACCTCTTTAAAGTTGACCTCCAACATATAACTTAGTCACAGGAGTATCCTGCAGTCTTAAGCTCACTACAAGTTTTCATCCTACCTTTGGCACCTCCATAAAGCTGGGCCGAGCAGTAGAAATTAGTCCCAATGTCTTAAGAGAGCAATTCACCAACTGTGACAGGATGTCACATGCCGCCTCTGCAGACTCTGTGCTGCTGTCCACCTTTACCAGAATAAACACATTTAGACTCAGGACACAAGATGCAAATGGCTTCAGAGACATTCCTACCTTGAAGCTGACATATTGCAAATGATTAGAGTGTCTTTTTATGATCTGTTTAATAAGATCAGGATGCGTGGCTTTGAGGTAGGAGCTGGCTGGTTGGTTGAGCTCAAACTCAAAGCACCTCCACAGCTCTGGCATGTGGAAAGCCTGATTCCACCCTCGGCACACCAGAGAGGCATAGGCCCGGTCCAGGAGGGGAAGGTACTGAAAGATGTGCAGCAGGAGCTCCTGTGGCAGCCGGGTCCAGTCGCAGCCTGGTGCCTCACTCGAGCTCTCCGGCACAGGCTCCACGTTCTCCTCTGGTCGTATCCTTTTGCACGTTTCAGAAGGATTTACACTGGTGGAGTCGTTACCTCCCTCCTCATGTCCTTTCATTCGTTTCATCCTAACAAGAAAGTCAAATTTTAGACAATGGAATTATACTATGTATACTCTACTTCATAGGCTTTCATACAAGTGCATCTGGAACATTCTTCAAAATAGCAAGACTTCCAAGCTGACCCTCCACCCCCCAGAGTGCATATGGCTGGAAAGTCTCGTCCCAGAAGCACCGCCGGTTCATTGCTCGGATACAAACAAACCGTCAGCTGTTCGAAGAGGCGGTTTAAGTGAATGGTGCATAATGCTCGGCTTTGTTTTCGGCTGTAATCATCACAGTTTACGCGACACATGCTCATTCTTTAGGTTTCCCAAAGACCAACTGAAGCTGTGGGAAAAGCTATGCAGTTCTGATAAAATATTTTGTCTGATTTCAGAGACAGTTAACTTGAACATGTATTCAAGCTAACTTGTAGCTAATGCTAACCTGTAATAGTGCGCGGCCAAGCCTTTAATTGTGGCTTGTATTTTAAGATAAGAAACTTTATTGATGTCACACAGGATAAATATTGTCTCTCAAATATTTATCTATTTGAGAGATAAAGGAGGAACATATTAACACGTATTAAATAACATCTAACAAATGTTCAAATATAACAGAAAACGCACAACGACACGGTGGCTGAGTGGGTAGCACTCTCGCCTCTCGGCAAGAAGGTTCTGGGTTCGAATCCCGGTCGGACCAGGGCCTTTCTGAGTGGAGTTTGCATGTTCTCCCCGGGTCTGCGTAGGTTTCCTCCGGGTACTCCGGTTTCCCCTACCACTAAAAATATGTACAATAGTTCTGGCATGCGCCTCCTGTTCGGCGACCCCGCTCCCATCTCTGTGTGGAGTGAGAGGACAAATGCCCAAAAAAATAACAATTGTAAACCGCTTTGTGACTCTGGTCTGTGAAAGGCGGTATACATAAAAATATATAAATATATAAAATAAAATATAATATATATAAAAAAAAAAAAAATCGTATTAAATGAATAGGTAGCCCAACTACATCATGTTATTTTTGACAGCACAGCAAAAAGGAAAAAGGCCCAATGTGAAGCTGCAGTGAGTGTGAAGTGGAGAATGAGCTGATGAACAGATAGAAAACTGATCATTCATATACATTGGCTTATAACCAAAGCAGCAAAGATAGCTGTAAGGGACAACATCAATTTATTTGCATAGGAATAGTGTTTCTATATTTTCTTTCTGATGCGTGATAGTGGATTAAAATACAATGGGTTTGAACCATAGACTGTATGTTTGAACACGGCCCTGTGCCTTTCTCATCTCCCCGTCATATGGAAACGTCAGGACATGGCCAGTTCACAGCTAATTTCGACCGCTCACTCAGTTTTTCTGTCCCAGAGATGAAATGTGTCCAAAATAACACAGGGAAGTCCATTAACGAGGAAGAAGTCGGCGATCTCCGCACCATACAACTGGCACGTGTGGTTTGTTTGTATCCACGGGTGGAAATCTCGCAAAATCTCGCACTTCCGCTTTCTAGCCTGCTGCTTGGACCAAGTGACACCACAAAATTCATGACTCAATCATTCAATATTTGTAGAGTGATTATTTTCTTTTTAAACACACACACACACACACACACTTGAGTTTGTGAAAATGTATTAAATTTAGCCACGGACACCAAAACTATTATACTATGTTGTCTAACCCTAGTCTGGGGATTAGACAATTCGACTGTTCGGATGAGACTTTCGCAGTAAATAACTCAACACTTTTCATAGGCAATATTTGGATTACCTTTCTCCTGTATCAACAAAATGAAAAATGCGACTTCATATAATTAAGTCATGTTTATGCAGGTCTTCATTCTAAATGCATAACGTTAGATTCGGCGAACTAAAATAAATACATGTCATATCAATGTCTACGATGGCCCCTTAGCACCTGCAATGCCCCTCCATGTTGACTACTTATCTATGCACACTGTAGGAGCCTAAAGACCCATTCATGTTCAGATGGATTACACAAACTAGTTCATGCTAAAGTCACATTTGTGTAAGGACATGCAACCGCTTGAACAGAAATAGAGCTCGGATAAGAGCCATACACCGTAGAAGTATATGATGAAAACACAGGGAAAGCACAGCTGCATCACACCTCTCTTACCTTGTTTACAGTCAGCTAGCTTACATCAGGAGCTGTTAGCATTAGCTGGAGTTGCAGACAGAGTGACGCGTGCTCATCCCGGGCACACGCTCGTGAAACTCATCCATGTGAAAGGCATGAATCACGCATTAGATCACAAAATAAGAGCTTCCCGAGCATAGACAATCACGTTTTCTACTGCAGAATCGGTCAGTGTTGCACCTCCACTCGCTTGACCTAGTTACTTCCTTGGTTGGAGCTCCCCCCCTTGACTGAAATGGCGAAGCGTTGTTGTGACTGGTACGGTGCATTGTGGGAAACGTAATGTGAAATGGCTGTTGGAAAAGCACCTGCATCTGATGGCTTACTTTGAAAAATAAGTGAATATTTCTGTTAGCCGACTGAATTGTAAATTGACACAGGCTTCAGACTAGAGAACTAACTAGTTTATTGTGTATCAGAAAATTAGGGATATTAACTTAGAAATATATGGGACCCTAAGTACGAGCCAGATCTATAATATTTAGAAAAACAAATCAAAATCATTGGGAAACGGAGAACCTGGTTTATTACCACTCAGCTCCATCCACAACAAATATTACAGAGCAGATTCACGTGTAATAAGCTTTTATTTAACAGCAGCTCTTATTCTCCACACCGTTTCAATGACGCTGACCCACCGCCTCCTGCTTGGAAAAAGGATGCTGGGTGCACAATTTGGTGTCAAGACAGGCCCGTTCTCCTTAGTCGACTGTCAGTCTCCTGTGTGTTTTGTTCTTTATTTTATTTCACCAATGGCTGCAAACAGGATTATAGACTGTATGTTTCAGGACAACTGATGAGAGCTGACATAAAAGGAGATACTGATTACTGTATAAAATGTACAGTGGCTGTATCAACATACATTCCAGAGGTTTAACAGCTGCAAAATAGGAGGCACACCCAGTATTGCACTTCAATAAAAGTTCTGGATCCAAATAAAACCCAGAATATCAAACATAACTGAAGTGAAGAGAGAAACTTTGTAATACAGCTATTTCGATAATATCATTATATACAAGATTAGATAAATCATACACTATTTTCCTCCTAAACATAACATTTTAACAGTCTTTTCAACTATTTCTTATCTGTCAACCCATGATGCACTTGACAGTGGAGAATACTGTACAAGATTACGAAAAGTTTACATATAACAATATTTTAAATTTATAGGAAGCTGGAATTGCGGCCTGTTCTTTTTTTAATCCCACACTGATCCAAACTTACACATCAGAGATCAGTAGGTGTGCAACGTCTAAAGAAGCCGAGGGGATACACCGGCCGCATGCAAACACGTCACAAGTCATTTTCTTTTTTCCTTTTTAAGTTATTGTTCTGTATTTAATCAGGTTACATCAGAGTCGCCACCACTCTTATCTATGGCAGAGTACATGTCACTGATGCAGACCTGAAGACGCCGGGCTTAGAGCAGAGACCTGGTCCAATGTCCAGAGAACTTGGCAACACCAAGCTTCACGGCTGAGCGTCAGCAGCCAATCACAGTAGAGAACCGCTTCTACAGTTCAGGTTTAAAACGTGTGAGCATTTCTACACACACCACAGCCCAAAGCAAACTCCTCCCCTGTCGGAGGGTGTACCACATGCAACGGGCACTCTGTTCCTTCCAGCTGTTTGCCTTTGGGCCCTGTGAAAAAAAAGAACATTTTAGCACAGGTGGAAAGGTTGTACCTCTACATCAGAGTCAGAGGAGCCGATGTGCACCTGCAGGACAATGAGGCAGCTCCTCTTTAGGGATGCTGGTCATCCTCTGGAAGTCATCATGACAAGCATTGCAGAAGTGTGTGGTGCCAAAGCAGAAGAAAACCGCCACAGAGCAGCAGTACCGGCATTTGTACTCTAGGAAATCCGTGCCATGTTTAGAGCACATCTAAAATATATGCAAAAAGCAGCATTAATGAAGATGGATTAGGATTATTTTGCCAAACTTTTCTTAGTGATTAAATTTGACACCTGAGCCCTGGACACATCGGAACAAGCTCCACAGATAAGCTCACTGGGGTCGTAGTCATCTCCCTGTCCTGCCTCAGCGTCACAGCGTGCTTCTCCTCCAAAATAGGCCTGGTAAAAACAGTCTTATAAATTCTCTCTTAGATGAAAAACATCACAAATTCAATGTGTAAAAAAAAAAAAAGGTGGAGAACCTTCTTGCATTTGTAGCAGACATAATATGCATATCTGTTCATGGCAAATCCTGCAGGGTCACTGTGGAAGCGTGCGCCGGGTGTCGTTATGGCCTCACTCTTGTGGAGACCCTCATACTCCAGCCTCATTAAAGCCTTCCTTCTCACATCCTCGTAAAGCTCCTTAATTGGGTCCAACAGGTCCTTTAGCACAGAGTGGTTGATTTTGTTCTAGAAGCACAACAAAACAACCAGTATTAGTCACATGAACTCAAACAGGAAAATTGAATGTGCATATTGAAGCTCCTCATGGGAATTTCACAAATAACTTCACCTTGCAAATTGGACACTGCATAAAACCAAATGTAATACGAGGACCAAGCCAGCGATTTTCCAGCACACGGCGAGTGCACTGAAGGTGGAACACATGTGTGCAGTCCAACTGGAAACAGAAAACAAGATAGACTCAAGGATGCACCATCCTAAAGTCTGCCATAAAGTCTGTTCTCTACCTGTATCGCAGGTGCAGCCGAGAGGGCTTCGGTAAAGCAAATCATACACATGTCATCTGCATCTTGTTTCAGGCAGCCAGTGTTTTTGTCACAGCCATGAAGACACGGCAAGCAGCTGTCTTCATTCTTGACTCCACCGCATGGATGCCCACAAGGATGAGTCTTACTGCAGGCAAGTTTGGCATACTCCTAAAAAATAAACCGATAAGAAAGAAGTTGGAAGTAATAACTTTAAACCTTGAGGTACCACTTAAGTGTTCTGTACCTGGCAGTCTGGGTCTGAACAAACACTTCCCACAGCAGAGAGCTCAGTTCCATTCCTGGTACCACAGAAACGGCAGGCGTCCGAGCTGCTAGATGCTGGTTTACCTAAAAATAACAGAGTTAAATATTTGTTCCGAGCTATATACGCTTGGAACGTATCCAAGGTCAATTACAAAACCCCAAATTACCCGTGTGTTCTCGAAACTCTGCCATGGCCTTCATAGTCTTTGAGTCAGCCAAAGCCATTAGCCAGAATAGCTTGGTCCTTCCACAGCCTTCATGAAGATCCACCTTTATAGCCTCCTCTTCCTCCTTAAAAACCTATAAGCACCAAACATCAAATATTACTTTCACTGGAGGAAAATAACCTTTACTGTTGAACGAACATCTACTGACCTGTCTTTGGTGAGAGCGGGTGCGCCGATGCAAATGGAGGAATCTGTCACAATCAGTACAGAGGTTTCCACAATTGTTACACAGGATGATGGCTGCTGTCTCGCCATCATCATGATTGTCACACATGGGCTGTGAAGCAAAACACAGAAATTAAACTTTAAAAAATACAAAATTAGAATATAATTACTCTTTTTAGTCACTACCATCTGTTTTTGTTGACCATCTTTGCCCATCCACCGGCCAGATGACAGCCTGTCTACATGATCCTGGTCCAGAACACAAAGTGAAGCCAGGGCAAGCCAAAGCTGAGAAGAAAATACATAACATTAAATGATCGTTCTTTGGTTTAAATGCATGTATTTGTCTACTTTACAGTTATAATGTAGGACCCCGTGGATAATTATTTTGAATCACAGTATTGATCTTAATGACTTACAAAAGACTAAATGTCTGTTTACTAAAAAAAATAATGGCCAACTCTGTGAGCCCCATGGTATTCCATTATCACCACAAATACACATCACAACAGTGCCCTCCCGTGCCTAAACTGAACACACACCAAACATAATTTAGTTTTTCTTTGTGACAATATGACAATAAATATTGAATCTTGAATAGTGAATATTGACCATTCAAATCTCATTAAATATTTACAGTGCATTGTCTTACCCGTGTTGTGGCGATACACCTTACAGGGGACCTATGCTCCTCCTCCATTTTGGTCAGAGCAATAATGGTCTCAGCGATGGCATTTTTGGTGACTCTGGACCACCCATCAGATAAATGTCCCTTTGGAAACAAACAAATTTGTTGCAATTTCTGTACAAATGGCAACAGTTGAATTGAATAAAGAAAGCTTACTGCTGCCATGTCTTTGACCAGCTTTATGATGATCTCTGCTATTTGTGGAGGAGTGGAGCCTTTCATCCACCAGTGGCTCTCACCTCTTCTGATATAACTAAAAAACGTTAATAAACGAAAAGTTAATAATACAGCTGTTTTTGATGTAGCATTGTTTACAATATGTGTACACACCAAGAGTTGAAGATCATTGGCAGCGTGACCGTTGTTACCCCTTTACCTACAGTCATGCCAGCAGTACCAGAGATAGTGGTACCTTTGGCTTTCAGCTGCACAGTAAGGGCTTTAGCAATGCATCCCAGAAACATGTCTAAGATGCCCAATTTGTTCCAGTCTCCTTTCTCTGTCGAGTGAATAATATCACTGATGTCTGCAGGAGGCAGAGCCTTCACTCCAATAATGCTGGCCAGTCGTACTGGAGTTACTTCAGGTAGCACTCGTCTAAGCAAAGATGTCACCTAATAGAAGATAACAGTGTAAAACAAGAGCCATCAACAAATAGAGCACCTTGAAAACCAATAACTAAAACCTGCCAGCCCACCTGTCTTTGTACTCGTGGGGATGCAGTATGTAGCAGTGAGAATAGATCTTGCATTAGCGTTAACTGTTGTGCAAGATACTGGCGGCCCACATTAGACCCACTGAGAGCTAGCACCATGGACAGCAGCTCAAAGCAATAGGCATCTGAGGAAGCATCGTCGTCACTAGGTTGAGAATTGGCATTTTCCTTGCTAGAAATGGCATGCTCCCACTCCTCCCTGACGCGAGTAGCCTCCATTCGGATAGCTTGGACAATATGTGCACACACCTATTTGGGAAAATATAACAATTAGCTAATGTGTGAAAATGAAAAGGCCTTTCAAGCCTGGATCAGGATATTTACTTGTTTCTGGAGATTAGTGAGCTTGCTTCTGCTGAAGATGATGCCAACCATGTGCTCCTTTAGATCTGCATCTGATGGTGCCTGTAACACAATTTGACAATTATTTTTGCCTGCCTAACAGTTCATCCATGTTTCTAAAATGTAATTTGGACCACAAACAGACCTTGTCCTCTCCCTCTGGTGATGATAGAAGGTTTTTCTCTTCTTGTTCTGGAGTTGGCTCAGCATCACCCGAAATTAGTTTTCCAAATACCTGATGACAGATAAAGTGTTAGTAATTCTCTCCATTAGATCAAATGTTAACACTGTGAGCTCCTCCCACAGTTTCAGACTATTGTAACGAACCTGTGAGGTGATGAGGCGAAACACTCGAAGTGTCTCAGCCTCACAGTTCTTCTGTTGGGCCATACTGGCCGACACTTGTCCTGGAATCTTGATGCTCTCGCCGTCTTTCCAGCCGAGGACTTTGACTTGTCGAACCCTTAATGTGTTTTCTGGGCCTTTCAGTTCCACTTTGATCACATGATGATCCCCACCAGGAAGCTCACTTGCCACCCAGCCCATGTGTCGAGAGTCAAGGTCAACCTAGTCAAAAGATAAGATCTACAGAATCTGTGTTTCTGAATGGATGTGAGGATTAACAGTTGAATAGTAGCACCTGTTTAATCCTGCAGAGGTCCTCAACTGCTTTTCCACAAAGGAATGTGACTGAAGTGACTTTGTTCTGAGGATAAAAATGTCATTTTTAACCAGTTGACCATGCAACTCTTCAAAACTGCTTCCGTGCAGGAATGTTGATGTCTTTCTTTGGAGAGATGCTATTCTGTCAAACTGGGGCACTCCACCTCATTCCCCACCAAACTAAATTTCAGGGTTCAGCGTTCACACCCAACCTTTTTGCTTTGTACATACTCCCACTGAGATCCAACTAATGGCAGTAACATCAAGGTTTGGCTGGTGCACAAAGGGCTTTAAGGTGTGATCCAAAAACCTTTTTTTTAAATGATCATTATTATTTGAGAAAGTCACGCTGCAAGCTTTAAGGCTTTTTTATCTTCTCGTTTACCCTAGTGCAATGTAATACATACATAACATTGATGTAAACAAAGGAATACTATGTAAATTCCTCTAAGAATAAATTCCAATGCTTGTTATTTTCTTACCCCAATGTCTCTTGAGTTGTCCACATGAACAGACACATTTGAAGCATTTATGCCTTTGACACAACTAATTGTGATGTTTTTGGTTTTGTTCTTGTCTTCATCTCCAGATTCCCAAAAGGTCTCAGTGGATCCATCAGTGAGACTTCCAATCATGGCTGGACGACTAGATGTCTTCATGTCTACGACACTCGTTAGGTCTTTTAGACACGTGACAAGACACAAGTCCTGTGAAACAGAGCATTTCCAGTACTATGGTATATTTGTTTTAATTCCACTACAAACGTCATAAAACATTACCTGGCTCATCGCTTCGTAGCCTGATTGCACACTGATATTAAAGCTTTCCTCACTGTCCCCATCATCCGATTTGGACAATATATTATTGATGTGATGGAAAACATTGCTTTGGTGAAGAAATTGATGGTCTGACTGCTTGAATTTAAGACTCCAGCATCTAAAAAGAAAGATTAATGTATAACCCGTGTTAATAACAGAACAAAGTCATAAAACCATCAACTTTTCAACCTACGGGTGGAAACTAGCACTAGAGTAACCTCTTTTATTAATAATTCTTAAATAATACAAAATTGGACCACCATAATTTTACAAAGTAAGTTCTGTAAAACAGATTAAATACTAAACCCTATAGTTTAATGGCAAGGCAAGTTTATTTGTATAGCTAAGTTCATACAGTTGAGTTTCTTGCTTTCACAAGATCTAATTTATACTCTTGATACCAATTATTCCTAGTAAATATAAATGTTAGCATGACAGCTACCTGAGAGCCATTTGTTGAAGCGAGCTACCACTGGGAAGGGACATCATGAGGTCTGAGATCGTCTGCAGGAGGCGGTGGAAGGTGTGGGGGAGAGGGTGAGCGGCCTCCCCAGCAATGACAATGTCGGACAGAGGATGTTCGCAGACACCAAGATCCCTTTCCTGCTCCGACACAAAACCATGCGTTAGAAAAACAAACTATATCCGATTATAGCAGGGGTAATTTAAGCCATTCACCTGCTCCACTATTTCCTTGTTGCCTTTGTTCTCTTCCTCCTCTTCATCTTCAGGCTCAAAAGGAGATGGTGTGAGGGACGCAACAAAATGCCAGAGTATATCGTGGAGGGATGTGGTCTGAATTACATTGCACAGCAGCCAATTGAAAGCCTATAAAAGTAATTAAAAGGAATAAAAAGTATAGTAAGTATTATAGCTTGGAGACAATGGCAATTTTGTGTTTTTGTTTCTTTGGTTGAGGCTTTCTACATTTAATATGACACCAATTTTATACAAGAATACCTCCATAGCAAAGACTCGGCAGGCAGATTTTCTCAAAGCATGCTTCATAGCCACTTCCAGCCCCTCAAGGTCATGGTGCTGGATGACAAAGGCCAAGACAGGCCACTGAAAATTCCTCTCTCCTTTACTGAGTGAGCCATGTGCAGAGATAAGCCTGGACAGCTCGGGAGAGGGGTGTCGCAACAGTGAAGATCCTACCTCTAAATCAGACAGAATGAAACAACATTACGAACCCATAGCATAATTGTTTGGATCACCCACAAGACAACGTACCTGCGTCACCACTATGCACTCTGCGTCTCGGGACAGCCTTAACCCGGGCTGGTGATGGAGAGTGTTGTTTGTCATACTCAGAAGCCACGACTGAGTATGATCTCTGGAACACTGTCCTTTTAGCTGTATCACTGTCAGTGATAGGACTTGTCTCAAGACTGAAAAAGAAACATTTTGGTCTAGAAAAAAGAAACTATTGTAGAAGAATGTTGCTTGAATGTATTACCTTGGGGGCATTGACTTCATGTTATTCTCTGGTTCCTCAAACACATTAGGGCAGGCATCAGGGGTGACTGAGATGTAGGGGGCAGGAACAGAGGTCGAGCGCAAATACCTCATCTCATCTTGGAAAAGATTATCATCCTGGTAACCCCCAAAGTTTTCAGTGTGTTGCCTGGGTTGTCAAACATAAGGTTTTACAAATGAGATAAGTGTATATTTGAAAACAATTGTTATATAATTTATAACAAGGTGACCTGGCAAGCGTCTGAAGGTATAGACATCCAATTTTGTTTGGTATTTCCTCAGACACGCCCTCCTTAAGGCTGGGGAGCATCTGTGGATGTGGGGGCCGGGGCAGGTGGTGGCAAAGCATGCTGGGTTCTGCTGCGCTACTCAGAGAGAGTAGGAACAACGCATTTGCACGGATGACCTGGTGAGCCTCCATAGTAGGCAAAGCCCTTGGAGTTTTGACTTGCAATGGTTTTTTCCTCGACTGCTTCACCTACAAAATAAATATATATTTATGTTATTATTTTTGATTTTTTTTTTTTAATATGCAGAAAATATTCAAAGGTGTGTGGACAATATAATACTTTAAAATGTAGAATATACCTTTTCTCTTGCAGCAGTTTGTTTTTCTCTCAGGTATTTTTCTCGACAGCGGTCGCAGACTAGGTACCAGGTGCTACCTCCAATGCCTCCGTCGCCACAATTTCCTGCCCAACCACCACAGAAGTGGCCAATGCTGTTGTATCCTTGACCCCCAGCATATCGACCACAGCCTAATAAAAATATGCGAAGGAAACATCTCAGAGAAACAGTAAGTCAACATTGAGTCTACTGTAGTGGTCCATGTGCTTACCAGGGTGGGCTTGTCGCATGTGGTAGGTAACCGGGTAAGGATGCGATTCTCCACACAGCTCACAAATGGTGTCCTTCTCTGGCCCACCCATAGCTAGTTGTGCCATCTCTCCAAACAGATTCCCTCTGGGGCGCACCTCAGCCTTCTCTCTCTTTTTCTTCTCCTTCTTTGCTTTTTTACTGTCCTTCTCATTTTCTTTCTTTTTAAGGATGGCACTCGAACCTGGGCTTGGAAATATCATGTTTTGTGTGGCAGCTTTGATAGTGGCCATTGATATATCTTCCCAAAAAGCAACTAAATGTTGCAATGTCAGAGGTAAAATTGACTTTGCTCTCATAGAGGCATGAGATGCCATCTCATAAACAGAGTCAGCCTTTCCATCTTCACATTTCTCCGGCAGAGGTGGTTCCTTCAACATTGAGAGCACCTTGTTTTTGTTGATGCTGCCCATCTTGGATATGTCTGGGCCATGGGGAGCGATGTTAAACATATTCAGTGCAGATGATATCTCCAAAGAGTGTCTGTTCTTTAGTTTACTTTCCTTCTCCTCAGACCCCTGTCCTCCAAGAGAGTTACGGATCGGGGCTTGCTCTTTGGTCAAGTCTGGGTTGAACTTGAGAAAAGATGAGCAGGCCATGGCATCATGTACAATACCTTCATGCCAAAGGAAAGCTGCAAAGACCGCTCTTGAGCATTCTGCCACAGAGGGGGACATTGCCTGTTTGGCCGGTTCTGCAAGTCTTGTAGAACTCTCAGCTTTAAACAAAGGTCCCGATTTGTCTTTCTTAGGCCGTGTATGTCTACTAGAGGTTTTGCGACTGACCTTTGGAGACGACCGGCCTTCCTGTTCCTCTTTGACTGGAGCTTTGCCAATGCTAAAATGCACCTTACAGGACCCGTCATCGGCATTTTCATCATTTACATCTTCATTAGATAGAAGAGTACTTGAGGAGCATACCTCTACCACTTCAATATGCAAGTTTTCCTGAGTCACTTGAGAAGAGGGGATGCAATTCTCTACATTACTTATTACACCCTTATTTGGATCTGTCGGTGACAGTTTAGGCTTTGGTGAGGTAGACCTGCCTCTAAGAGGCTCTGTAAGAGGAACCTTCTTCTTACGAAGAGTGTCAGGGTCCAGAGTGTAAGAGTCTGACTTGGATCTTTCTCTGGGAGGATCTAGACGAGATTTGGAAGAAGGGCCAACCTTAGAAGGAATATTTTTATCATGAGAAGTCATAGAGTTCTGTTGGGGAGAGGTGCTAGAAGGACTAGACCTTCCAGAGGAGGATGCACTTTTCTGTTTAGGAGATGAGGAGCGAGACCCAGGGTTTGGTGATTCTGCTCTGAGACCGGGAGTCCTGCCATCGGCCTTTAGAGCCTGCAGTGTGTTGTGGTTCGGTGAGTGAGAACGACTGTGGGTATCCGACCTCAGCTTAGCAGTGTCTGACCTTAAAATAAGGGCTTCGCTTGCGGATAGTGCACCTTCCCCAGTCTTCATTCTGTTCTGTTCAGAAACACGATTTCCGTGGCTCTCCTGTTTTGGTGAGCGATTTTCCAGTCGGTGTTTGGATGATTGAGACATTGGCTTAACTCCAGACATAAGATTTCCACGCTCACCTAAAAAAATATATATAAGTACATGTAACTACATGTAACTAATAAACATGTATTATTCGATCATATACAGAAGTCTATACAGATACATGAAATGGCTTTAGGCTGATGGTAGATGGAATTCCAGCCTTAATATGTGATGTTACCCTGTAAGTTATTGCTAATTTATTTTACCCCTTACTCCCCTCTAATAAGCCTGATTTAGATCACATCATGCAATTACCCACCCTTTTGTTTTAAAGCAAGAGATGAGAGAGCAGTACCATGCCCAGCCACAGACACAGAGTTTTTGTGCACACGCTCACGAGAAGCAAGGCTGCGAGATGAACCATCTAAAGTTGAAAGAGGCAAGTGAGCCATGAACAATGCTATGAAATGCAGGAGGCCAAGACAGACAATGTAAAAAGTTAATAGACTGAAAGAAAACATGAAAATTCAACAGAAAACAAAATATAAGAAATTAAGGTTAAAAGAGATACAACAGCTCCACTTTTTTATAAACATTGTGAAAAAAGGTTGTTAATAATGAATTCGTTAGCAGTATGTTCAGCCTTGGTGGCATGTTGTGTCAAGCCATTTTCCTATGAAAAACCTATTTTAAAACCGAAATTAGTGAGTTGTACAAGGGCAAAACAGTTGTTTGCTGCAGTGAATGCCTGGACTGGAAAAGTGGTATATGAAAAAAGGGGGGGATACTAGGAAAAATACTTGCAGGAAGGAAATTAGGAGAGGACATTTCTCATTACCATAAAAAAGTCATAGGTCTACAAATAAAAAACAAGCATTTTAACTGTCATGGTATAAATAAAATTCAAATCAACATTTAGATGACCTAAATCTGAGGTGGACTTTTCAAGCAGGAACTGTCAAAAGGCACGACAGACTTACTGAGAAGCTGTGGTTGTGGCTGAGACAGTTGGGAAGGGGACTGTCCAAACACAAATGGACTGTGGACAAGGGAGGAAGAGGAAGAGGGAGTTTGGGCAGCTTGTTCAAAAATGGAGGAAGTGGGAGCTGTTGAGAGGAATGGCCCAGACTGAACGGAATTCAGTGTGGAACTCAACCGGTCACCTGCAAACAGGAGACAAAGGAGGTGGAACAACCACAGCTGAAACTAGGCCCGAGGTTTTAGTGCAATAAGGGTCATTCACTGGCAATCATTCAGTTCTTGCACAACTGAAATGATGTGTCAAATGAGAACATTTAAAAGAAACATTATCTTAACTTGAGGAGTCAAGTAAGAAGGACTGGGTCAGCTGCAGCATTGAAAGAACTGCTAATGCTGCTGCTTGAACAGGACCGATGAAGGAACAATATGGACATTTCTACAGCCCTATCTAACAGGGAATGGATCTGGATAAAACAAACAAAACAAGACTTCACTAAGGTTGAAGCTGTTGTCAACCTTTTTGAAAAAACTCTTGCCCATCTGAGATAGTTTTAATTGATGTTGGTGTTTTTGTATAGTATGTATCCAGTAAGAAAAGACAAATGAAAGAGGAATGAAAAGCATAAGCTGCATTGCAAAGTTGTCAAAAAGCAAAGTGATCTTTGAAAACCTAAATACTGATAAAACACATAAAAGTTGGAAAGATGGAAATCAAAATGCTTGTCCGAAGAGAATATTTTAGTAATCTATTGATGTTACCTTTGTTGTTGGTGATCCCATAGTCAAAGCCCTGGGCTCCGTTTGAGGCTGTGGCTCTGTTGAACGCTTGCACAGAGAAAGGGCTAGGAGGTGGTGTCTGTGACTCAAGCAGAACTTGTTCTGTAGAAATATATATATAAATATCTTTAAATTAAAAAAATACTGTATTATAATAATAATAATAATAACAATAATGACAAATTGATAATAAGATAAAAGTATTAAAATCGAAGTCCAAAAAGGCACTGCTTACCCTCATCATGTCTGAGATACTGACTCCCTCCACGGTCCCTTGACAAAGACCAGGCCTCTCCTTCATCACTTTCACAAAACTCCACAATGCTATTCTTATCCAGCTGTATCCACGCTCCCTCTGAGTTGACCGCCTAGCACATAAACAACACTTTTTATCCATTCTCACATTTCACCTTTTCAGTCACCTCAGCACAGGCCACACGGTTGATCACTGACATGCGCTCACAGAGGCTCACAAATCATGATTTAAGATTTTGATTTTGCAGCATTTACAAGATGACCTAAGAGAGTTTAAAAGTACCAAAGTGTTGAGAAAGGTGTTTTTTCAGTGATCATAAATAAACCCGTAAAATAAGAATTAGTTGATTATTGCAGTCTCACAAAACAAAATTCTTGAACAGCATGACACACCAAAGCAGTAAATAATCAGATGCCACAGAGCGCTTTTACATAGCATTACAAGGTTAAAGAAAGTCCACTGTACCTAGTTATTGAACTATTGCTAAAAGGGCAAGAAATAAAGTTTGGACAATAGCCCCTGGAAATTGCAATCAGACTCCGAGAAGATGCGTCTGCCAGAGCAACTGACCTGAAAGTGGAATGGATTAATTGACAGATTATTATTAGTCGAAAAAGCTTGAAGTCAAAAAGATCCCAGCAAGGACAAAAGAAAAGTCAGAAACAAACCAACAACCACAGCACTCAGTTTAGCTCCAAGAAATGATCCCCAAAGCACAACAGCCACTGCACTTCTACAGCTATGATTATGTAGTCACTCAAGCCATGATAACGGTGCATTTTTGGGGTGAGTGCGTACCTCGCCTACGGCCTTGACTTTGTTGCCAAGTACTAACATTCCAATGGGGATACCCCTAAGGTTTGGGCAGCTTCTGATGTTGTGACCAGAGGGGCCGGTCTTCACTACCTTATAAAGGCCTGGGCCGCCGCTCTGCCCTGCCCTGCCCTCCACCTGAATGGGGGCTTCATGGGAAGGGCTCACCTCCTTTATGTTCTCCTCAGACTGGCCCCTGACCTCCTGTAACAAGTAAGAAATGAATATGTCAATCAATGTGTTAAAATGTAAATGAAAAGCTGTGCTACATATTAAAACAATGAAATGGACCATAGAGCTAAAAAAATTACCCTCCCTGCACAAACACATCAGTAGAAGCAAGATTTCTGCGGTGTTGCGTCGATCAAATACACATACAAAAAAAAAATTGCCAAAATTATGATTCTAGGCACAAAAACATTTTTATGGTAATGTACTGTTTCAACCACTTGATTCACAATATAAAATGATACGAAACTGAACACCAAGTGTAAACAAATCCTCATGCAACATATATATATATATATATATATATATTATATATATATATATATATATATATATATATTATATATATATATATATATATATATATATTAATTCATTAGAATGCAGTTTTTTTCCTGACACAGGACTCAAAAGTGAACAAAGCAAGCAACCATGCAACTGTGGCTCAACCGTGCAGTTATTCATACTGTGTTGTGAAACTACATTTTCACAGAGGTTAGAAAACACAAGCAGAACTACATTTGAAGCTATATAAGAAAGTCAAGCTATGTTTCCCTTAATTCAATAACTCACCTGTGGGGTAAACATAGATAAGGGTGTCCATGACAAAATGTCGATATCCCTTACGTCTTGGCTAGCATTAAAGACATTCTAAACAACATATCGTAAGAAAGTCAAGAAACAGTGGTTTACCAAGAAAGAAGAGGGAAGTATTGGGGTTATTTAACTTTTTTTTTGGAAGAAATTCTACATATCTGATGTTTATTTACTAAAAGGTAAATGGTGAAGAAACAGCAGCACAGTTGGCAGAGAAAGGTTAGAGGATAATTACCAACAAACCTAAGACAAAAAAAGTATAGCTCTGGGTACCATTTGCTTCAGTTTAGTTGAATGATCAAATGCAACATGTTTAATATCATCAATACAAACTTCCAAAAAAATTCCCCAATTCTTTAAAGTGTGTCATGCTGTTCAGACTGAGACTTCACAGAAGTCACCCCAATGCAAAGTCAACAAGCCTGAGAGAATAGGGATGGGTATCGATAAATCCTTTCAATACAGTAACTAGGGCTGAAACAGTGAATCAAGTCAACAAAACACGTTTCAGTTAGGTTGCTCATTCAGACGTTTGTAACAATTACTTAAACTGCTACGGATAGCCGTGGATATTGACTGATTTGATATTGAAATTTATAATGTAGTTTCTACTTGAAATCTTCTCATTTCAACTTACCAAAAGATTTCCTAAAATATTTATTCAACATGCTCTTAAGCTTACTCGATTGGCAATAATCAGAAGATTACAGGATGACTAAAACAATTGAGCCTGAATAGTAACCAATTGATATTTCCACTAAAAACAAGCTTTTACGTCAAGATTTTCATGTTTAATTTGATTTGTACATTGAAATTAAGTAAATTATACAGTTTTCAAAAGGAAATAAGGCAGTAGTTAGTTTCAGATACTAAAAGATACAATTTGGTCTATTGGGCCCAGTCAAGTTATCCCCGTCTATGAACAAGAAAGAAGGTTCTGTGTGATGTCAGCAAAGATCACTGCCAAGACTGGAATTGCTACAATCCAGCATGTTGAGTTTGGATGCCAATACTTTGACTTTCAGGGTGTGTTTACACTGAGTAATGTGCATCTGTTTCAGTGGAAAATATGCTGACCTTCAGGTGCACCAGCCCTGTTCTAGGTGCACCCGACATTTAATGGATTTCCATGTTCACATTTACAAGTAAATATTCTGGATCAATTTAGAAGAAAAAGAAGACCAGGGCGATCTGGTAAATAGAGAAAAATCTAGACAGAAGAAAACACTTCCTCCCAAACAGTGAATTTAGGAAAGAGAACAACGAGTTTTCCCCCATGAACAGTGTCCCTCAAAGTCAACACTAATTGAAAGGCCGAATACCCAGGACAAGTACTCCATCCCTACACTTTTCAGTTTCGAGTACCCATCCCTAAGTATGAAATAAAGATTACCAAAACGACAAGACAGAAAATCACATTCATGGCGCTGGAATGTTCCTTTGCCAACACAACAGCGGAATACTTATATTTCACTTTTACGGTCCTTTGACAATGAGCAAAGTGCTTCCTACTGCTGTTCATGGTTATGAGAGAAAAGCCATGAAACAAATGACAACTAACAACAATTAAAATAATTGCCCATTTGACAAATACGGCAGATATATTTTCAAGGTCTTTCAAAAAATGTCACAATGCTTTTTATGAAAAAATCTCTCTGGTTCGAAGAAATGCATGCATTCCAATGTTTTGCTCGTTTATTCTGAGTTAGTACATTGTCAGTAGATTGTGTTCATGCAAGTGAGCACTGTCAGCAACAAACCATATTTAATGAACTTGGGGTGCATTCACACTTGTGTCACATTCAAAGTAGAACTAAACCTCCACTAATCCTGGACTGAAACAGGACTGGAATTAAGTCTATATCTAGATTAAATATAGTCTCAATCCAGGATGAAACCGAGGCAAGTGTGAAGGCATCCTTATATTACCATGCTATGAAGACATGGTTTGTGTCAGGCACAGACAACCATAATTAACAATTTTAACTGTGCTGAGGGAACAACCATGGGAACCAGAACGAGTCTGAAAAAGAGCCTGGTTTCACAGAGAAGCTTTTACTTACGTCAGTCGGGACCAGAAGGTTTCTTCCCAAATGCTGGTTAAAAGAGAGGCACCAGGCTTCAGTGTAGCCATTCATGCTCGGGACGTACTTCTTTACAGTTTCATCATTCAGTCTGAGCCATACACCATCATCATTGTGAATCTAAGACAAAGACAAGCAATTAACCCATACTAATATAAGTCCACACACAGCACCTGAGGATAGCAAAAATCTTGTCAAATTATCAGGATGATAACCCTTGAGACAACAGCGCTTTTTCAGAAATTAGAAATGAAAGAAGAAACAGATGGAGAACTGAAACTTTGTAGGAGATAAGAGAGCTACTAAGATCAATAAAAAACAGAATCAAATTAGTAAGTATGAAAGGCATTCAAATAGCTCAAATAGCTAGCTCCTTATAAAAGGACCCCCTCAAAATAGAGATGATTCATCTCTAGGGGCAATCCATAACGGGTTAATAAATGAAGGGTCCAGGATTAACTTTGACACTGGTCTTGGAAACAAAAACTCAATAAAAATAATTTTATAACAGACTATAATTATAAAAATAAAAATCCCTATAAAAAAAACGAAGAGACACCACCATCAATTACCTCGTCAATGAAAGTGATAGTGTCATTGACATGCACAGTGCCGATCTGTTCACTCTGCAGAGAGGGATGACTACGCACACGCAGACCTGCACTGTCCTTAGAAACAAATTTGCGGACCTAAGGAAAGCAAACGTGAGATGGAAGATAGTGAGAAGCTGAGCAGAATACAGTTAAGCTACGATTGAGAGCAAAGACATATGGAAAGCAAACACTCTAGCATAAGCCCAAATTACATGATTTACAAAAGCATGTAAATACAATATTATACAATGTAATATGCAAATACATTTGTCAGGATGAGAACTTATACAGTCACTGAACACAGCCATTTGGCTCAACTGTTAAAACAATGTGTGTTTACCCGGTTATAAACAGACCACGCACAATAATACTGCAATGGCTTTATTTTTGTTTATACTGACTTGTATCTAGTGTTATATTAAAGCAGTCAATGTTGTTACAATTGATGCAGGCGAAAAATCCGGTTTTAATTCCATAGTGGAGGCAGTGCCTATCTTTGTCTCATGATGTTGCATTATTGCACTGTATATTAGCATGGTCTGAAAGGACTTACTTTATTGGGCTGAGGCTCAGATTTTGGTTTTACCATCTGAGTTCCAGGAGGAATCATGCCTTTTGGGGGATCTTTGACCTCCACTTCCAAACCGGCATCTGTGATGCAAAGCACAATAACATACCATGCATCAGGTGAAATACTGTTTGTGTTTTTCAATAGTAATAAAAAAAACAAATACCAATTTCAATCCCATCAATGGTAACATGGATTGTATAGAGGCCCACAGCTCCAGGGGTCCAGTTGGCACTATAGGTCCCATCAGTGTTGGCACGAATCAGCATGTTTTCACTAGGTCTGAGCAGATGCACATCTATAAGAATACTGCATCTACCAATTAATCTTGATTATAATCCATTTACCTCTTTGGAGTAGGAGAAGCAAAGCGCAGCTCTTCAAAAGAATAGTTTTCATAAGCCTGTAAAACAGAGATTAGTACGGTTAATCATGAAATCCACAAATAAAAAATGTGTACTGAGCAAACCTTCATCATGGTTATAGCAATGTATCGAGCCTCCTTTACGATCATTGGTTCATATGTGGCCTCTAATTTTGGTGTGGGTAGCCCTCCAAATGTCAGATCAGGCCCAGAAGATGGAGAGGATCCTCCAGGAAGTTTTTGTAACTTCTTCATATTTTCAGAGTGCACAGACTTCTTTTGTGACATTGGTACTGCTTTCACCTCGACCTAGAGACAGAAACACAAGCAACAATGTAGTATCCAATATTGTAGGAGTCATTATGTAAAAGTTCTTTACCTTCATGTTGGGTACATGAACCACATCCCCATACTGGTCTTTAGTCTGTACAACAACAGTGGTAGGCCAGCCACAGCGGATGTCATCTTTATTTAGTATCAATGAGGTCTTCTGGGGGTCTGCATACGAGTCTGGCTGCAACCATCTAATACAATAACAAACCAGATGTTTATTGTTTCTTTCAAGACAGATCTATTTTACAGTAACAACAAAACCTGACATATACCTGGCTAAGCGTCCACCACTTGAATTTGGTACACAGGTAATGAAATCTTCTAGGAAAGAGTGCTCGTTGGTTTGGAGATGCAACGGAAGATTTCCCTCCAGGGCTTCCAGAATCGTTGGAGAGTGTGACAAAGCCAAACCTTTCCCCAAGATCCCAGAGTGAGTCTTACACACCTGGTAAATACATGATAATAACAACAATATTCAAATTCAAAGATCTTATTTTAAAATGCATATCAAAACACGCCATACCTGAAGAGATGCTTCCTCGAGAATCTCAAGATCTTCCTCAAGTTCATTCCCTGGAGTAAACATTTTTATTTTATTTTAGAATGTACAACATAACATGTATTGATCACTGTGCATATGTAGACTTTACTTACCAATGGGAAGGGCAAGGTCTTTCTTCATCAGAGCTGCAGCACACACACTACCCAAGTAAGCCAACTCTTTCTCTAGTTGAATAATGCCCTATAACGGAAATAAAGTCATAACAGTTCTCGATGTCCTTAACCACAATATTAACAAATTTAGAAGTTACCTCGTCAGTCCCAGGGTTGAATTCGTAACCCACAGCAATACATTTGAATCCAAAGAAACAAGCCTTTTCATCTTTTACATAATCAGATGCCGTTTCAAGTGAAAATAGAACTTCATTTCCTATGAGAAATTGCAACATAAAGCAATGAAGAATAATGCATGAATCAATATAGATATTAAATAATTGTATTTAATCATATATATTTTTTTTTATCTTACCAGGTAAAACTAGCACAGTTGTTGGCCAACCTGTGGAACCCGAAAACTTTTTGAGTTCAGTCCATGTGTTGATTGTGTCATGAATGAGTGGTTTTCCCCCAAGGCTGGCCAGGTGGAGGACACGGCTAGGAATAAGAAGTCTGAGAACATCTTCTGGCTGTGCTGTGCCACACTGGGAATCAAATTCCACAGTAGTCCATCGTACACACTCTGGGAATGACACCTAAAAACAGACATTTATGTAAAAGGATTTGTTATCTTCATTTTCCAATGACATGATTTTACCTTATACTGCGTGACACCAGCTTGCTTGTATGGATGGTCACTTTCTAACACTGCGTAATGACTTGAGGTTGTACAAGCCGAAAGGCCCTGCTCAGGCTGGTTGCCAGTAGTGCTGTCGGTGGACTGATTGGGATTAAAGGTGGGTGGAGCATATTTTTGGTTAAGAGCAGAAACAGCAGGAAGCAACTCTTGGACAAGCCCAAACACTTCAACAGCAGCCTATGTAAAACACACAAAATAATTATCAAAAAGGATCATTAACCAATAAGAATAAATCTCATACCTTTGGCACAGATGCCGCAACAGGTCCAATATGAGCCAAGATGAGAGGAAGAAGCATTGAGAACAAACTAGAAGAACTCAAAAGCTCTGGAATATCATCAGCTACAGAAGAAAATAAAACATAAAGCATTTTGTACTGATTAAATATCTATAATGTATGTTCACTAGCTTGATGATACTGACCATCTACAGCAAAAGCTCTATGGAGAAGATCTTTTGCCGCCCTCACCACAGCGCTGACCACAGACAGAGCTCGACCACAGTTTTTATCTTCCTCGTTGGCTTTGCTCAGAAGCTGTGACTGGAGATCTCCATCATACTCACTCCTTTGAACATAGAGAAAAATCAGTCAATCAATAATACTTTAAATATTGATTGATTTCATGCCCCAGGAAGAGATTTTCCCACAACAAAAAGCTTGGCACAAGCATGAAATCGATCTATTCAGTGCTCATTACCTGTAGTAAAGAATCTGTGGAATCTGTCCTCGGGTTTGGTTGGTCCCATTGCTGCTCAAACTGCATGTGCTGAAGGTGAAGGACACACCATCAGAGCACTGAACTGTGGTCATTCCCCCATCGCCATTAGCTGTACGACTGCCATAGTTTCGCAATCGAACTGCATATTTCACCCCTTCCTGCGACGCAATTAAAATATTACACATTAATGACCACAAATAATGATCTTTGGTCACAAGTTTAAATCAACATCGCAACCTACTTTCAGTGGTACAGCCTTATCCAAACGTATTTCAGAAATATCACTGGGAGAATCATCTGTGCTGTAAGTTCCTTTAACCAATTCGAGTGAAGTCCACCGGTGTGAATGAGCCGAATCTCCAGGATGTTCAGTCTGAGCCTAAACAAATGCAATCAAGTATACAGTGATACCATTTATTGAAAAGAAAGAAACTGTGTATAACTTTTTCTCACATCATCGGCCAGCACTTCCAGCTCATATTCATGAATGCCTCCTCCTCCATAGACACAGACTCCAACTAAAACAACCCCAGGTTTGTCCACAGTCAGACAGATTGCATCTGGAGAGCCATTTCCTGTGTTCCAACTTCGACCTTGGCTTGTCTTGGTGAATCGGTTCGGAGATGCTTTCACTGAGTGAAGCGAATTCAGCCCATCAACCTGTTAAATATAGTTAGAATGAAAAAAAAAAAAAAAAAATGTTTTGGAAAGTTGATGTCTCCAACTTCAATTGGATTTAATGTTTCAAAGAATGCATATTCTTGATCATATGACCATATAGCATCTTGTATAGTAAGTATTTTTCTAAATGAAAACATTTAATAACGTCCCTCTCCTTGGTACCAACAATATGATTTTCTGGAGGAGAATAGTGAGGCCAATGGGAAGGATATCAAGAATTCAAAATTATTCCTCCAATTAGGAACCAAGGTGAGAATGGGTGGGTCAAACCGGTGCTTGCTTTGGAAAAAAAATCTATTCACAATTCAAAAATAAACTGACATTCCTGCCACAGATGATTAAAAGTAGAAGAAAAATACCCTAAATTAGAGTCTAAAAGGGTCTAACTGACCCGAGGCTGGTTAAGTTAGGAAAAATCATCAACAACAAAAAAGTATTGAGTATTACTATATCACTGTGGCGGGTCAGTTTGATCTGAGGATAGCACAAGGGTTATGCAAGAAGACGCAACATGCACCTTTAGACATTTTTTGCCACAAAATGATGAAAATTACACAAGACAAAATTTGCCTGATCTTTCATATCCCGTGGAATCTCTGCATTGTATTTAACTTTCTAGTTAAAGTGTTAAATGTAATTCTTTTTGACGGAATAGTGACAGAAAAAATGCAAGTGATAGCCTCACCTCAGAGCCAAGAGCTGAGGCAGTAAGTTCAGAAACAATGGAGGCTAGTAGGCCACAGGTGTTCGAGACCAAATGTGGGGAGAAAAGCTCGATCTCTTTTCTCAAGCTCTTTCTTACTGGCAACACAACAATCACCAGCATCTTCTCAAGCACCTCCCGGAAACTTGTCATGCCCATCAAATTCTCTTCAGTCTGATGAAAGAATAAACTGTCAACTTCTGCAAGCATGCAAGTGTGTAGAATATAGTGGCCACTTCAAAAGCACTTTAACTACTCACATGGCTTAGTTTTTCCATGTGGGCCACCAGCAGGGGAAAGCGGTGAGCTAAAGCAGAGTCATTCTCTGTGCTGACCTGTTTGACCAGTGAGCGGAGAAGCACTTCACCATCGTATGCAATCGGCAGAATGGATGTCAGCTTGACAGATGTATTACAAAGAGCTGACATAACGGCAGCAAGCAAACGACTACTAGAAGTGCGAAAGTTTGCCTCTGCAATATCCTGGAGAAATAAGAAAAATAAATAAGTGTAAATTGTATGTACAGTTGACACAAGTACAATAAACCTTACCTGGTCTAAACAATTGAGCAGGTCACAGAGACATGCCCACTGCAGTGCAGGTGTGGGGTAGAAGGAATGAAAGCAGGCAGTGAATGTGTTGTGGCACTCCAGTAACACTGCTTCGAGCAGAGTAAGTGGCTGGGACAGATACCCCTGAGGGTCATTGTCCAGCTTGGTTATGCAGTTGTCTATTCCCTCAGATAGGATTTTTTTTAACAGACTGCGTGTTTTCCCCACACACTCCGCTAGTTTGCTTGACTCCTCCACAACAGCCTTTGTGCTGGCTGAAACTCAAAAGAACAAAATAGGTGCCATTTTCTTCATTCATCTTGTGTAGAATATAGTGTAGAGCTCAATAAGAAATCTACCTGCAATAGGAAAGATCTCACATATGTAAACCCTGAGAAGGCGAAGGCAGCATGTGCCGACAAATCGCAGTCTCTCCAAATCCAGCAGGGTAGCGGTGTACTGAAAGCCCTTCAGCCCACGTAGCTCCTCTACTCCCAGAACGAGAGTAGTCCAGCTCCAATGAAGAATACTCAACAAGGATTCAAAACATTCCTAATGATATAACAGCATTATAGAAAATATAATAATATGTACCCAAGGTAATTTCTATACCAAGCTTTCTTACCACAGAGACTGTGCGAGCAAAGGAGCGCTTGAGGATATGCACTGGCTCGCTTGTTTGTTGTTTTCCTTTGGAAGCATTACCATCATTAGATGGAAGCCTGGAGTAATAACATTCACATTAATGGGGTGAACATGGTCAAATATCAATCAATATGTAATAGTGATTCAATACCTGTAAAGTAGTTGTGGTATTTGCCCAGCATTTACATCTGTACCATTGTTTGACTTCTTGGAACTTTTGAACTGAAAAACCACTCTAAAAAGCAGAAACATGTTCAAAAACAATGTAAAGAGTTAAGAAACAATGTGCTATGACATTGAAATGTTTACCCGTCATCAGTAGTAATTGTAGCTTGACCATGGGAACCACAATCACTGCTGGGGCCAGACACTCGAGCCCATGCAACATACCACCAACCCAGTTGAAGTAGTACTGGTTCATCAAACATCATTGCATACTTTTCCCTATGCAGTAAAAGTAAAACTTTTAGACAAAGACCATGTCTAAATCTAAAGTTAGTTACATTTACAATACCTAGCAGCACAATCATAGGCTAGAACATCAGTCTCAGCAAGTAGATCACCATCCGTTTCATGATCACCTCCATCAGGGCCTAATTCAAATAGCTTTGACAAAATGCAAATTTAAAATTAAATCATTAACTTCAAGCATTTCCCATGAGAAAACCCAAAAGGCTACCTTGATTTTGGCAGTGTATTCTCCTCGGCCACCAAACAATCCCAGACCACCCAACAGAATGTCTGCATCAGCGCAGAACCGAATAGCTTCAACAGAGTGGGCAGAATAGCCCCAACCACCACCGTGACCTAAGAAACACGTTAAGAAAAAATTTAGGACACAATAATGGTCACTTATTAAGCTGAAGTAAGTGTATCGTTACAATTTGAGATTGTAATTACTTTCAAAGCGGTTCACCACACTGTAGTCCTCTTTGGAGTAGACCTTCATTACTGCTTGCGTCTCCTCCTCAGCACTGGTGATACCCATCTTTAGCTCCTGCATTGCAGCAAGTGTGTCCAAGCAGCCTATTTAAAAAAAAAAAAAAACACATGGGCATCAGCATGGTAATGTATCGAGCCAGGATCTACTTTTCCAGCCACCAGTGCGACAAGATATACGTCCGATAAGTAGGGCTGTAACAATTCAGAAACGTCAAGATTTGGTTGGATTCACAATGCAGGTACTTCTTTTTATATTTTCTTAAACATCTTCAAATACACAACTACAACTTTTATGCTCCTTTATTTCTATTTGATAGACAACTTGGTGTTGTCACATATTGACATCTGCTTGATGTGCAGGGCCTGTGCTCAAATTTTTATTTTATTTTGAGAAACTTTAGGGCTTAGTTTGGACATGCTAGATTTAGAGTATGTATCTAGTCATTCAAAGGTTTATTTTTTTAGCCAAAGAAAGTCATTTTAATATTTTTTTATTACGGACGCTGTTACTTTTTTCAGCCACGAGTAATCTAACAAATTACTTCGACTGTAACTATAACGCCGTTATCATTGCCGACACCCCGTTACTGCACGTTACTCAAGTCGCACAATTAACTCTTTTTTTTTTTTTACTTCATGATAGGACTTGTGCGCGTGTTGTCATGAGAGAAGGGAGGATGAGAGAACCTCTCAGCAATTACTGGCTGATATAAAACATATTTCCTTTACAATCTACATGTCTACAGTTGAGAGGATGGCTCATAAATTGTGTTATCGAAACAAAAATGGGTCTTAATTCGCGCTCAACCACGGCTTGTATCACCAAGTCAGGCCAGCCTCAGGGGAGCGCAGAATTCAGCTGCATACAATTCCATCAGAAAGCTCCTTTCTCTTTCATCTGCTAAGGGCAGCAACAGGTTTGGCTAACATACATATAACACATTTTAAGATCATTTAAAATGCACTTAGGGTAATGTTTTATTGACGATAGGAATGATAAAAAAGAGAGGTGAAGGGTAAGAAGGTTGATTTAAGAAATTGGATGCACCCGAGAGTTGGTTATAGCTAGAAAAACACAGGGAAATTTGTGGAGGAGACATGCGTTTTGTTTTACTTTTTTTAAATGGAGGATTACACACTTACACTCAAACGATGATCTGGACTGACTCTAAACATGGAACTGGTGTGAACCGAAGTGGTCTGTGCAAGTCATTTATAAGGTAAGACCCATAACACACTTTTAAATGTGCTTTTTCATACGTTTTGTATGAGCAAACAATGCGGGCATGAAACATATTCTGCAGTAGCCAAACAAATTGTGAATAAGCCGCTCTATAGGTCCTGTTGATTATATGATATGTTCATCTGACTGGGGTGAAGTCAGTGCCAATCACCAACCTCACCGCACGTCATTGGTGTTTCCGCGTTCACAGTGGCGGGTGTTGGTGTTTAGTGCTTACAGCATAGAGAGAGATGAAGCGTGAGCAGGATTCCAGCAGCAAAACAGCCTGTTCCAGATGGAAATATCTGCACTATTTAAAACTCACTGAGGTTAAAGGTAAAAATGTGCACGTCGAGTGCACATTATGTTCCAGAACGAAACGCAAAAGTATCGCAATAGTTACTTTTACTAGTAACTAGTTACTTTTATAGTGGTGTAACTCTGTTAGTAACTATAACTAATTACTTTTTCAAAGTAACGTGCCCAATACTGATAGTGATCAACTGATCCCTATAAAAGCAGAGCTGCTATAAACAATAGCACAAACAAACACAGCCCATTTCTTACCAAGAATATGAAGTGCTGCATGAGAGCGAGTGGTTGAAGCTTGCGACCCTGAAGGTAGCGCAAGCTCTGGGCTAAGGATACTACAACGAGACTGCAGGTCTGTGGCCGTGGGCATTCTGGCGTCGGCTATAACTGCATTGTAACACCACATTTCTCTGGAGGCAGGTAAGAATCTAAAAAAGATCAAACAAAACAAATTAACACTAATCCACAGAGCCATTGACAATAGGTAGTAAAGACAGCCGACCTCCAAATAACATCATAGACAGGATCAAGACAAAGGCCAAATCCCTGAAGATCCTCTTGCTCTGAGTCATTGAAGGTACGACAGCTTCCATCCATTTTGTTGATGAGTAAACATTTGAATGGAGGGGGCTCCGACACAGACGAAGGCACAAGGCCAATAATATGTTTGCTTGCAAAGATTTCTGAAGTAGCCAGTACATGCGAGTTAATAAGGGCCTCATCAATCCTCAAAAACGTCTGGTCTCCACTGGCACCAATCCAGGTAGCTTTTCGTCCGTATTTAGCACCAATATTAAGCATTGGAGATGGCTTTGCATTCCAGTAGGGCATGTCTAATATGGGCCGACCAAGCTGCCCCTTCTAAAGAACAAAAGTAAACACATTTAGCCAAACAAAGTTAATCAAATGGGTAACGATGTGTTCTATTGTAAATATTGCTGACAAGTCATCTAAAGTACATTTCTTACCGAGAAGCTGCCAAAGGTAAAGACTTGTCCATCCATTAGAAGAACAGCAGTGTGGTTACTACCAGCTGTCACTTGGACACTTGGACCAGGAAGTGCTTGAACCAAAGTTGGTGAACCCCTAGATAAATAGTTGTAAAGAATATGTGGTGGGAATATTTCTTATAAATCTTGTAATAAGTAACCAAATATTGTACCTGGAATTCACATCACCATGCCCAAGCTGCCCATGCTGCCCATACCCGAAAGTGTACACATCCCCGTTGGCCATCAGAACCACTGCCAATAAAATCAATTTCAAAATATGTTTTTTATTGACATTTCCTCCAGCCTTTCAACAAAGTCTGTAGACTAACCTGAGTGGTGGAAACCGCAGCTAACCTGAACTGCTCGCAACTCACAGTCAAACCTCACTGCTCCGGGAGGGTAGGTAGTGATTTTGCTTGCATCTTTTTCTCCCCGTTCACTGCTACCATCTGCAAAACAAATACGGGAGTAAGCTAAAATTACTCAAGAAAAAAAAAACCAGAATATCCCAGTGTTGTTTCTGCAATCTGCTGGAAAAAACAGACTGGTGGAAAGAGATAAGGAACAGATGAGTAAAAACTCCAGGAAGGTTTGGGTCAACAGTTGTTTGTCACTGGAATAATAAACCTCTTAAGAATCCACACAGCTGAATGTTTTGAAACTACAATTATTTATCCTACATCATACACAGTTAGTTTGTGTGAAGAAAAACATAATGTACCCCTATTACACTATGTCAATAGTAATGACATACATTAGTTATAAATAGTATAAATTGACACATTACAATAAATTCCTATCTTAATACATTCCTACAAGATAAACTGATCTTTGTCAAACGTGGAAACAAGTATTTTCTCAAAAGGAGTATTTATCTATAATTGTTGAAAAAGAATCCGGCCTTTGAATAATGGGAAAGGAGGTGGGCGGGACAGCCAGATCGGGAGATGAATCAAAGGGGTGTCTCTGCACCCATTGAGTTAGTGAAGACCATAGTACCTTTGTGCTTGTCCCGTTTTTGCCTTAGTGCCTGAAGGGGTCTTATTCTGGCTAGGGCCTGCTCACGCTGGTTCATAAAAATGGGACCAGGAAAAACAAGAGGGCCTGAGGGAGAAAGAAACTTTCACATGCATGCACAATGCACACAAATGGGAGAGAACACATGATAATACTGCACCACAGCAATACACGCACACTGAAAACATATGAACACAAGCAAGGGGAAAGTCACCAAAGTTCAACACCCAAGCTCAAACAGCAGAAAATCTATGTGAGAGTCACCTACTCATTTGGTATGCCTAAGTTTATATGAATGTAGAGATGTACCATAAACAACATAAATCACAACCATTACTGAATACCCTTGCTGCCCTTAACCATACCTCGGCCCTCTTCCAGTCGGTGTCGTCTGTTGATCCTTTGGCGTTTCTCTTCTTGTCGGATTTGGATGTGTTCTTCAATGTTAACTCCTGGAGGGGGAGGGACAGGCACAGCTAAAATACAAAGAACCGAGGTACAGGCAGCCCAGACAAGATGCAGACGAGGAGAATGGGGGAAGACAGAGCAGAGCAGACATTTCAATGAATAATGGAATGATGCAATGAAAAAGCAATGATTATAAAACACAAATAAGAGGTTTCGTTCAATTGAACATAAGTGGCAAATGTAATTATACCCCACAAGGAGCAAAAGCAACAGTGCAACAGTGATAGCCACAAACAGTTTGAAAAGCATGTGTGTTTCGATCTTCATACTGGGTAATATTTAAGTTAATCGCATGCAGAACACTTAAATGCGTGATGACAATTGTAAGCAATAATTACGGCATCTGATACTTTAAAAAATTATTTTCGTCATACCTAGTAGAAGGTCAAGAGGAATCATTTCCTTCACTGCATCAAAGATGCCTCTCTGTCTTGCCTCCTGACCGTCCAATTCTCTGGCACAAGCTTTGCAGCATCCACAAACCGAGCACCCAGACTCCCCAGATCCACAGCCACAGATCCTGGGGGATTTAAATAATTTAGTTGTTTCAATACACAAAATACTGTAGAATAAAGAAAATAAAAATATAAAATGTATAATATAACACATTTTTATATACAAACATTTGAACAAAACCGCAAGATAACTAGACGGCCTAAGAGTCAACCAAAGTATTTCTCAAAATAAGACCACAAAAGGGGTGCATACTTTTAGGAAAGAGCCCAATTAGTTACTATTTGACTTTTTGGGCTGAGAGCAATTTTTCTAAGCCGATTTAAAGATGAAATAGGGAGGGTGAAATGGATTCTTTACCTTTGGTCCAATTTTGATTTTATCCAAACCCGTGTTATTTAAGTATTCTTTTAGTCCAAATAACTTTGGTCTATACCCCATAATGTAGAAAAAAATAAAGATGACTGTTAAACAAACTGCTGATAAGAAAACATAAATGTTATTTTTGTTTTAAATGGACCTTTTTATGAGTCTGAATTAAAGATTAAATAATAAAACAACTATAACAATAATAATAATGAAAATGGCCCCAAACCCGTAATGAGGCGGCCTACCTGGTTTATAATCTGCTATGTTAAAGGACAACTCACCCTCAAATCCACTTTTTTTTGCTGATAAACGGTATAAATGAGTGTCCAATAGTGTTGTCTACATATCCTGGTCATAATCTTGTCACTTTGGTGCAAATTAGTTGAAAGTTAGACTTTCTGCCTAAAACCGTCTGTGAGGCGCCATCTGCTGGCGACCTGTATTACTACATTTGAATTTTGAATCTGGCGCCAACACTCGCACAGAAGTTGGACCTGACGTCTGCAAGTTGGACCTGACGTCAGCAGCCCCCCGCCCAGAGCAATGTAAACGGCCCAGTCTCGTTCACGCCCCCTTTAGTCCTCCAGGCTACGCCCATTTAGAGGAAGATTTGAACAGGAAATGTGAGTAACGTAAGCTCCGAGGAGCGGGGGTGAGAACCACTTTAAAGATAATTGTTGATTCCTTCTTACCCGCCTGGTACTCTGTCAGGACGCCCACTACTGACACAGCTCGCTCCGTAGCCTGTGCAGTCACCACACACTGTGCAGACCATACACTGATCCAATTTCCATTTATGCATCCCAGGCTGACACATCATGCTTTTTTCTTCTTTGTCCTCCAGTTCATCCTCCAGGTCTTCATCCATTGCTGTAGCCATGCTTTCTACACCAAATGCTAATGAAACAAAGATTGAGTAGTGTATATGAGCATAAATCATCACAAACAACGCAGTTCATTTATTCATTATAGTGTAACATGTAGTTTGTGATACCCACCTTTCCCTGCCTGGCTTATAGCTCCAGTGTCTCTCCCACACTGACCCTTGTTGTTGACACCAAAAGTCCACACCTCACCACTTTTGGTCAACACACATGTGTGGGCCTTACCCATAGCAACCTGGGTTACAAAATGTCCCTTCAGGTCTGTAACCTGGCCTAATAAAAAAAAAAACAACATTTAATGTTGGATGATCAGATAATTAAATGCATTGTATGAAGTTACTTACATGTGCTGTCACTGTAAATTGCATCTTTCCCAAACATATACAGTTCTCCATCCTTTGTAACAATACTGCTACTGCCATTGTTGCAAGCAGTGTAGACAGCAGTTTTTGTTTCTAATTTGATCATCTTTTTAGGTTTGTATGGCTTAGGCTGTCTGCGACTTTTTGCTGTGAAAATATGTTTTAAAAGTCAGAGTTTTAAGAGAATATTGTATTTTTCCTGCATGAAAGCTCTTATAGTGACACATAAATAGCTATTTTTAGCGCTTCTTACTGGATTCTCCGTCTTCTCCTTTACTGGCAGAGCCAGTAAAAAATACACTTCCGTCTTCTGCCACAAGCAGTGCATGAGAGCCATCATGTCCAACAGAAAATTGAACAATTTTGGGAGATTTTGTTACTGGCAGTTCCACCCATTTCCCTGCCGAGGGTCCACCTTGCTTGATACCGAGGCTTTGATATTTTCCTGTATAGTAAATCTGAAGAAAAAGTTCAGAGACAATGTTTAAATACACGGAAAGTCAACTTGTGTCTTTAAATCAGCACATACTTGTAATACACCAAAACTAAATCATTAATAACTTGCATTCTATAAAATATCCTCTCTTCAACTTTTGCCATTTGAACCAGATATCACATGGACACCTTCACAGCTGCTACTGCTGGCTGCTCTACTGCTGGCTGCGCTACTGCTGGCTGCGCTACTGCTGGCTGCACTACTGCTGGCTGCGCTACTGCTGGCTGCGCTACTGCTGGCTGCGCTACTCTACTGCTGGCTGCGCTACTGCTGGCTGCGCTACTCTACTGCTGGCTGCGCTACTCTACTGCTGGCTGCGCTACTCTACTGCTGGCTGCGCTACTGCTACCCAGTGTAGTCAGATTCATAGAACAGAAAGTAACCAACCAGTTGTTTGTTGTTCTATATTGCAGATATTACGAACCCTGTAACTCATATCAACACTTAAGAACTTGAAGACCAACGATTACTGGATCCATTATTGCAAAACTGACCGGAAACTAAAAATTAATGCTTCAAGACAAAATACATAAACACCAACCAAAGACAGTACAGTGTAGAATGTACAAGTGTGAGGAAGCTCAAACTTGCTATAATAAAAGTCTGTCATTGATTAAAGTGCTACAGCGGACCACACCAACAACACACCAATGACAGCCAAAACATCATTATTATTGCTTCCAAACTGACCCTCATAAATGTTTATGACTCATGAGAAAAATAAAATAGTTTGCATCCTCACTTTTCCAGATGCAGTTTTCATGAGAGCAAACTCCCTGCCAGCTCCAATAAGTGCTGCCTCTTCATCAAAGCCTGTACCTGATACAAAGATAATGATTTGATAAACAATATAAAACAAAGAAGATATGTCTTATTTGCCAGATCAATAGAAACATGACTTACTTATGATGTGCAAATCCTTTTCTAGGTCAAAAAGTGAAATTCCACATGCATGCAGACATTTTCTTGCAAGCTTGAGCTGTAGTTCTTGCTGCAGTGTCGGGTCTATGCTCATTGTATAGATCCGTACTACAAAACCATCCTGCAGGAGTCAAGGTGTTAATAACAGACAACAAAATACAAACAGTTGTCGCCGATCGAGAAGAAACGTCAGGGGTACATTTTGGAAAATGTCACAGCAAATGAAAAAAATGTGAAGTCATCATGGAATTTGCTGGTGCCTAGAGTAATCTACTATTTTAATTTTTAACCATTTTAAACCAAACACAGATTTGAATATCCCTTGTTTGGTTATACAGTCTGCAGAATGACATGGAATTGTGTGAAACAACCGAGATACTCATCTCTATGAATCGATGAATTGTATACAAAATCCCAAATTTCCAAACTAAATCGATTCAATGAAAGAATAATTGCAAAACTAATCATTTATAACATAAATCCTAGCCTAGTTTAGATATAATGATGAGGATATAAAATATTTTACTGCCACTCAAATGGCCAAAAGGCTGTTGCTTGATTATATAATGTACGCTGCCACGGTGGTCACAATAGTAGAGTTACAGCAGTTGAATATCTCCCCCTCCCCCAGTCATACTGCATCATGCTTATACTTCTTACAAGATTAGATTTTCTGTAGAATAGCTGTGTGGTGTGCCAGTGTCATCAGTGCAACAGAAAATAACCACATGCAGCATAAAGCCGATGCAAGACAGCAATGGTCCGGGGCATTTGTGGACATTGCTCATCCAGTTTCCTATGAACAAATGAGTCCTATGTGTTTAGTACTTATATTTATTGGCCGTGTTCTCTACTCACTGATCTGTTGTTGGTTTATAAAACAACTTTGTTAAATCCTGCTGTTGTGATTTAGGGCAAGACAAAAATTATTTAAATTGAATTGAAGCTTTCATGGTGCAACTGATGTTATCTCTTTGGCAATGATGCTACACTAGAAATATGGTACAGTACTGTGTGTTAGTAAGGTCCAACTGCTCTTCAGAAGAATAGCTAGGATAAAAAAATTTCAGCTACACCTAGTTTGGTAAAGATTTATAAAAAATATATTAACACGTACATCTTTGCAGGCAGCAATTTGGTTAATATACTCTCCATCTGTAAAGATGATGTTCTGTCCATCTGAATGTTGTCCTTTAAAGAAGAAAAATGAATTACACATCTATAACGTCACCCCATGAATATAAAATAAAAACGTTAATACCTGGCATAGAGACAGTCCCCTCATGCTCCAGAGTTTCAGGGTTGATCTTAAGAGCTGATAAACTGTGATTACTAGTGTCACGGTATAACAAGAAGCCCTAAAGAAATCAATGAGAATCAGTATCTTTTGTACGTCCAAGCATGTTTGTAAACTCAAATAAAGAAGCCTCACCTGAGCAAAACCCAGCCATGATCTTTTCTCCTTACGATTTCGAATGCGAGAAGTGGAATTGTACACATGACCCTGGAAAACATCACCAAAAGACCACAAATTTATTTAGAGCATTTTTTAAATCTACATAATAATACTACATTTTATTTCTTAAGCGTCTTTCTAGACACTCAAGGTTGCCTTACATCACAAGTAAAAAGTACATTTAGTAAAAATACATTTAAAATACAGTGGATTGTGTGGTTATGTTGTTAGCAAGTAGGCTGCAGAAAAAAATCTGTGACACATACCCTAACAGTCCCACTGTAGCCAGAGCCAACTTTGTAGAGGCCATCTTTGCAGAGTAAATATAAGAAGGATCCATCCGTCTGAAGAAGACATCGCTCATCTTCATCTATGGTGACCTCTTTTAGTACCCATTTGTTCATCAAGGCTGCACGTTTGATACCATTACTGAACCAATCCTGGATCTGAATCTTCCCCACCAGCACAGCTTGCACACTTCTCTGCAATGCATTCAAAATAGTGGGCACCTACCAAAGCAGAAAAGCAGAAGTTACAGGACAAGTTCAATGACACTTCTGACGTTAACTTAGGGACAATATACTTTCACATATTTCGATTGCCATATCCTATAATGGTGATGATTCATGTGTTAGTTCATTATTCTTTAGTAAAAGGGATAAAAGGAAAGATCACAAACTACCTGTATGGTCTGACAAGCATGGCTCCCATTGTTTGTAAGGATTGCAGAGACAGCCTGAAGGGTTTTTCCAGTGTTTCCCCAAGACACGACCAGACTGAAGAGGCAGGCACACGACAGCGCAGTGATTGCTTGGCCGGTGGGGTCATTGGGGCCTGTGCTCCGTACAGTGGTCTCCAGCAACAGTTGAAATAACGACTCTAAATAAATAAAAAATTTATGTTTGTAGGAGTAATTTCAAGTAAAAATCAACTATATACATGTATGTACACTCCACTGAACAATTACTATTTGTATTTTTTTATCATATCATACCTAGTACATCAGGGGGCTCAGTTTGAAAGCCCTCTGGCTGTTGTCCTTGAAGCATATCCAACAAAGCCTGTAGGCTACGCAGACACAGCGAAGGGTGCGAGAACCTTGTCTCCTTTATTAGTTCGAATACACCACAAAGACCAATACCAATAATCTAGAAAGACAAAAAAAAGATTCAAAACATAAATTTAACAATGCAATGGACTGTGTAAAATGCAAGTCTTTTTAAACGAGAAAATAGCGCATTTTACACAGACATAAAGATCTCCATTCGCTGCCAATTCAGGCATGCAATATCAGTACAATTATGCTACTTTTGTGTTTTGTGTCGTAAACATGTTATAACTTCCTAATAATTACATGTTTAGAATTGGGGCAAGACAGCTGCTGGAGATAGTCAATGTGACAAACTAAAAGTCACAATGCGTAAAAACGCAATGAACAATAGTCTGCTTTTATACAGACATTATAATAATAATAATAATAATCCAACATGAACTGGAGCATATATAATTTTATTTTCCAATAAATTAGTTATTTTGAAAGACTATATCTAAATGGCTATCAGCTATGTCCGGGTTATTCAACTTGGTCTTCAAAGAACCATGTGGCTGCAGGTTTTCATTCCAACCAAGCAGGAGAGCAGCGACACAGCCTTTTGAGGACAGAGTTGATTATCATAAGCAGCTGATCCTCAGGTGCACTTAAAGTATATGCGCTAAAGTTTCACACACACCGCTTATATGGCAAAGGCCATGCTGCAGAGCAGATGCTAACGCATTGATGATTTTCAGCTGTTTATCTGATGGTTGAGAATATTATTATATATTAAGCAAAATATTTTGTACAGAAAACATATATATTGTTTCACATGGTTTGGCTGCATCTTTACAGGCACGATATATCAACAAATCACATTTAGGGATCACTATTATCTGGACTGATGAGGATTCATAAGTTCTAGTTACTAAATAGAAGAGTGCCTTACATCGAAGTTAGACAGGAAAGACTCTTTGTTAATAATGTGGTCTACACTTACCTTTGGGAGCTTGAATGCGGGCTCACGATACTCTTCCTCCTCTTCACTATCAGAATCACCACTTTGCACTGAGCTTCTGGAAGCCAATGCCAGAGAGGCCTCTCTCTGCTGCCAGTCCAACACACAGTGCCGCACATTGCAGTAGACATTGAATGCAGAGGGGTTGCTGTGAAGTTTGATGTCTGGCACACACAAGGCTCCATCTAAACTCTCGCCCTAGATAATAGTAAAGAAAACAACGCATGTACATTTCCAATCAAAAAATATGTTGATCATAACTTTCAAATAAATACCCTGTCATATAAACCCTTATGTTCAGTTTGCTAAAAATATGTTTGTTATATTCTCCATTGGCTACATTCCCCAATTCAATTCAGGCATGAGGTGACTTTAAAATCCTTATACTCCTCCTCATGCACTCAATGTGTGCTCATATTTGTTTATCACAATGGGATTGTGATGATATCACACCCTGCACTTCCAGGTTCAAGCAAACGGTAATTCTAAGTTAAATAATATAATAAATAATTGGAGGATTTTCTTCTTCCGGGTGGATCATCAAGACTATTGGTCCTCCCAATTGTCAATGATTCTGGTGATACGTTTTTGTCAAATAAGACCAGAGAATTTTGTTCAAAAAGAGGAGAAAGGGATTCTTTCTTAAAATTTGGGAAAATCCTCCTACATACCTTATACCTTTATCTTAACAATTAAATAAAACCCATCCTTTAATCATCACCAACTTTCTATTGATCTTTTATTTGAATAGAATAGAGAAACAACTTATGCTTAGTGTTCAAGGTGTTTAGGGTTTACGTTGCCGCAGCTTGACAGTTTGCTGTGTTATACAATGCCATGGTTCTAAACCCTATGGATAGTCAGAAGGGAGATGCTGCTTCTGTAGCATCTATTGAAAATGTATATTAATATAAAAATTACATGACATGACACATCTGAAGAAGAAAAAAAAGATGATTCAAAAGTAAGATGTTAGATGTTTGAGATGTCATTGATTTTTACAAATAAACATTATTTTATTAAGTTTTCAAACTACTACAGGTAAGACAATTGACTTCACAAACATAGTGGCTGGCTAAAGATGAAGGAGATGGAGGCAGGCAATAGTTGCCGTGGAAACGAGAACACATTAGGTCGCTCAGCAACAGGACATCATGCACAAGTCAGAGCCACTCCCATGTGTCTAACAGCTCATCTCTTTCTATCTCGGGTCTTTGACATTCTGTGTTCCAACAACACCAAAATATTCTCATTTTACACAGTAAAAGGATAAGCCAGCAAGTCCACACAGTGGTCCCAAACTCAAGGTACATATT